CACTGACTGTGCAACGCTCCCCTTAAAGCACAACAGCGGCGCAAAAGGAACCGTCAAGAAGAATGCTCGTTAGCGCAATAATCGAGGACGCGCTGCGAAACTGCAATGCTCGGATTGGACGGGCACAGATCTCGCCGGAAGATGGCGGGAGGCTTTTTGAATTTCAAACGAAGCGACTAATAAATAAAGCTTGTGGTTTTTCTCGGTAGTCGCGGAGCGGTGTTCTTTCAACGCCGGTGGTCAGTCAGATTCCTCGAAAGTTGCCATTGACTCACGAAAGTCTGCCTTTTAAACTTTAAACTGCTTGTTTGGCTGCAACAGCATGCTGGCCTCCCGGTCGACCCGTCGTTCACTCAGACCGCTTGGAACCGAGATGTCTCTATTTGAACTAAGCGCGGTCAGTCGGGAGATCGAGAATAGGCCGCAATGAAATTTGCTTGCCTCTCGCGCATGCTCGAATCAAGGAATGCTCGGCCAACGCCCTAAGATCGGTTTCCGCAAAATTCGATTCACCGAAATGAAGTCCCTCTCGAACTATCGACTGGCCGAGCGTCCTTATTCTTATCCTCGATTCCGGCCGCGGGTGTTGCTCGATCATGTTACCCTCAAGGCTTCCCGTAGAGCTGACCCCACGACTGGTGCGAATTGGAGTAATTACCTACAACACTGTGAGTGCTGCAGACCGTTGCCGTCGGTCTGTATGTTCACGCGCGAGAACGACAATCGTCAGAGAACGCTTTCCGATGGAGAATCGCGCGAACGCTTACGACATTCAGCTTGCTCAGCATGTAATACGCCCCCGAAACATGTTTCTCGATCTATCCGTTGTCTTCGGTGTCCATTCATCCATCTATTCTGTAGGCTGTTCTTTGGTATATTAATCTTGTCCAACATCCGCTCAGTTCCGTTAGTCGATATGCGAGCACGCGACGAGGAACGTCGGGACAGAACAAGGAAACCGAGAATTCCCCAGCAATCGATGCGTCTCACACTTGGCCAGAGAATTGTTGCCACTCCCTTGCAGCTTTGATTTCTGATCAAGTCATAGGTGTGATTTTCGCGAAGGGATCCGCGTGAGCGATATTTCCAAGTCTGGACAGGAGACGAGCGGACTCATTGCGCAACCGAATGGAAAGAACTGGAGCTGCGGGCAAGTACGTACATATATGAGTAGGCTACGAATGCGAAGAGAACGACGGATCGCATGAAAGGAGAGCTTGACAATTTTCGAGGAGACATTGTGTGATTATTATTTCGTCTGTGACTCATGCTCTGGCCGAATTATCTGAATCTGAACGACTTACGATATCTCAGACGATGACGGAAGCATATGAGTGACTGAGCGAGGGACACGGCAGTGTACTCTGAGTCTGCGATCTCTCAGGGGGAAATTCCAGATCGAATTTCCAAAGATCAAAATTGTTCAACTCTGCAATTCGAGCGTTCGCAGTTTGGAAACTCCCCGCAAGTCGGACCCATCGTAGCGGAGCAGAATTTCGAGCATTTGTGTGTGAGTCTTGGGTAATCCTGCCGCGCTTCGCAGAACGTTTTCCAAGAATTAAACACCGCCTCCGACCGGCTCGAGTCGTATGTTCTCACTCAGTCAGTTATCTTGAGTGTTAGACGGTTCAATGACAGTAGGTGATGAGAAACTCCCAACCGTGGAGTGATTTCCATCGATTTTATATTTTTGAACTCTACCGTGACATGACGACATTGGTTCACTGAATGTCTTCAACAGATCCGTGAACTTCTCGTTCGGGGGCAGAGCTGCCGTTCAAAGCAGGTGATCGTGTAGAACGTATCGGTGGGGGCGAACTCTCCGCGTACTTCACGGGCCCGTAACGCAACTTAGATCGTTAAGGGTAATGTCTTCTTTCAACGTTTGCTCCTGAGCGCTCGTTTTTTATGCTCTCACAAACACCGATATCGGATAGCTCCGTTTACGTGGTAAAGCGGAAAAGCTTCAAATCGGTCAACAGCGAAGACTGTTATCAGTTTGCGGATTCTTTCATTTCCTTTCTACTGACCGAAACAGACCCCGGATACCGATTGGGCCTATCCCGGGGCATGTCAGCCCTATAGCAAATGGAGCGGTGGTGTCTGCTACTATACTCGCTACTCTGCTTTGGCCCATGAGTCGGGCTCGTGGGGCAGCACTTTTCCGCCAGACTATTGTTGTTTTCTCCCGAACAACTGTGAGCTTTCGATTTATCTACATATCTGTCGATGGAGGACGCGGTTCTAAAACCGCGACGATCTTGACCGAGCCGCGAAGCGTCCTCAGGCTGCTTCGACGAAAAATGAGGAGAGAACTTGCACCACGCCCATTGTTGGAAACTCACCGAGGCTATTTTGGTTTCATCCTGCGCGGAACAGATCGTGCCGATCTGAAGGAAGATCAGGATAACGAAAGCACTCCGAAAGACGATGTTCCGTCGTCTAGACCCCATTTCGGAGCGAGATTCCACGCACAGCACGTCGCGCACTTTTCACTTATGTCAAGCTTGAATTTGCGATCCACCACAATAACAATAAAAGTCTTTCAAAATCTTTTCACTCGGTGGACAGTTGACCGTTCGCCGGTGTATCGGTCCCTTGTGTCTTTTCGGCACTCGATCCCACAGAATGATATACGGTGTCCGTATCACTCGGACCTGACTGATTCAACAAATCGAGTCGGAGAGCATCTGGACAGAGACGGTGAAATGCTTCCTATGACGCCGCCGATGAAGACTGATAAGTTTCTCTTCATTGAAGTACGCTGGCACGCGTCAGTGAATCCATGCTTGCCACGTGGGGAGTGACATAATTCAGATGTAAGGAGGTGGGAAGAGTCGAATACAACACTAATGATTGTATCCTCGAGAGGAGAAACTTCTTCGGGAGCACAAACTGGCACAGAACGAAACTGTTCAGAGCGAGAACGCACTGGGTATCCGCCAGGAACGATCCACTTGAGCGAATGTCCAATTTTCACGTCGGTCGCTCAGAAGTCCCTAATGGTGAATGAAGGACTTATTTTTTCCAGAAGACTGTTAGCTTCTCTGTCGCAGGCTCTCTCTACTTCCCCTCTCGGAGCTTCGCGAGCTCCAAGGTAACCACTTTCGATGGCACCGTCTCCTGATCGGTCCCACGCCAGTTCTGATAATTACCCAGACGATAATGATCAACTCTCATCGCCCGGCAGCAGGACAAGGCGATCCGAAGCTTAATGGAAGACCTGCACGGCGCGCGCGCGGCTAGTTAGCTGCGAGAGAAAGCGAAGTGAAAGTCAACGGAGTCGCTTGGCGAAGGGCGAAGACCGACTTGCCCTCAGCTGCAGCACCGCAGAACCCCGTTATCCGAGGGAATGGGTACGTCGGCGTCGGCAGCGTCAGTGGATTTGATAGCATCGATGCTGTGGAAATCTGCTTCTATCTGCCGTGTGACGGAGATTGAAGTTCCGTTCTTCTCCGGAGAAGCCCCCTTCATGTCTCGATTTTTTATACCCATCAATTACCCGCTTCTCGATGTACTGAATATTTCTCGCATTGTAGCGAGTCTTTCCTTACGACGACCGTCGTCGGACACAGTCATCGATCACCGAAAAACAGCGGAATCGTCTGTGATGATCGTCGAGGTGAAGAGTTCTTGAGTGACTCAGGGCCGGCCTCTAATTTCGCTTTGAATAGACTACTATTCTTGTCGGACCGACTCCTTCGAATATTCCTCCTCGATGTCGCTCGAGCCTCCTCGCTTAGGATCTCGTTGTCGATTTGCATCTCATGAAACTAATGTTTTCAAGCGGAGGAGAAATTTAGGAATTCGCCGCTATATACGGTGGGAGCCATGTATGACTCGTTCCGATCGTTAGAAAGGCCAGAATCACCAGGGTCGACAAGCAGATCGACATCAGTGAGGATTGATCGACTTGGAGAATTCTATTGCAAGGTTTCCTGTTCTAATTTCCAATCCCGATATATACGGGGCTCAAGTCTCATGGCTCCGATCGGTCTGGCGAGTCGATAGGCGCGAAGAGGGAAAGTTCTCGCTCACAGAATTTCTTCATGCATATATTCGCAGCCTCAGGCAGACGAGCCGTTTCGTCTGAGACGTGAAACCTCATTCAACAGCAGAAAAAAAAACACTAGGAGCATATTGAGGTAGAGATGGCGCCAAATCATTGGATACCATGCCTGTGCGGAGCTCGAAGAGTTTCAGGACCTTCCACGACGTGGAGACCTTGTTCATCGGTTTCCGGGGAATGAAGACGATCGTGAAAAATGGATCCATGCTCTCCGACCACTCATAATCTCTTCGATTCAATGAATGCTATCTTCGCTCGATGCCCGTTCCCGTCTTTCTCTGCACGAGCTCAGCGCTGACAATTTAATCCTTTATCACCGCTATTTGCCAGCAGAGTCCGTCGGCTTTGGATTTCAGTTTGAGAGGTGCTGTATTCGTATCCAGTGAAAATGGGGAAGCAGCATGTAACAGCGATGGATAGCAAGTTTGACATGCGACGTCTCGAAATCGCATCGTGACCGTACGAGGAACTCAGATGGCAATTCAATCAAATTGCCAGATTTGCTACATCCGGAAACTGAAGTCATCATCCAGGCCGTCACATGCCGAACGGAACCGTCTTGATGGGGAGTGACACGAAAATGCTCGCCGTCGCCACCGTATTTCGCACCTTAAACGTCGACCGTTATCGTCCCGATGATGGCGATATTTCGATACCTCGGAGCTGCTCCTCATCCGGCCAATGAGCTGCAAAAGGCGGAATGAAGAACCCATGGGGGGTATATGTGTGCCCCAAGACCGGATGCCAGGGAAAATTGTGGTAGAACCCTAGCCGGAGTTGAACGATTCGTGAACGACCACTAGACGTACAGGAATCTAATTAGTTTTCTCTGTGCCAGGATATTCCAAGGACTCTGAATTCTGAAGATCGAAAACGTTTGTCAGAGCTATGGCACGGAGCCGAATAATTTTGGGTCTATCGTAGGGCTGACACCGCTCAGACCGAGTGCGGACCTTCTCTCCTGTTCCCAGGGTCGAACGATCTTCAAGGCGTGATGTAAACGAGCGGGGTTACGTCACGCCAGTTTCACGCTCAGGTCCACACCCTCAGTGCATCATCGAGGCTTCAGAGTGTACGAATCCGGCAAGCGGAAACGTTAAAACGACTACAGAAATGATCCTGTGAAGTACGATCTTAAGGGCTACACGCTCGGATCTCGGATTCGGATCGAACATGAACTGCGACGCCAAGGGTCGCACCTCGCGACATAGTTACAAGTGCAGCGACTTGATGAGTCGATTCGCGATCACTAGCTCGTCATGCGATGTCTCCAGCTCCTCAGGCGTTGTTCTATAAGAGAATACTCGGAGGTCTTTGCGCCGCGATATCGATTTTCCGGTACGATTTCTCTCACAGCCCTCGGGTTCATGAGAAGTGCTCTCGATGATCGCGGCCCGATCCTGAAGAAGGAGCCCAGACATGCCCGGCCAGAAGAACAGAGATCTCATTCACGGAAGTTGAATGTGGTGATTTGATGGAACGAGGGCGCAAAGCGCTCAAACGATCTCCGAAAGCTTATTGTCGAATTGCCGTCTCCCGACCGAGGCAAAAATCAATCAAGTATTGTCTGTTTATAATTTTCGGATGTGTTTCTTCTCATTGCGGATTCCCAATTTTCGTCGACCTTTCTGTGATATGTCGGGAACACCCTTGACGACCCTCGTCGACTCGTATGCTGATGGAATTCCAAAGGCTCGCGTAAGACTTTCGTCATATATCAAGCAGGCGATAGCCTTCCCAGAAAATATCGTTGACCCGAGATCAAATGGGGCTTGCGAAAAGTGATCCCAAGTTGTGAAGAGATGAATTTTCCCCTATCAGAAAAATCCAGGATTTCCATGGAATCGTCCGGGACCTTTCCTCCCATCTCGCTCCTCGCTGGAGCAGAGCCAACAATGTTCGAGGGTGCTCAGAACAAGAGAAATGAGTACCCCGCAAGCTTCTCGTGTTGAACATCTTGCGAGACACCATAGCGATTGCTCACAGAAAAGTGATGGATAAATTACGACACCGGAAGGAGAAATACAGGCGTGCAACGTGGTTAATTTTTTTAGTTTGCTGCCTCCTTCTTTTCTCTGACTGCTCTTGATATCACCTCGGTTCGGAATAACAATGTGTCGATCGAGCTTTGTTTCAGAAACCGTCGGATGTTTTCTGCCTACCGCGATTCTTTAAATTCATTGTTTTTCTAGAAGGGCGTTTTCTCACAGAACTTTTGCCAGATGAGCGCTCACGAACACCTACAAGATTGATGAAATCGGGCTGCCGTGCTTCCCTGAGGAATGCGAGCTCCTCGGAAATGATTGTCTGTTTTACGATTCCCTCCATCTTCGTATCCAATTCGACTTCGTAGATAATGGCGTCGTGACAGGCGTCAGCGATATACAGAGAAAGAATCAATCGAGGATATTGAGGTTCTCCTGGGCAGGATTTCGTGGACAAGCCCGTGTCTTGAACAACGTTTACTTTTGTTACCGGCTTTGAAAGCTACATACTATCGCGAATGTAACCGGTGAGTTAATCATTGCCTACGGGACTTGAGGGTGCTCCCAATTTCAGATCAGATTCCGATTCTCTCCGCAGGAACGTCCCGCTGGGCATCGATTCGAACGGACCTAACGTAAGCATCATCTTGCGAGCCAAGTCAGATGAGGAGAAGAGGGGCACATCCCCTATTTCAGAGCGCACAGGGTGCGAATCACACCCTCTCTCTCCCTCTCTAGATTTCAATGCACTTATCTCCGTTCTCCTCGGGATTTTCCCTGCGTTTAAGCAGCTGATGGTCAGCATTTTGGAATTTTATCTTGGACAGCACATGACCGAGTCCTGATTGTTGATATCCTGACATTTATGATTTTCGATTTTATATCCGGGCTGAAACTTCTCAGACTGGATGCGTGCCTTCTCCCCTGTTTCCAGGAGCGAACGATCTTCAAGGTGTGAGTTAACCGTAAGCGGTTATATCACACCAGTTTCACGCTCAGGCTCGCACCCTCAGCGCATCATCGGAGCTTCAGGATGTACGAATCCGGCGAGCGGAAACGTTAGATCGACTACAGAAATGATCCTGTGAAGTACGATCTTAGCATTGTTACTCTTCTTGCTCTCTCTAGGCGCGACGCAGAGCGACTGTGTGCAAGACCGAGTGCCCACACGTGTGCTCAATTCCGACTGGTTCCCCGATGATGTTCAATATTTCCGTACCGCTTGAACACTCTGCAATCGAGCGATCTACCGTTCTATAATTACGAGAATCTGATAGTTTGCCGAGGAAAGACGTGATCGCAATTATGAATAGCACGGCGCCGGCTCATGAAAGGACCGAGCCTTAGGAGGGTGGGTGAGAAGGTCCGGAAGTTCCGAGAGCATCGGCGGCTCGAAGCGGTCTCACGGAGAATCACAGGCGGGTTATTGATACCCCGCCTGCGCTCACTTCCTACCTACATTATTGAGTTGTCTCGATAGACAAGTCCCACGTTTTCTCCCCGGCTTCTGAAGGACTCCCCCAAGCATTCGACGAATAGCAACGGGAGATTATTCAAATTATCACTCGAGCTAGGCGTGAATGCCGTGATTTCACAGAAGAATGATAAACAAGACACAGAACGTTTCGGGTGCTCTTCCGCTTACGAAAGAGAACAAATTCCAAACGAAAAGAGCGTTTGATGGTATGCTTCTCTGTATTCTCGATCCGGTGTCCCGAACTAGTTCCGCTCAGTCAAATGGAACTTGGGAACGATCCGCACGAAACACGAGAAAGCTCAGCCGAGAGAATGAGCTCATAAATGCTGAAGTCTGAGCATTTTCGGGGATTATACGCTTCCAAGGGTTTCCCCACCGTCTGAAAGCGAGACTCCATCGCTGAAGAATCGAGTTTTCTGTAAGCTCGGCCACGATTGAAGCATTTGCATTTTCAGAGAAAGAAATGCTTTTTTCTGACTATCACCCGCATGCGACGGGTGGACGGGACTACCTTCGGAATTCCAGGAGACAGACAAAAATTTCGTATTATCGGCTATCCAACCTCTCTGACTAGACGAATCAGCTTCTCACATCGAGCTTCAGGGTGGTCAAGATAATAAGTTCTCTTGATCTTCCCGGACCGTCTTTGCCCAAGCTCTGCCACTGGCTTTGGACGGACGAATTTGTGAAAGGCTCCCGTAGCGAATCAGGAGCATTCTGCGATGCGGTATCCAGTTCTCTATGAGGGTGCTACATGCATTCGTAGAATGGTCAGTACCGGAAGCGTGCCCACGATCTTCTCCCGAGAGAGCCAAGCCAGAATTCGGAGGATCGGAATCATGACGTGCCTGTCCCTCAGCACACGGACCGGAATATCACACTCGCGGAGTGCACTCCAGATAAATCTCGAGATAAATATTCCCGTCCTGCTTCATTCTCCTACAGAGGGCGAGCTCTCGCGAGAGGAAATCTCACAATCAGAAACAATCAAACGCCGGTCTCACTCAGTCACTCTTTTGAGGCAAGCCGTTTCCGTGAGACCGAGGTCCGCAGACAGAGAGAATCGCGTCGTCTGACCCGCTGGAGCTCGAGCAGATCCTTCAAACATACGGTCGGGAGTCAGTGTGTGCTCGAAGGCATCTGGCAACTGCGATGATGGATCGCTTTAGCCCCTAATTTAATTCAATCTCTACAATCCTAAAATTCATGCTATGCGTTCCACGCGCTGCAGAGGAGTAGAAAGGGAAGAATCGTCTAACCGACAGGCATACAAAAGGATTCCCGTTCAGCATGCATGAGGGAAGCAAGCGCGATCACAAATAGAACTTCCGAAAAGCCAAAAAAAGGATTCTGATGAAGAATGTGTTTTTGTTGTCGAGGCAAACAGTGTGAAGTTGAAGAAGGATCCAGTCTCTTCGCATCATAGAACTTCTCATAGAAGCAGGTGACTCCAAGGGAACTACTGCTCAGAATCTGCCACCGTCGGGGACATTAGAAAGTCATTAAAGTATTTTCGTCCTTTGACTCTGGTTTGGAAAGCTATTTCTGAGAACCCATCGACAGAAGACATCGGTCTTGTTCAACGGATAATTCAGGTGATCAGGAAGAATTGTCAGCTAATGAACGGAGCGGTCACCCGATCGGGGGAGTCGAGACTCGCTTAAATCCAAGAAAAGGATGTAGGACGAAAATAAATATTCCCCCCACCGAGCTCAGGATGATACATCCAGTCTCTCCTGAGAGCGGGAGATTCAGTTCCACGTTGCTCAGCCTGCGGAAAGAATCCCAACCCGACCGACGAGAATGGAATGAAGATGAATTGAAATTATGAATTGCTTTATCATTTGAATTGATGCCTGCAAATGGTGATCTGATCACATTTTGTTGTGGCAACAAATGCAAGGAATTCCGTATCTCCTTACACATGTACCCTAAACCATGATTATATTTGAGGGCCATGCGGACCGCTCGTCATATGGCCTCTGGAAAAGCCTGACAATGATCCTCAGGAACCTTTTCGGATCCACGTAGACCCCGGTTGCGGATAGTATTATAATTAATGACCCACCAGACGGGTTTCTTGGCTCACGGAATGATATTTGGACGAGTCAGGTGCGGGCTCAATCGATATGGAGAACCGGAGCATCGTCAAGAGATCTGAATGTAGCTCCCGCAGCATGACCTTTCGCCTTTGAATGATCTTCTTTATTCGATCTACATATGTACAGAGAGTCAACGAGAATGCATTCTATCACTTCTCCTCTGAACTCGGCCACTTCTGTTAGTAAATATCGACTTCTGCCGAAACTCTATTCGAGAACGGAATCGATTCGCCGGAACTTCCAAATCGATCGGCAGCAAAATCAGTGGATGGAGACTTCCTTCCCGTCGTTGCTCGGGTCGTGAGATTACGGATACATCTACGCCCGTCTATCGAGGCACGGACGCAATATTTTCCGACTTTTGTGCCGAAGGGGTTCGTCGCGATCAAAACAGAAAATATCTATAGCAGCATGAGAAACTTCGGTAAATGTTCCGGCGACATGAGAAACCTAAGTGGAGCTAGATCGCGCCTAGGCGTGCCGAACACTAGATTTGGAATCGATGATATTGCTTTCATCTACGTTCCACGTAGAATCGACGGTTGAGTGGTTGCTCCGCGTCTCGGGCTCGAAGTTCATCTCACGAAGAAAGGAAGGGGTCGCATGGCGTTTTCCTATTGAGATAGCGTCGAGAAGACAGTGAAACATGAAACCTCTGAGCATTGGGTTTTTGGAACGGAACATCCTACGGCTCGCGTCGGTTCCAAATTATTCAACCGTTCTTGGTGTCGGACAATGTGGCGACAACTCATATTAAACAATCGCTTTGAAGCTTCTCAGTGGCTTTCGTCGATCGCTTCAGATATGTTTGTTGATCCAGTCAAGGTAGTTCGTCACCCTGGTGTAAACTCCAGGGAAGCCTTTGGTGGCGCAGCGGACCCCGAAGGATACGATTCCAACTTGGTAGAATCTCGTGGGTGCATACCCCTCGGGTCGAACGAGAGGGCCTCCAGAATCTCCTTGACACGAATCCTGTACTCCTGATTCGTCTCCGGCGCAGATGAATCTTTCTCTGTCGACGTGGTCGATCTGTAAGCGGAGCAACAACTCAGAATCTTCTTAAATGACATAACAAAATTCTCGGGACTCCCACTTTCTGTCAGCCGAATCGAATCGCTCCTGCTCCAACGGTCAACAGCGACAAAGACGGACAACACCGCGTAAATTTCACGCGGAACGAGTCGATAAACTGATTTCAAGAGACGTCACGAATGAATTAGACTTTCCGGGAGCTACGTCGGTACGCCAGACTTCGGGAAAACGGATCGTACTCACATGTACAGCTTTGTAAGCGTCACTGCATCGTTTGCTATCCCAGATAGGGAAACTGGCCTGCTGGAGAACTTCGGCGGTTTTTCCGAGGTATCTCGTTCGTCCCCAGCCGGTCACGTACGCGTATTTCTCGGTGATATTGTCCGGAATAATATTCTTGCTGTACGGTAGACAGATCGGCGAGATGTATCTGTTGAAGGTCACGTCTTGGTTCATGAACATCAACGCGATGTCGTTCGTGTTGAGACCGTATTCGAAGTTCTCATGGGTGATCAGTCGAACCACCGAACGCTCCACCGAATCTTGAGATCTCCTCGACAGATCGTGCTCACCGAGTCGCACTCTGAACAGGCTCGCGTCGGTCACTTTTTTTGGTGAAAGCACGAAGCAATGGGATGCACTCAGGACGTGTCTATGTGATATGAGGCTTCCACCGCAATGGGACTCGAACTCCCCTTCGCGGTTCCTCATGAGCACCAGGACCTGCCATGGCCAATCACCTTTCTTGGCATCCACACCGTTCACGACTCGGGTAAACGAGGCGTTTGTGTTTCCGCATTCTTCCGGAATCAGAGCGGGTCTACGCGCTCTGAGAACCTCTCTGACCTCCGGTTCTCGAGTCGTGCTCGGGGCTCTCGTCGAGGGTGAGGAATTGGCGTTCGGTCTGAACTGTCGAGGGCAACACAGGAGCGGACTTCGGTCGTTGTATCCACAAATGTACTTTCGCAACAAATTCAAGTCCCGAATCCTGTGAAGACCGGGGCACTCGGCTAGAGGGCCGCATTTCCCTTTCAACGTATCCGGCGTCGAGCAATCGGAATCGTCATAATCGAATACGATCAGTCGATGCGCCCTATTCTCTATGCCGGCTGCGCCATCGGTCTCTGGGCTCTGCGTCGTCGTGGTTTCTGATCCCGCCAGGATGAACAACAGCGGCACTATTAAAAGCGTTCGGAGCGCGGCTGGCGACATCTTGCGAAGAAACTGACACCCTGCTTTCGTCGTGGAGCCTTTGCGGGAACGAGAGAGGTTAAGCGGTGATAAATAAAAACTGTTGCCGGGACCGTCTGAGAAAGCGTCTTGTGAGTCAAAGTGACGTCAATCCTTAGAGAAGAGACGTTTCGAGGGCGTCTCCCACGTCGGTTTCGGTGTTGGTGGACATCGGGTTGGCTGCCACAACGGAACTTGTCAATGTCTCGGAGAATGATCGTGAATCTCTCGAAGAGGAACCAAGGAACCACAGAAAAGCTTTCGAAGAAGGAGCAGCAGCCGACGAACAACATTCGCCCATCAGCGCGCATAGGTGCACACACACACCACGGGGAATTTTCCGGATTACCATCGCGAAGCACAGCGAGCAACGATTGAGTCAAGGTAGTCCACAGAAAATCAGATGCTTGCGTAGCACCGTGCCACCTATCGGCAGAAAGCGTCGACTCAGATCAAGTTTCCGACTAAGAACCATACTCTGCAACTCCGCGTAAAACTCCATTGTCAGCTCAAGCTGATGCGATTCGATCAGAAGAGGCTTTTCATCCCGACAGAGGTTTCGTGGGAGCTTGCGACGATGGGACTGTGTCGATCAGTATCACATGATGCAGGATGAACAAAAATGATTCCGACTGTGGAAAATGTCCGTGAGGTCTCGATACCTCCGTCTTCCATTCTTCTCCGTTGAGTCGAGAGAAATCCCGATGGGTCTCTTCCCTCCCCCCTCCTCCATGCCGAGTCCACAACCGTCGTCAGGTCGACTGGGCTACATGGACCGAGATATTTGGGAGAATCTCCCCCCGTCAGGGTGCATCTACGACGTCCCATTAATCTCCGCCTGCGTCAGATCAGCGTCAACGTTCATCGATAGCGGCGTCACCTGAGTATATGTGAGTCCAGGGACAATCATGATCATGAGAAATGAAGAACTCCAGAAGGCGAAAAACAGTCATCTAGGTTGTTCTTCACACAAGGTTGACGGGGTTCCGCACGGCCTTGTCGGCTCGTCGTCCTCGCTATCGTGAGTCAGGGGTTCTGGGAATGACGCCAAAAATGCAATCAGGCAGGGGGCCAATGATTCATCTGGATCTGGGAAATCCATCGGAGGCGACGCAGCCTGGCGCAGACTGAAACTTCGCAAGCGCGATTCATTATTCCTAAGTTCAGTGCGTCGCTGTTCGATCCCCGGAACTTTGCTTTTCCGTGAGAGGGAAGAGGCTCATGGTGTCGAGGATTTGATATAGAGTTTATTTCTCCCAGAGCTTGATCCTGGGACGAGTAATCGACAAGGTACCTAAGCTTTGGGATACTCATCATCATATATACAGTCTTAAAATTCTCGGTCCCCAGAAATGCAGTTGCCACCAATCTAACGCATATACGGATGCGATGACATGCCTCTAGCACTCTTGATGTTTGTTCTAACGGTGGCTGTCGGCATCTTGCCACCAACAGCCATTGAAGCCCCCCGGGGACCCCCGGTCCCATCGGTCCGCCCATCGGCTTCGGACAGCTGTTTCCCAGAGACGGGTTCGGGGCACGTTCTGGTCCGCGTAGATATCTACCGCTGTAATGAAGTAAAAGACACGATTCAATTGATTGTTCCACGATGGTGAAATTAGGCTCAATAGGTCTAGACTCTGCGGTGGGGGAAATCCGCCGATTCCAAATCATTTGCTCACCCGCAAATGGCGCTGAGTAAAACTATAGTGTCACCGCTCATGATTGACGGGGCAACTCTACTCGTCGCATCCACATCCCAGTCCTCACGGGTGGAGCGGATAATTTCACAGGCATTCTGACAGATTCTGTTGTGAGCAGCAATCAGTTTCTGTGCCGCATCTCCGTTCATCTGTGCTGCTTTGTTCAAGATCACCTGGAGATGTCAGAGTGAGTCGTGAATAATCCGCGCTAGCGTGATCCCCTCCCGGTACTCTACGTGGAAAGCAGCGCCGAGCGAAGAACTCAGAGGTTCATCTGACCTGATCTGCGGCTTCGATCTCCGGATCGCAGAGGGTTCTCAGATAGTCAGGGACTGCTTGATGATTGAAGAGTGGTACTCGACCGTCGGTTACGCGCTGCAAATCGGGATCAGGATCGGGTGATACGAGTAGCGGAAGGATTATCCGATTCCGTAATTTGGGAAGCTTGTCACTGCGGAGCACCTGCAACGAGACGCGTTCGAGTTAAGAACTCTCCCCCTGTCGGAGAATGATTCTGCGAGAGAGTGTTTCGGCGGAGTAGGATACCTTGAGGAGATTGTTCATCTGGCCGGATATAAGCGCGAAGTAGTCGAGGACAGCGGGCCACTGCAACGTTTCATATTCGTTCTCCAGCCGGAGGATCAACTGCTGGATGTTATTCTTGAGATCTGTGGTCCGCGAGAGCAGGGCATCCACAGCCTGATCCACCTTGAATGAGACATGGTGAAGGGGAATGAGTTTTATTCCCGAATCAGGCGATGACGGTCTCTCTGGCACTCGCAGTCACTCGTACCCTCGTACGAGAATTTTATTGAGTCGCGGAACCTTCCACAGTTCTCCGCTGGGAGTATGATCCAAGGGGAAACTCAAGAGGCTGTCAGAGCAGCGACCGCGCGTAGGAAATCTACAGAGCGGGGATAATAGTTCACTGAATGCCTCTATTCTATGGAATCGTTCAAGAATTGAGCTATGCACCTGCTTGTCCTCCTTCTCCATGTTCTTCAAATGTCGATGGTTTTCAACACCATGCGCGACAGACGACTACACTGTGCGTGGAAGCCCACAGTAAGCGGACACTGGAAACTTGCCGATTCCTTCCTTCCGTCGGCCCGGGTCGGAGGGCTCCAGCAGCTGCAACAAGAGAGGGGGCGGCCATATTGACAGAGGGCGCTTATAGCTTGCTCGGCGCGGCATTCAAAACCCGAAGAATCCTCGGGCTGGAGAGCCCGGACTCCATCGGTGTTCTATGGACAACTACCGGACAGATAACCCTTGAGACAATCGATTCCGATAATTCTCGGGATGAGAAGCCAGGGAAGAGTCGGAGTTTCATGCTTCGTGCAAAGAATTCTCGGGTCAGAATCCGGATTTGACGAGTTTGAGTACGGACCAAATCACAGTAACGGCGCCGAGATGACCGCTATGGGCAACCGTGCTCAGCCGGTCGGAAGCTCTTCTACCACGAGATGGCTCGGGCTACCTTCCGACACCATCAAAAGGAGAACTCAGAGATAGACAGCAGGCCTTCCAATGTCCGCCCTCCTCTGCCGGTATCGTGCATCACTTTTGGCTGCGAAAGCTTTCAACCTCCAACCTTTCAACCCTTTTCTTTTCCTGAAATTGCAAATCTCAACTAGTCGTGTTGTACCGATGATTAAAACTGTTTATCGTGATTCGGATCTCGGTTGGGAGCAAGTCTCATATCGACGACCTTTCGCAACGCCGGCGGAGTCGGCGTCTGTACGGAATTGAAGCGCGGTCCCGAGAATAATAGGTCCCGTAGATGATCGTACCCTCAAGGTTTCTGAAGATGTCCGTAAAGGTCGGATGACGCGCTCTCGCAGACGACGGGGAATCGGGAGCCGTCTGTGCTAGTTGGAATACTTGAAATCTTCATGAATCAGAGGACCAAATGGAAGCATATCAAGGCGAATCCGTTACTCGTCCCCGGATCCACTCCGTCCTATGGTCTCCCGCACGTCCTGACTCCTGACGGGTGCTTGTGATGACGACCTGGACCTCCTCCTGGAAGCGGCCCTTTTCAGATTTCCAGGGGAATTCATGAGCGGCGCAGCGGCGGAAACAAGGGAGGCGAGACAACCTCCGGGAAAATATTCAAGTCAAATTATTCGCCGCAGATTCCGACAAACCCTTCCCGAGCCACCACTCATTCAACTCCTCATTTACTCCGTGAGATTGAGCGATACAATCCCTATGTGTTCAAGAGGAAGGGATGGGTGAAACTTCGATGACACATGAGGCCACAAGATCTATTTCTCAACACCCGCATTCCAAGTTTCGAGAATGTGCTCTTGAGAAGATTTACTTTATTTTTCCCTAATCTTTTTTTTCGCATGTCGGCATCCTCCGTTGCATCTATCGTCCTCGATAATACCTACTTACCTAGATCTTATCGTCAACAACTGGCTTTCCAGCACCAGGACAGCACCTACATATTTCAATATACAGCAACTCTAGTCTGATCCTCCAGTCTTGATTCGGGTTCGATCCTGTTCCACGCGATTCTGCTCTCTGATACATTCTTCAAAACTCATCGTCACTCCCTTGCTGCTGCGGCTGCTGCTGCGGCGGCTGTGCTTGTTGTTGTGGTAGATCGTTTGCTCCGTCGGGAGCTGCGGGGACATTCTGCTTGTAGGACGCGAAATCCGCCCAGTTCTCATCGGAGGCGTCGTTCTGTTCGGCGAAACCCGAGGGGCTCGATGCCTCAGCACTAGAGCCACCACCGAGCTCTGTCTTCAATGAGCCGAAGTCTGCCCAGTCGTCTCGAGTTTCGTCACCTCCCGACGAGCCGGCGAGGTTCCAAGGATTGAAGCCTTCATCCATTTTATTCCACGGATCGCAATTCTCTCCTCCTGAATCTTCCTCATCCGATGAATGATCCTCGATTGGCGGAGAAGCGACGTTTGTGATGCCGGGAATATCTACATCGGTGAATTCGTCATCCTCGAAACCGAATTTGTCGATTGAGCAGGCAGTTAGCTGGAAGAGGGAAAGAAAGGATGATACTCGCGTCCATATAATACACTGCGCCCAAGGAACATCTATCCTGCACTTAAGCGTTGACGTGAGAAGAGCCATTCCTCAAGTCATTCAAGCTCACCATGTTCATTTGGTAGTCGTTCAGAGCCTGCTGAGCCGAGGCTATCGCTTCTGCGGACGGGACCCCCATGTCCCGGAGATCCTCGGGATCGTCTCCTTCCGAGCAGGAGGCGGCATTATTCATCGGACAAACGGTTTTGTTATAGACGTTATTGACATTTTCTAGAGTTTCCTTGAAGCTCGACCAGCTTTGCTTGAAATCTGGGCTGAGACCGTCCATCAGTTGCTCATAATACTCTTTATAAGAATTCTCACTCATCGCCTCAATGTAATTCGCCATCAATCTCAAGTGTCCGTTGTAACCTTTCTGGTCCTTCGGGACCGTGTTATAATTCTGGACAATTTTTTCTAACAAATTGCATTCGGAAAACAATTGATCAAATAATACGTGTTTGGCTGGCGGCGCCACTTCCGCGCTCCCAGCTACGCCCGACGTTGTCGAGTCGTCGTTACCGGGACTGGCGGGAATTTTCTCCGAATCTCCTAATCCTGTCGCAGTTTTGACTTCCGAGGACGCCTTGACACCATCGTCGTCGTCGTCTCCTTCGGTGTCGTCGACGGAAGTTTTCGTTTTTACATCGAAGGTCGTATTCATTGATAGCTCATCGGCGGTCGACCTGTCCCCTGGTTGACTCTTGGGCGGAGTACAAATAGCTTGCACTATCGAGTCGACTTGGTTGTGCAGCTGGCTACAGAGTGGATAATTGAAGAAGAGCTCGAGAACGATGGGCAGTACCTTGAGATCCCGTATGGCCAGCAGGCTAGGCTCGTCGGCGCACGAAACCATCGCAGCGATGAGCTTTACGATTTCCAGCCGAACCGTGCCGAACCGCTCCTTCTGTTCTTGAGTGAGACTGACGATTAGAGCATCCAATCGATTTGAAATCGCCGTGAGACATTTCCGGATCGCCTCCTTCGCTCGCTCGGTGTCCAGTTCTCCTAGGGTCGGCGAAGTTTCAGCTGGCGGCGAGTACAGCCCGAGGAAACATTTAGAGTCCAACATGATGTCTTGGTAGCACGGCGTCGTACTTTTGTACTGCAGCAAGGCCAGCAGCACGAAATTGCTCTCGAAGAGGGTCCACGCTGACAGATCGTCTTGGCCGGTCGGGATCGCATGATCGAGGATCTCGGTGATCAGGTCGACCTGCTCCACGGATGCCAACAGTGGATCGGGGGGGCATTTGTCCCGCAGCGTCATCTGCTGCTCCCGACCCACCTTGACGATTTTGCAGAGACATTTCGCCGAGTTCGTGATGACCTGCTCGGAATTGTCCGCGCTGAGCATCGCCACAAGTTTCGGAACGAGATTCGCACTTGCCAACCATTCGACGATCCGGGGCCGCAAGAGGAGGTTTTCGCTGCATTCGATCATTTTGTTGATGAGGTCTTTGATTGCTGAATTGTTGATGTGGTTCAGCAGCAGGTCGATAAACGCCGAACTACTCTCGGATTCTTGCTGCTGTGGCTCTTGTGCTTCTGCCACAGGCTTCTCGTCGTCGGCTTTTTCAGCATCGCCCTCAACCATTCTATTCTGGTAGCGATCAGGATCGTATGACTGAATGAAATCGAGAAATTTATCCGTACGTTTCGTAGCTAGAGCGATGAGGAGTTTACACACAAATGAGGCGGTAAGGTCGTTGAGGGCATCTTCTTGTCTAAATACGTTGCAGACCTTCGTGAGCAGTTGGGGTGAATTGATAAGTGCGTCTTTGATGGCGGGTATGTCAAATGTCAGTACCTCGCACGCTGTGTTCGGTAGCTTGTACTGGATTTTATAATCCATCTGAGGATCGGGATCGTGGATGATCATGTCGACCAGTTGTTCTAGTATTCGAGGCTCCAGGAGGTACGCGATGAGCTTTGGTGAGTTGTTGCGGAGCTCCTGAAGTAAGTCGCTCTCCGAGAGTATCTCCTGCGGTGTCACATCTTGTTTCTCGAGTAGGCTGTTCATATTCGATACGGTGTACTGCCAAAAGGCCATCTTGAGGCCTTAGATTCGTCGACGACGCTATTCGAGTCCCATAAAATGAAAACGCGCTCGAATGTTACTCGATACAACAGCGAACACACCACTATTTCCTCGGCTTCGACGACAGCAGCACTCGTCGTCCACCAACACCAGTATGCAGTAGTGATCAATTGTGTCGAATCGAAACCAAAACACACCTTTCCGCAGGATAAGCTGCCACGTCAGCTCATTAGTGGACTTCGCGGACCCACATTCGGCAAGATGGCGTTATTGTGGAGAGAGACGAGCAAGTATCATCAACTCGGTGCAAAGTTTTGATGGAAGTGTGTCTCCTACAGTGCGAGAAGTGACGGAAAAATCGATTCTGTGCCGTATTTTCCCCGAATTGCCTTGGACGAAGGACTCGCTTTGGAGCTCCTCATGGGGCCGGCCGATTGTCATTAGACTGCTCGGGTGACAGACGTAAGTTGACGAACGATTTACCTCGACGTAATTCGAACACTGGATTGCTAGTTGGTAACGTTCACAAAACACCGATATTCCTCGATACTCCCGCTGCCGGATCTCCTCTCAGGAGTAAGATCCAGGACGAGTATAGCGAGGGTCGGGATCGCGCTCTCATGGAGAGCATGTTCTGCGGTCTCCACGAGCTCTAAGAGACCGGAGCTGCTCAACCGGCTTGATATTCTGAGAATTGGGCTGGATGTACTTATCCGCACTGGGGTATGATGGCTCGAAGCACTACCCGCGAGATTCCGGATTGCAGATCGGCAGAGTTTCTCTGAAGCGCAGTTTTTATGGCGGAAACATTACCCCAGGCTCCGGAAAAAACTCCCGGGAGGGGGGCAGAATAAATAAAAAAACGAAATTCCGAGGGCGGCGGGGAGTTCGATTCAACAACCCGCTCCTGTATATCGACTGAACGAGACGATGATCCTCACGGGAGTGTGACTGCACTGATCCTCAACCTCCGAGTGGAAGCGCCACAGTTTGTCGGCCGCTCGAGATGTCGGCTTTTCAGGACAGCGCTGGACCGTCCTTCTGGATCTCACTCGGCCTCTGTAGTCTCGGCTTGCGGGCGGTTGCTGAAACTCGCGATGAAACTTCAGTGTGAAAGTATTGCAGCAGTTTGAGCTATCGCTCAATGAGGAAGGAGAGGGGGGAGGGGGGTAACGGATGCTAAAGGAGAAATGACGATACGCAATCCTCAAGGTTCCGTGCCGATGCATCACATCTAAGAGTTATTTATTACAGGCTCGCTCCTGTGCTCCTCAAGATCCGGAAAGCACATTGGGATAATATGGCTTTGTTCAAGAAGCCCAATAGGAAACAACGCCAACAGCGCTTGGCACATTCAGACAGCGAGGAAGACCAGGAGCACACGAGTCTCCTGCGCACTCAGGAAGATCGGAAAAACAAGGACAAGGACGATCGCGTGAAAACGACGAGCACCTTGCTGAGGTAGGTTCAGGAGGGAGCATCTTCCGACTTCCTCCATAGGGGTTGATATCTGGGGCGCTGACTGCTATGTTGACTTTTCCAGCTTCGGTGAGGCTGAAGAAGACGCTGACGAAGGCGAAGTTTTCAAAGTGAGGAAATCAAGTTACTCGAGACGCATCGCTAAGGAATTGGAGAAGGAACGAAGACGGAAAAAGTGTGAAGATTCAGAACCCCCGGTGAAGATTGAAGAGTCTACGGCTGTCAAACGAGAAAATGAAGGCAATAGCACCAAAACCGTCGACCTCCCCCTTGCCGACGGAATTGACGGCATCCGCATCAAGGTTAGGGAGCGATTACTGATTGAAGAAGAATAATTCCTGATGAGATCGAATCCGTCGAGGATTGACCTGCCAAATGCTCGAGAGTAGGATTCTGTGAAATTCACATTTTTTCATCCGCAGAACTCGATCAAGATCTTGAATTCCGATGAGATCGAGCGGCTCGACGATGTCAAAGTCGAAGATGACGACGAGGACGATCATAACGACGTCAACCAACGCATCGAGTTCAACCGCGATAGTGTCTCGAGAGCTCTCGAGAAAGGGGCGATTCCCGATGCTGCGACGATATTCGCTCTGAAGAAGCAGAGGCAGAAAATGGCGGGCCGATCGGGCGAGGATTTCATTTCACTCAAGGAAAACAAAGAAACGAATGGATCCTCGGCAAGAGCCAGAGAAGGAAGACTTCAGGAAGATGAAGACGACAGTGGTGCCGAGGACGGCCGCGTCAATTTCAGTGACATACGGTCTGGACGGCGAGAAGAAATCCGCGAGGTCTTAGGTTCGCAAAGCAATCATTCCGTCGAGCACGAAAACGAGGACGACGAAGATACCGAGGCGCTCCGTTGGGAAAAGGAACAAATCCGCAAAGGTGTCGGTACGCTAGCCGGGGCTCAGACATTCTCACGGAGCCCCTCCCCCAACCCCGAAGACCGGAATAGAGTCTCGAACCTACCCCCGGTCTACATTCCTACGGACAAGAGCGGTTTGACGATAAAGTCGGTTGTTGACAGGGTTCGGGATCGTTTGAGCAATGTGAAAGACATTGTCGCTCGGTCTCAGAACCAATATACTACCATCGCTACCGAGTTGGCGCTCTGCGCCGAGACCATTCAGAGCCTTGAGAAGCAACTGCCTCGGACGGAGAAGGAGTATCGATTTTATCAGGAGATACAGACCTACTCGATAGATTTGATTGAATGTTTGGACGCAAAAGTCCCAATCATAAACGCACTCGAGGGTCGGCTCCTTAGCGCTCTGGCGCAGCGCTCCGAGAAATTCGTTCGCAGAAGAAGGCAGGATGTGAAAGATCAAGCTGAAGAAGTTCGCCCGGGAGCAATCGGTAAGTCTTTCCCGCGAAATCGCAGTTTCAGATCGGTCGAGCTCATACGGATTCCCTATAGCTCGTCTACCGCATACGACAAGGAGTCGCTTTGAAAAACTAAAAGCTTCTTGATCGTCCGTTTCAGTCGAGACCGCAGCGAAGCGCCGCGCGCGCGAAAGAGAGGGTCGCCGTATGCGGAGAAAAACGGCGCGCCAGACTTCCGGTGTCAGCCGTCATTTTGATGGCATGAGCTCCGATGACGAACAGATTGAAACAGAAAGACTCCAGCTCTCTACGGATCGCGAACAAGTGTTGAGCGATGCCACGCACATATTCGAGGACGTCAATGACGACTTCAGTAAACTCAGTTCTGTTCTGAAGCAATTTGAGAAGTGGAAGCTCTTTCTGAATGAGTCGTACCAGGAGGCCTATATTCCCGTGTGCGTCCTGAAACTTGTACTGCCGTTCGTACGCCTGGAAATGCTCAACTGGAATCCGCTGGAAACATCGGAAAGCGTAGAAAAATATCAATGGTTCAAGGAGCTTCTCTTTTTCGGCTACAAGATTGAAGACAAAGACGAGTCCGACCTCAACTTGATACCCAGAGTTGTTGAGAGAGCGCTCATTCCGAAGGTGGGTTCAACGATCGTTGTTCATGTTTCCCTGTCTCGTCTCCCGGCTCTCCCGGGAGCGGATATCTCGTAGACGAGAGGCGAGTACAATCCCGGAGGAGCGATGATAACAAAGAATGGGAACTTTTTTTCTGCAGATAAGTGATTATGCCGAGCGTGTATGGGATCCTATGTCGACATCTCAAACACGGAACCTTGTGCGATGTATCCGCAAGCTTTGCGATGACTACCCTTTCGGGAGGAAGTCTAAGCCGCTGGCGACGCTCCTGGGGAAGATTTTCGTAAAAATCCAACGCTCGCTCGAGGAGGATGTTTTTGTCCCGATGGCCACGAAAGAAGTCGTAGACAATCCTTTCTGCCCGAGTAGTCTTTTCTTCCAACGGCAGTTTTGGAGTGCGGTCAAACTTCTGGAGAATATTCTCTCGTTTCACGGAATATTGGCAGAACAGCCTCTGAAGGAGGTCGCCATCATGTGTCTGTTAAACAGGTCAGTATCCTTCAGAGCCTTCCGAGACCCGCTCTCTTCTAGCTGGAATCCGTCATCTCGAATTTGTCTGTCCATCGAAGTCGTATGTACATCATTTGTTTTCAGATATCTGCTGTTTGCGCTCCAATGCTCTCTCGCGCATAAAGACACAGTGGATCGGGTTGAGGCAATCGGAGCCATGCTGCCCACCGCGTGGCTGCGGTCTAATCCTCCCGCCGAGTTGCAAATGTTCTCCAAGCTTCTCCTGAGTCTGATCAAACACTTGAAGAGCACATTTGCACCTGAGTAAGTTCCCCACGATTTTATCCTCGGAATATTCTACTATTTCTCTTGTCGACATCCTGGTAGGTGATTTCCGGCAGATCGACCACGTATCCAATTGTGGATCTTTTTTTTCCAGCTTAAAAATCCAATCGATCATCAAGCTGCATGACAGCTGCAGCGCAGTCTCATATGCTGACTTGACCGCGAGGAAGAAATGAATGCGGGAGGGGGAGGCCGCTGTGTACGAGTGGAGTCCCATGGATAGTGAAAAATGAAATATTTTTCATGATAATTATCAAAAAGACCCGGTTCTGTAAAATAAATTGTCTAGATGCCCCTGTTTCATATTGAAGGTGAATCGATTTCTGAGTTTCGGGGAGAAATATTGGGAAAATCGGTCGTCGTACGATCCAAGGTATTGTAGCGGAATCATCTACAGATATACAGATTCTCTTCTCCAGGAGCGTGGAGGCGATCGGCCCGGCGAGCCTCGATGAGTAAACGAGTACTGCTGAAGATCAGTCGAGCGAGAACGACACTTCCCGGGGGAAGTTTGGAAATTAGGGTCTCCCACATGAGATCTCAGAATATTCGAGAGGTGACTGGGCTCGATGGCTGGATCCCGATTAACAATCCGTTCCTGAGCCATTTGAGTGAGATCAGGAATCGGTAGATGTTTCATCGACTAAAATCCCCATGGGGCCGTTGATGCGAGTCGCGAGGAAGCTCGTTCACGATTGGTCAGTGGTCTCCGTCCCATCAAATCACAGACAGAGTGCGTCCGACATGTCCACATTGCATGGACAAGTCGATATTGCATGAGAATCTGAGCTCAATCCTGATGCTTAGAGATAGCGTATGGAAGAACTACTGGAGATACAGAAACCAAGGCATTCTTTGATTGAGTGGAGCTGCTACAGAGGCCGTGGCTTAGACAGCGCCCTGAGGTATTCCAGCAGAAACAACGACTCCGACACTTGACTTGACGCGGGGCCACCAAGAATTCTTCCCACCTCCAGAGCTGAATTGAGACAAAGGACAGAATGATTTGGTTTGCTCATCGATCTCGCCCTAACCATGGTCATCCCCGGAATCAGCGAGGAGCTTTCAGCGGGAGAATCACGCACACCGATCTCAAAGTCGGACTCTCCATTGATTGAAATGACAAGTTGTTCAATAATAACAAATAATCAATTCAATTCAAAACAGCGAACCTCCTGGAGAAATTGTTGTCCTTCCGAATATTGCACGCCAGTCTGGCTGGGATTTTCTCTTTAGGTGTCCTCGAGAAATTGAGTTCCCGCTGTAGCATATCCCGTAGAAGCCCGCTCCTCTAGGTTGAACTTACGGGCGTTGCTTACTTTCACGGTCTTCCCAGCCCTTAGCGTGGAATTCGTCGCGGTTTTACGACGCTTCGATATTTTCCCTTAAGAGAGTCGGACGAGAACGACACGACCGGAGATATGACCGCGTGCGCCGTTGTTCTGGGATCGACAGCTAAAGAATAGACAAAAAATGTCAATAATTTGAGAATCAGTCATATGCCTTGCTCCTCATCAGCGATCCGAAGTGCGAGCCGAACTGCCGCGACACATTGAGACATGCTTCGAGACATTCAGACATTAATCGAAAGCTCATTATATTAGAGAGAGTGAAGCTCGCGTATCAATTCCTGTCCCCCTTAGTGAGAGAGCTCGAAACGTAGCTGACAATCTGCCCGAATTCCGAAGCGGTTCTCCCGGGCTAGTGAGCCGCGTGAGTGATCTTCGATGGCCCCCCTTTTTAAGAGCGAAACTGTGATTGAAATTTTCGATCAAACCCGACCAGCGCAACGGACCGCATCTAGAGAGCGAACGTACAATTTGCGACTGTTGGAAACGAAGCCTTGACTAGGCCATTTTTGCCACTGGAATTTCTTCCAGCCCTCCGTCGATCACTTCAAGGAGACTTCAAAACCGAGAGCGACCGAGTAGTGATTTAGGTCCAGTCCCTCAACTGTCTCCCGGCATCCGACGGAAGGAGACAGTCTCGCATCGAAGACGGAGCAGCTCAGCGCATTATTCTGAAGCTAGATGAATGGAGGACTCAGAATTGTAGCTTCATCTTCTAGGGATATGGAGCCTCAACTTGGGAGTAGAACAGGCTCCGGAATTATGTCTTCTCATACTCGTTACCTTCAAAGGCTCATTTTGCGAGGCAGCGGTGGACCGTCGACGTCAATCCAGTTTGACTGATCAGGAGACTGATTCGAGAGCCGAAGCATCGCCCAAAGACGGCTGGGATTCCCCATGCAGCCTATTGTCGAGATTCAGCCACTCCATGTCGGAGCTTCCACATGAATATTTTTTCGGAAGTCCCCGGTTGGGATCTCATCCATTTCTCTTTTTTGAGAGCACCGCGGAAAAAAGGTCGATAAAAGTCCGATTTGAGGAGCACATCTCGTAAAATCAGGAATGAGACGAAACAATTTAGATGTCTCTCTCCTTATTTATTATGACATCTTTTGTTCTGGCGGCTTGTTGCTCATTTCTTCCCTAGCGAAGTACGATCCGCGTCCGTGGAATCCATCCCCGTACATAGACACTCTGAAAATTTATTCCTGAGTGCTCCGCTCACTCAAGATTTATGTGACATCATGGTCGTGAGGGATACCTCTCGGAAGTGGAACCGGCGAGCACGAATGAAACGGAGGACTCCGATCGGGACTATTCCAGATGCAGAGATGACGAGGCTCAAATACATAGCAATCTTATCATAGAGCTGAAACGTATCCGAGGAACGATCGAAAGTGACAGCGGTGGCATGAGTGGTCTCGATGGAGCCACCGGAATTTACTCGAAGTCGATCGTTTCAAGTCGGAGATCCTCACTCGTTTAGCATTCTGAACCCGAAAGTCTATAAAGATATTCTGCTATCGAAATTCGAGTAACATGGTTCCGATATTCATCGGAGGCATCGAACTGTGACACCTGTCTACCTCAAATCGTTTGGTGTTGCGGACGCGCCGTGGACATGGGGCTATCTCGCGAGAAGTTTCTCCTGTCCGATTCAGAAATCGAAGCTGAGGTCTCATGATCTACCCACGCCTTCGATCGGTAACCTCCCACCACAACGTTTACAACCCCACACCGGCAAAGGTCGCCAAACATAACGAGGATTCTGAGTGGGGGTTACTGGTGCGGCGATGTTAAATTACCCCGTGGTATGCGATGTTACTTCTGGGAGGATCCGCTCATGACCAGCGATGAACTTCGGCCCGACCGGAGGGGCCATTCTCGCCACCACAATGTTCTCGTTTCGACCGACGATAATCGTCATAGATTTTCTTCAAAGAGAAAATTCGCTCAAAATCGGTTGCGAACTTCGGAGCTACTTTCGAGTCGAGACCGAGCGAGATGCCACGGGTATCCGGAGACCGTGAATTGCGCTATCGAATCATTCCGATTGCTCCTTATATGATAATTTCTCTACTTTTCAACGCTTTTACCTTCTCCCAACGCTATCACGTAGTCAGCGGTACTTCTCGAGGAAGCTCCGACTGACTGCGCGCGGAATCCGATACTCAGTCAGTCAGTCATCGGCTCATGCACCGGGACGAGAGTCGACTCCACAAGGCCGGTGACCCTCTCCACACTGCTTACAATTAGACTGACGGCGCTGCAGTTCGCGTTGTTGGGAATCACCCACGCTTCCGACTATTCTACTCCTTCGACAAGCATTTTAGAGGGGCCATGGCTTCTCAGACGACGAAGTTGAGTAATGGGTTAGAGATACCGCTCCTCGGTCTCGGTACATCAACGGTGAGTGACACCCCATCATTCGGGCTAATCGTGAACGGGCCAGCGTTCGTCATCCGTTTTTGGGGAAGATCTCGTTTCACCGTACTTACCGTTGGGGAGGCGGCTGCCTCTCGATCGTGGGTCGGAGATCGTTGAGAAACTTAACTCTTTAAGGTCCGATTGTGGGCGATGCGATAGGAAGGCTGACTGAGCGGAATTTGCAGTAAAATAGGGATTCGACCTTCCGCACAGATAGGTGATATCTACGAGGGAACATGTCGGGCGATCGATGCCGGCTACCGTCTTATCGACACGGCTTCCCTGTACCAGAATGAAGGTGAAATCGGCCGAGCCGTCGCCGATAAAATCAAGGACGGGACTATAAAGCGAGAAGACCTCTTCATTGTCACGAAGGTGGGCGGATTTCTCATTAATTGCCCCAAGTCGAAGCGTAAAGTGCGTAGCACTAGATGAATCTTGCCCCTTTCTAGATACACGTCAATAGTCATCGGAGAGGAGCCTTCGCCAAGGACTTCGAGGGCTCTCTAGCTCGCTTGAGGGTCGATTACGTCGATCTGTATTTGATACATTGGCCGATCGCGCTTGCCGAAAACTGCAGCGGGAAGATTACAGACGGTCCCATAGTTTTCGATGACGACGCAGATTATCTGACAGTATGGGCAATGATGGAGGAGGTGGGTCCGAGGAAGATCACGGGATATCTCTCCGTTCGAGTTCGAGTGTATCAGGCACGAGAAAACCTCTGAATCGTTCCTAAAACTACCCTTGACTCGAGTAGTTGCTCGAGTCCGGAAAAGTTCGCGCCATTGGTTTGTCCAACTTCAACAAAGCTCAGATCGAGCGGATTCTCAAATCGTGCAAAATCAGACCGGTCGTCAATCAAGTGGAATGTCATCTGGTCTTCAACCAAGAGCGCTTGAGGAGATACTGTGCGCAGCAAGGCATTCTGCTCATGGCATTCAGTCCCTTGGGAGCTCCAGGTAGAACAATGTGAGTACAAGAACAGGCGCTATATTGGCAATCTGAACATTGGGATGAGGCAGATCATGTTCGAACCTGACGAGGGCCCCTGTATCGAGACCCACTCGCGAGAACTCTCTCCGTATATACTTCATCTCAACAGAATAAGGACCGATGCGCCGAAACTGCTCGAGAACGACGTTGTAGTCGAACTCGCCAGAAAGTATGGGAAAACCCCCGGCCAAATTCTGCTCAGACATACCATCCAGCGGAATATAATCGCGATTCCGAAGAGCGCCAACCCTCAGAGAATACGGGAGAACATCGACATCTTCGACTTCGCTCTCGAGCCGGCCGATGTCGAGCGTTTGAACGCGCAGGACAAAAATCTTAGGCTGGTGGAGAACAAGGTCTGGGAAGCTGGTAAATACTACCCCTTCCACGATGACTATTGAAGCGTTCCCAAATGAGCGCAGCTGTTGGCTCCGACGAATAATGAATAATAGTTCCCATACAAGAATAAACCAAATCCACCCTTTTTGCTCAATCTCCCATCACGATTCTATCTGATAATGATACGGAGTGACTGGAAGGGCCTCGGCCTCGACACGGCGTACTTCATGAGGACGATCCCGTTAGATCGAATTGTGGGAGCTCAGGTCCACGGATCATGACATCCGCTATCGCACGGCCTGTGTCACCTCATAAGCGAAGAAGCCAGCGCCTCAGGGGCGGCTCTCAATGACACACAGTCAAGCGCATTGTGTGCCCGTGTCGGGACAACGGTGAGCGAAATAGAACAAGCAGAACTTGGTAGTCGCCGCAGCGCATGTACAGCAAAAATGCCTCTTTTTTATTTCTCCAGTTCGTCTGCCGGTTCGATCGGTCGGACTTGTTTCACGCCATTTACCGGAACCTCCGAAGCCTCCGTAGACGGAACAAAATGCCTTCATGATAGCTTGGGCTCATATCGTGACCCAGCGATCCCAGATCTCTCGAATGAGTCCACTCCATTCTATAGTGTAGGCCCGCTTAGACGGGATCCACACAGGGCGAATGATCATCCCTTGAAGATAGCCATGAGTAGCTCTTCAAAGAATTCTAGTCCATTCGGTGAGATTAGCGCGTGCGTCGTCAATGAAGCCGTTCGCCGCAAACCCAAGACTCATTTCATGAATTATCCCCCTCACCGTCTCGTTGGACGATGTCCGGGAACCACTCGAAGTGTTCATTCGAAGGAGCCAGCTGATTTTTCACGACACAATACTCCAAGCAGGGCAACCTGATCAGGAGATGCGTGTTTACACGACGCGTCGCGGACAGTGATTCTCCGCGGTCCAAATAAAATGATCTACTCCTTTTGCCAGAAAACGCTTCATATTGAGAATCCCGAAAGAGGTCACAGACTCACCGGCGGGAAGTACGTAAAGATTGAACGTTTAACAATTCCAGCGTCTCCCTCCGACTCGTTCGCGTGATCCCAAGTTTGCTCTGTGGTGTCGCGAATTCACATTTATCGCTTTGGCCCATGAGCCTCGACCGGGGACGTAAACGAGCGGTATGATCGAGTTCTTCAGGACGCTAATCACGACTCGGCAACTCCTATCGGTGACACATCTACGCGGACTTTATTGCTCAGTAGGGTTCCGTTCATTTCGAATCGTTTCTGGCGGGCGAGTGGTCCACCCGCTGTGGATCCGACCCATTGATAGAGAGAACCACGAAGGAAGACTCGCCGTCAGTACAACAATCTGCTCGGGCAAAATTCAATCTATGCATAGCCAATCCATATGACTCCGGATCTGACGACCTCTCTCGAGGTTTACGGAGAATCGACGAGCTCACCGGTGCATCGTTCTCCGAATTCATTGTAGAGAGACCGCTCTCGACGTATTCCGAAGGATTGACCGTGATGATTGCGCCACGCGGCGAAAGCCACCGAGACCCAGACCCTCGTCGGTGCGAGATAATCGCAGGGAATGCCCGTCGAAGGAGCCGATTGACTCGCCAAACATCGGAGTATCGATTTGAGCCATTCAAAACCTGAAGGCGATCCGGCGGTACGTCGAGGACGGCAGCGATAGTCAAATACACGACGTCGAAATCTGAAATTTAGACTAGTTGGCGAGCCCGTCCGACGGCCTACGGTCCAACTAGTCATACAACGTCTGCTCGGAGCAGCGGCTCGTGGTTCCCTCTGATTACGCCGGGTCGTGACCCCAGATCACGACCATAGTCACTAGAGGGGTATCTGGCCCGAGAAAGCAACCCTCGGAGCCGGCTACACTCATGGTTTTTCGACGGCTGTACAGAAATCCGCCGATGGCACGAAATTCCCTCGTAACGGATGCAACAACCTGTCGCATGAATGGCTGCAGCTGAATCTGAATGACCTTCGCTTCGGTTTGCAAACCCGGCATGGTCAGAAAATCAGTGCGAAACTATTGTTGTCCTCTGAGACACGAGGGGCTCTCCGGAGCTCACGAATTGAGGCTCGCCGAAAATGAGGCTCGAATATCAGCTCCTCTGTCCAGGGCGAACTCTGCGCAGGATCGACTGGGGAATACCATTAATACTGAAGAACTTTACGGGTTCGAAAGAGCTCTCGTTTGCGGCGATGACCTGTTTGACCTGCAGGGTTAATATCCAACCGCAGACCGCAGTCAAAAGGCTCTTTGCCGTCGAAATTCCGACGCTCAGACATAAGGCACCGCCCCCTGTCACTTCTCTTCTGTCTTGGGAGAACTTCAGCGGAGGGTGGAGCATGCGGTTCCGACGACGCCGACGCTAAGGCTCAATGTACGACTGTGAACGAGAGCCCGCGTCCACGATCAAACTAGCTCGACAATCGCTCGTAACATCGGAGAGTTGATATACCATGTCCGTACAGAGACTGGGGTCAACTCAGTACAGCGTACTACAAGCTTCAGGTGGAGCACGATGAAGTGCAGCAGAAGCGCCGCCCTGGGCAGGTAACGGAAAGGAGAGGAGGCGGGCCCTACTCCTCTGCGCGGTGAAGTACGCCGAAGGTAGTCTAACGTTCAGTACAGAGACGAGTTCGGTAGATGACGGACACTCATGAAGAAACTAGCAACATAGTGTATGACATTCAGTTCGTGCTTTCGTGACAGCAGGATGCTGGTCTGGAGGAGATCTTGCTCAGTCTGGACCATCGCCCTCATGCTGATAACGTGGGCGAGTCATGGAGTGGTGAGTTCCAGATAGCTTAATGCAGTTGGAAGGATACGAAGCCATGGAAGCCCATGGACTCGAATCGGATTCGGATTATTCGGATGCGCTGCTAACTTCCACTGGTACAAGGTCGAGCCTCATGCTAATCTCTAGCATTATCGGAGACACCTCGGATAAATTTCAAGAGTATCGTGACGAATATCGTCTTCCCGTCGTGATCGTGTAAAATTAACGGGTCGCTGGTATCGAAGGAATCAGGGATGGCGCGCTTATCTGACTTGAAATTGAGTCTCTCAGGCTCATAAGTTTTTGATTGAAGAAGAAAGTTTCCCCCAAAGTCTCGTTCTTTCATTCTTCTCCTTAAGCCTTTCGAAAACGGACAATTATCCCGGACACGAACGATCGATTCAGCGGTGTCCGAGCTGTCAACGCACCTTCTCGCGAGATAAATCAGTCAGAGCCCGAAGCCTTATCGCAAGGCTCCTAGAGCCTCTGACCTTGGCCTGACTCGCTTGAAAGGTCTTTCTGGAAGACTCGATGGCAGTCCAATGAATTCAGCTCGAGATCTGCTTGAGTTCCGATCCCAACCTCCGAAACCTTCTCATCCTGACGGCGATTAGGAGCGGAACAATCGAGGACCGTCAATATAAAAGGGGAAGGAGAGTGATAGTAGCCACCATTTAGACAGGTGGTGTTTAGTTCAGTGATCGTCATCTTTGCCACCGCTGCCGCCGTCATTATCGTCGAGAAGTTCTACAAAACACGAGAAATGCGGTACTCGGTACTCGTGAGTAGCGTCGGGCGTTTCGTTCGTTCGTTGTTGTTCTGGTCCGTCGGATCGATTCTATGACGTAGTCTTTGGTGAATCGAAGCGTCACTCCATGGCACTTTACCTCCCGCGGCCTTGTTCATTACACGAAGTGGTTTTCACCAGCAGCAGAAAAACACAGAGAAAAACGTGCGCAGACCTCTAGACGCTGGACTTCGATTTTCTCTACATGCTTGATCAAGAGACTCATTGCTCGAAACGACGGAGAGCATTGATATTTTTGCTGATTAGAGCAGCCCTCCGAGTTCGGGATGGAAGTGTCCACGGGAACGGCGTACTGGAAGTCTCAGGCTCGAAAGATTTCGAATTTGGAATCACACATCCAGTACCACGGTCTTCTCCGAAGGAGTTCAGCCGTATACCTGAGTACCTGGATATGCTTCGGAACTATCGGAAGACCTCGGCCGAGTCATTCCGGCTTCACCGTTATTTCTATGCTTCGGCTGCGGTATTCGGGGTTTCGGCTGATTTGTTAGCGGGTATCGATCGTGTTTGGAATCAGTGTAACGGATGACGATCTGAACGTAGAAGAATCGTGAACCTACGGTTGATGAGCATCGATCTTGTTCTGTCTGCTCGCGTCTGTATGTGTCAAACATCCGCACAAAGCAATCGTGAACGGCATCGGGATTCTTCTTCTCCGCTTCAATCACTCGCCCACTGAGAAATCGGTGATTTGCGGCTCCCATCATCATCATCATCATGATCTTGTGTCCCTGAAAGCGAGGGATCTCAAAAGTTCATTTCACAGACGGTTCGCTTGTTCTTCATCTCTCGTGCTTCATTTTTCTCGTGGTACATCACGAGATCTCGAACAAAGCGATCTTCAAACGCTACAAAACTTGACTCCTGTTACATTTCTGGCACTTTACTACGCCATAGCTCCGACCGGCGTACCGAAGCCCGAAACAAGCGTCTGGGCTTTCGCTCGGCAGCTTCAGAAGCACTGGTGATCCGAGACCCCTTGTATTGGAAGGAGCGTTCGGCACAGTGTCGAACTCTCTCATAACTCGAAAAACCCGGATGAGCGCAGATCGGAGCAATACCGGGGATTCACCGAATAACCAACTTCATCTCCTCTCTTCCAGGCAGACTGCAACTGTAAAAAAGTCGGAGCCCCCTCGTCCCCGAAAACCCTCTCGCGGGCCAGCCGATCCACGGTCGAAGTTCCATCAGCAGAGAAACTCGCGAGCAGATTCGGATTGGGCCCGGTAGCTGATGGTCACTGGCGACAAGAACAAAAACAGGAGGATGGCTCCGTCAGAGGTCGTTATGGATACACAGATCCCAGCGGTCTTGTGAAAATCGTCGAATACTTCGCCGATGACAGCGGGTTCCATGTTCTCCACGTGAAAACACAAGCGCCAAAGCATCAAGTCGACTCGGATATTCACCACGATACGTTCAGCCCGTTCCTCGGCGTCGTTCCACCATTCGTTGCGAGGAGTCGCAACCAACACCAGCCTGACAGGATGGATTTCCCGATTAACGAAATCTAATTAGAGCTGATTGCGAATGAAGAACTTTGCTCAAGGACGAGAGGCGAGCTCGCGAAAACCGTGTGGACTTGGGAACTGACTCAGTCCATGTCGAGGTCCCAGTGCACTTCTGGACCGTAAATTGTGATAATGTGAGAACTTATTTCTCTAGGAAGAGAAGCGACGTCAACGATTATTGGGGGACTCGTTGTGTTGCTTTGGATTGTTATCCATTGTGATACCGTAATGTATATAGGGTATAAGTCAATAAATTGTTATGAGTAGACCTCTACGGAATGTCAAGGGTTGTCTTATGTTTCGACTTCCGATCATTCTCCGCTATATCGGGCAGAATCTACAGGAGGCAAAAACGAGACAGAATGCAAGAAAAACTCCAACGTCTTCTCAGAATGTATCGTCACCGTGACGAAACTCCTCGGTAAACATCGAACTTCCTCGACTTTGGACGAGGAAAAAAAGCTTACGTTGGATCGAGTGGATGTCATTAGGCTCGGATGTGGTGAGAATTTTTCGCTCGTACCGAATCCGATGAGCGACCATTTAGCCGATGAAGTCTGTCCGTGAGTCGACGCGCGGCTCGAAGATGAGTCTCGTACCGTCGTTCGACCATGGTCCGTCTGTCTCTCCGTCCCTTCCTTCGTCCGTCCGCTCGCCTGCTCGTTGGTAAGACTGCGACGGCGATGACGCCGATAGCGTCCATCCAGGGATGCGATGCTGCCGGAGAGGATATTAGCGGTCGTGCCCGCTTGTCATATATCACAAGTCATGAGGAGTCGTTGTAGAGGGCAGACATTTCGCGAGGTCGTGATCTAACCATTGGCAACCTGCCGACGACCGGAGGCGACTCAATGGCCGGGCATACCAAGCGAGTCAGCAACTCTACGGAAATTGTAATGTTTACTCCAACACGTGAAACGATTGTCCAGAGAGATACGCACTGCCTTGCTGAATGGTTTCTCAAGTGATTCTCGCTACAAACGTGCGAAAGACGACCGGCGGCCCAGTGGCATCGTGGTGTTGTAAGCAGATACGATCGCTATCTGCTCGCTTCCATTTTTTGAAGCGGATTCCTGATTCTCCGGAAGAAATCCTCCAGAACGCCGTGCCTGCGACACGATCGTTGTACGAGACCGGCGAAGAACTCACTCCGAAATTCGGAGCTCGCTCCCGGTCGCTGACAATTACATCGAGATTCCGATCTGGTCGAAAGAGCTGTAGAGCGGGTTCTGATGAAAGATCGCATGAGGTGCCGCGAATGAGCGCAATCGGAGGAGTCGACAGCTTCATGAAGACGGATAGAGTTCATCCCTCGATTAATTGACCGCGTGGTCTACGGGTCGATGGGTCGGTCGGTCGGTCGTCCGGTCGGTCGGTTGATCCATGCTCGATAGAGGCATGCAGTGAAGTCGTGTAGCCGATTTAAAGAAAGTCAGCCGCAGGACCGACGAAGCGACGGCGTACCGGACGAACGACCAGGTAGCCAAGCATCGAAGCTCGCTCGATGGCGAATTTGTAAAGCTCGGCGTTGCTACTCAGCTTCGATCTTCTATCGCATGCTTTGGGAACTTCCCTCGGCGAGCAGGGCAGCGTTCGAACAGGCCAACGGGCACCGATCGGAAAGCAGCTGTATGTCAAAGGTTGATTCGACCAGCCGTATTTCCTGTCGCCCATGAAGCATAGCGACGACACCGAGATGCGTGCCATCAGAAGGCTCCGAACGGTGGGCGCGGGTCGGCTTCGGTACTGCCAGCAGAAAATTATCGTGCGTTTGAGCGTCGCGATGAGCAAGCTCCGAGCGCACGGTACAATCACCAACCGACAGCTAGTCTGAGAGAAACGAGGACGAGATCAAATCGCGCGGACGAGACCCTCGGATCGGTTATTAATTCGATCGAGGAGTTCGATTCCTGAAGTGTCCGTATGAGTGCAACAAAAGGAATCCTCATCGATCATTCCACGATATGGAGAAGGTTAGTCTTTGACAAAAGCTTTCGGATATTCGATTAGGCTGATTGCTGCGCTCATCGGCATTCAGCCCATTATTTGCCGTCCTGCCGGAGCGTGGATTCGAGAGAGACAAGCGTGTAAATTGGAAAATTCTCCAGAGGGAAGAGAATTTATCCGTCCAATTAGTATTTTCGGAACATAATTATATTTCGGAACATCACGATCTGGAAATCCATCTATGGTCAGAGCAGTACGATCACGCGTTCCCGGCTGATTCGTGTTGCTTGGCAATCACAGCGTTTTGAAGGGATCCGAACGGTAATGAGTGGATACCTGCTCCACGAGGAAGATGTAATGGAGCTCGACGCGTGCTTTCCTCTCCACGGGTCAATATGCAAAGGACAGCGATCGGTGGGGTTACTGAAACTCTCGAATTTTTCGGGAAACGCCGTGCATTTCCTCGTGCCGCTGCGATACTCAAACGAGAGCTTCCGCACGTATTTGTGATCAGGAATGATTCTGGCGGTTTTAGAGGACACTGTCTCCGATTTCCGCTCACGGATTTCAGGGAAAAAATTATCAGTCCCGATCATGACTCTAGAACAAAGTTCCACGAGAGCCCCCCTTCCGTAAGAGATAAGCTCTCTGCTTCCGGTATCACTACTGTGACAGTTCAAGAACCTGATTCTCTGAGACCGACGATAGCACCCGCTCTAGAGCCATGTCCAGTCCCCAGTCTAACACCTCGAAACAGAGAGCCGCCTCTGATTACCCGAGGGACAAACTTCTTGTCTTTCCGGATGTTCGCTTTCCGCTTGCCGCCAGCGGAAGCGCTGCTGTTTGCGATACCCGTTTGTTATGGTGGGACGCTGTCGGACTGCGTGAGAAAGAGTGCTCCCCTTTGTTCTGGAGCGTGCTTCGAGATTTCGTTGCCGTAAGACGACCGCATGCTTTCTTTTAAGCCCGGTTGCGTTTCATCTCCGGCGAACTCGCTCCTCGACGAGATCACAGCTGTGCCCACCGTAGTCGAGTCCGTTCGGAGCCGGTACTGTCTCGAAAGCAGCGGCTTCGGCAGCCGCAAGAAAAACTCACTGAGACTATGGGTTCTACTACGCTGGCGTTTCTTGCTGTTGTGACGCTGCTCTCCGAGACCACGATTCATCAGGTGAAAGCTAAGCCTCCTGTTGTCATAAATACGTGGGCGTTCCAAGCGGCCACACGTGAAGCATGGAAAACTCTCCTAAGAGGCGGTAATTCGCTGGACGCTGTGGAGGATGGATGCACTCGGTGCGAGGAATTGCAATGCGATGGCACAGTGGGTTACGGTGGGAGCCCCGACGAGAACGGTAATGCAACGCTCTATTTGGTTGCTACGCATGCTTTCAATCAGCGGACTATGATACCGGGAGCACGGCAATACGACTTTGTGATAATTACGTAACCAGGACTGCTCTTGTCACGGACTCGTCCGCTCTGTGTACTGCTCCTCATCGGTATGGCGACCGGGAAACGGACCTCTCAGCGAGTGAATCCGACTCTCGGAACCGGCCTGACCGTTTCGCGAGGGACCACGAGTTCGAGAATTCGAAACGCTCCCGCGTACCTGAAAATCGAAAACGATGGGGACAAATAATTCGTTCTTCTCGACTCAACAGGAGAAACGACTCTCGACGCCATGATCATGTACGGTCCCAACCGCAACGTCGGGGCGGTTGCTCAACTCCGCCGGATCAAAGAGGCCATGCGAGTAGCTAGAAAAGTCTTGGACCATACAGCACACACACTTCTTGTCGGAGACTCGGCAACGAACTTTGCCAAAACAATGGGATTCGAGGAAGTGGATCTCAGCACTAAGAAATCGAAGTACCTACCACAACCAAGAACGATGATCGTATGTGATGAGCCAGTCTATCCGAAAGTCCCGATATCCTTCTAAGCGATCAAATTCAAAACCCAGGGAAGACAATGCTCTTTGGAAGAACAATCGATGTCAACCAAATTACTGGATCAATGTGAGTCCAGACCCGAAGATTTCCTGCGGACCCTACAGCCCAATAACGGAAAGCGAGGACCGGCCTCGATGGGACGCACCTTCGAATATAAGCCGCTGGAATCACGATACCATTGGAATGGTCGCTATCGACAAGCACGGAATTATTTCCGGTGGGACGTCGACCAATGGAATGACACATAAGATCCCTGGTCGTGTGGGCGATTCCCCGATCCCCGGTGAGCTCATTGTGACGTTTATCGAATCCCATGGAATGCGTTTTGAGGCACGAGACCGACTCCCGAAAATCGTGGCTTTATCTACCAACAGGAGCTGGAGCTTACGTCGATCAGGAAGTGGGCGGTGCAGCTGCTACAGGAGATGGAGACATCATGATGCGTTTCCTACCGGCATACCAGGCGGTTGAGTTCATGCGACAAGGGTAAGTCTGGGGAAATATTTCTTCGCGCGCGGAAGTCTCTCCACTTTTGCGTTTCGTCAATTCTTAACCCGTCTCATCCCTGCAGGATTGTGCCGATGGAGGCTTGTCGTCAAGCATTGCACCGCATCACGAAAATCGTCCCAACATTCCAAGGCGGTCTCGTTTGCGTCAATATGCAGGGTACGGTCGGTGCTGCATGCCATGGTCTACCAACTTTCCCGTACTCGATGGTTAGCGATGAAACGGACGGAAAAGTCAATGTAAAAAAAATTGATTGCGAACAGACTGGCTGATCGGACAGACAGGGAGTCGGGAATCTCGGTGGGCGAACCGCTTCTCTCCGAAGCCGTTGCCAGCGGTTTCCTCGATTACTGTGGGAGTCCAGAACGCTCAACGAGTAAAGTCTACCCGGAGAAGAATAGACGGGGTCCGGGGGGGGGGACTGGAGTTCGTTTAGAGGAGATTTGAACGACTGAAAAAAAGTAAAAATCCAGACGCTCTCCCGATGCTTTTCTCGTGTCTGTGAGCGCGCGTGGATGTCGCCTTGGGAACGACCACGAAGCGTCTACGGAATCATACGTAGCTGTTTCTATTTATGTGTACATCTTCCGCGGCCACCAGCGTCGAGTTGACTCGATGTTTGATAGGACGCCTTTGTTCAAACGGCACGACGTTGACGACGACTATGACAGCAACGGTGGCCTCGGCGACCCCCTGGCTTGAAGTAGATACACTTGTTAGGCAACTTTATGACAACGTCGCCCGTCTTCTAATATGCATATCGTTACACCGCCACCACCACCAACAACAACAAAGACACGGACAGCGAGAACTTCATCATAAAGATAAAATCAATTTGGTCATGCCAAAAGCTCTCGACAAAAGCGATGTGACCACATTCTCCTCCTTCGTCATATGCTCGAGCATGTAGGTTATCGGAAAGCTCATCGGATGATATGAATTAAAAACGAGCAAAGGAACAGGATATCCAAAGCTGACCGAGACTGTTCTCCGGTGACTTACGCATCTACTTCTCTTGATAGAGAATCACTTCAGTAGAAGAAGGAGCAGCGAAGAAAATTTAAGGCAATTTCGCCTGTTGTAGCATCTGCTTGTCGGCGTGGGACGTAGAATTCACGAAGTGTTCCTGCGAGTTTGTGTACGTATGCGAGCGTGTGCGTTTGTGTGAGTTTGTGTATTACAGCTATGGGCAACAGGCGAGTACCTCATGCTTTTCCCGCATAGCTTCGTGACCCCGCTCGCTTCAATGACAGCGTCTGCCAGAACCTCAACAGCAGCGGTAGTGGCGGCGGCGGCGGCGGCGGCGGCAGCAACGATGCTGATGACGACGACGACGGCGGCGGCAACGAAGACCGCAGCTGAGGCATCGGGCACGATGGTCAAGCTTGTAGTTGAATCAGAAAAATACTCGGTCGGGCTCGTGCACCCGAACGGTGACGGGACGACAAAGTCCATGAGGTTCCGCCGTATCGATTCCAAGCGACTCCGAAGCTTCCAGTTTCACAGAACAGTGACTCGTTGTCACCGATTCCCCGAACGGTCGTGGAAGCAGAACAAGCTCCAAAGGTGTGAATTTACAACAACTCCGTCGCCACGAATGTTTTATGTTTCTGGCTGCTCCGTCTCCTCGGGTCGAATATATTTTCCACCGCGACGAAGTTCGAGGAAGCGGAGCGGCGCCGGCAAGCGTCGCAGTTTGAACTCCCCCGCAGTAAAGTCTCTCCTCACGACACCCGCCATTGAGGCCAGCTTACGAGCGCTTCGGAATAAACGATGAATGATTTGATTACTATAGGACCGGCGTGCACCGAGTCTTACGGACTTCCTCCGGATCGGTCGTCGAGCTGGTCGACATCGTAAAAGTGAAAATGTTGTGACGACTCATGAGATCAACATCTCGACCCGGTCAGTCATTGAGGCGAATGCATTGAATGAATATCAGAGACACGGAAGAATGCGGTGCTCGTCTCGAAGCTCGCTCCGAACCACGAACACGGATCGTGGAAGCGGCATCGACAACTACGGCGAGCTGCAAACAGCGCACGTAATTTGTTTCTGCTTGGGTCGTAGGTCGGGGGCCACCCCCATATCGAGCCAGTCACTTACTCCGCTGCTTAGCTGCTATACCTGAGCACTACCGCCCCCGGTCAAAGAAAACGTCGACGTTGCTACGGGCTCCGCACTCGCCGACCTCCTGACGACTGACAATGGGCGAGGCTCGGGTTCTCTCTCGGCCAAAGCAGCTCATTAGGCTGTGGACGCAGATTCGAACGGGGGCCGTCGTGAGCGCGCTACGGAATCCGACCCATGACCGGCGGCGTCCTGCCTCTACGTTGAGAGATTCAGGAAGATATCAACGATTACGACGACGACGACGGCGACGACGATGACGTCGTCGACGTCCACGGGACATCGGCCTAGGTCGGACAGTCGTGCGCACGACGCGGCGCCGCTGCACGACGCTCTCACTGGACGCATCGGGACGGTGACAGCGGCGCGGCGAAGGAGACAGTGGAGAGTTTCGGGCTGTCAGTGCGCTCGTGTCTCCGGAGTGTCGTGCATCTGGCGTCTTTCGACCAGATGCATTGACAAGTCGCACGCGCCATTCGTTCATCATGTTACGTGAGACTTGGATCCCACGGCTCGCGTATGGCGTTTCCTGCCGTCGTCGACGCCGAGCCCGACAGGATGGCCTAACCTGTTTTTGTATGGACAGTTGGTTAACGGGACAAGCCGTCCATGCGACTCTAAAGATCTCGCGGGCTTTCTCTACCCAGTGCGCGGGAGGGAACATCGAAGCTATTGAATAACCGCACTGCGATTGCAGGGCTTCGGGGGAGGGAGGAAGGGGGGTAGAGGCGTTCTCAGGCTAACAAGGGAGAGATGGAGCGAATCTATTCATGTCATCTGTCTATTCTTCGCTTTGTCGTTTGCTGGAGCCCGAGACTAAATATTCGGCAATATCCAATCGTAAAAATTACGGGTCGGTGGGAAACTCGAGAATCACAAACACGGCGAACAAACACCGGCGGTCGTTCTCTATGCCGGTCAAACTTCGAAAGAGCCCACAGAAAAAATCATTGAAGGCCTTTTCTTCACATTGAAGTACGTCGGGAACGTCGATCCGCGAACGCGCTTAGCAAAGCCTCGAATCGACCGGGGCGCCGGCGTCGCATCGTATTGATTGACTACTCAATGGGAGTCAATCCGCCGGGAAGATCTCTGCGGAACGGGGGCTGACTGATTAGCCGCACCGGCGGCGTCAGAGTGACTGTTCGATTGAGTGGACGTATGAACCATACGACGCGGGTCGTAAGGAAAAAAGGTCTCGAATCGATCGGCCTGTAGTACAAGCTCCTGCCAGACCCGTCGGGGAAACAATAATTCAAGAGAACAGACTAAGTTTGACCGCCCGCCCGACTGTCCGTCTGAAACTAGTCAACAAAGGAAACAGAGCGCTGAAAAAAACCATCACAAAACGATATTGGCACTCGGGATTTTCTGTTGGCGTGCGCGGGCGGGTCGCCCTCTGACCTGGGGCTCCTAAACTCAGAAGAGCATAACGCGCATCGCAGGCGTCGTCCGGCCCGAGCGGACGACAGCCGAGTCGGTGCTCAGCCGGCTTCAGAAACAACGCATCAACATAACAATTACACCAGACTTCGGCCGAGATCGATACAGAAGACATGTCATGTGGATCACGAGCGCGTACCTGAAGACAACGATCCAGATTGAATTGCTGTCACCTGCAGACGAGACTTCGCCGAGGGAGGGACTAGCCTGAGTCGAACACTTAAAATACAGAAGCATGCCCACAGGGAGCTCGGGCTGAAACCTGGGAAAAAATCCAAGCCTTCATTTCCGACGATTCTTTCGGTTAGTAGAGACTACGAGTTTCGACCTTCTGCACCAATATATGGCCCTCGACTGTCGGAGCAGAAAGTTCTGTGGAGACACTGGACCGTTTTCTCGTTGTGTTTTCAGATCTCATGCTTTAAAAGTGCTGTCGGAGCAGCCCGTTCCCCTTCCTCGAGTGAAATACAACGAGTTCCCGTTCGATGCCGCCAAGACATCGGCGAGGTGGTTCATGAGTTATTCGTCCCGCTCTTTGAGCTGTTCCAGTGAAACCGCAGTCGGTGACCCCGTTTCGTAAAAACTGCTCAATCGTCAGCCAGACCTTATGGTTCACTAATTTTCCGACTAAACGCTTTCTTCAAAACCATAGTCGGATCGTCCTCAATTTTTAACCTTTTCGCCCCCACGACCAGCTGGGTTCATGCAACCGAGCTGACCGTGGCTGACTACGGATTCGACTGACGCAGTCCGCTCGTGCGAAGATTTCGAGTCGCGGCTCGCCCTATAACCACAACGAAGGATGATCCTCTTCCGAGTTTCTTGCTCGAGAGTGTCGTCTGGAAGCTCATGGGCTGAAAAATCTGATGTCTGTCGCTAGAGTGAGCACCAGATCTGAACAAGATCGCATCGCAATACTAAGCTGCTGAGGAGCCGAATTCCTGCTCGAGTAGGAAAAAGTGAGTTATCCGATGGTCAACAATGCACATGGATGATCCGCAATGCCATCATCGACAAACTTCGAAGCAGTAATATTCTCGTGAGCATCCGTTCTGATCTATTTCTGGTGGTCTCGCCTGGGAGGTCTCTTTGGGAGAAGGCCTTTGTGCGAAGTCGCATAATGAAGCCTATAGTCATAAGAACGAGTAGTATCACGCCTGGACAAGTGTCTCTATTACCGGCGGATCACAATATGGCCCGCTTGATGGAGTGCTGAAGCCGTGACAGATGCGCTCACAAAAGCACTCGGGTACACGGACGATCTTGACAGCTGAATTCTTCTAGCTTCGCTCCAACAAGGCTCAGGAGACGACTCGAGATCCAACATGAGAGAGTCCACAATTCCGAGCCCACCGAGCACGAGTCTGTGTGCGCATCAGATGCTGAACATACCTTTGCTCGGAACCGGCCGCGACGGGGACATCCGTACCCGCCATCCATCGATACCTCTATCTCTCTCTCCGGCGACGATCCAGAGACTTTACGTTGCGGCTCGGGGGCGAGTCGAGACGAGCCTGCGATTGCGGGACCGCGCTATTCTCGGCTCTCTCATTGTCCCTGGTCAGCGAGTGTATTAACGTTTTCCAGATTAAGACTGGAAGGAGGCTGAAATGGCTCGCCGATGCGACCGTCGGTCCTCACCAGTCAAGAACCGCCAAAACGCGACCCGAGCTCCTCGCAAGCGACCGTTTCGATAAAAAGGAGTCACCAGACTCACTCGGAGCCCCGAATCCCTCGCTCCGTCCACGTCATGACAGACTCTACCGCGCAATCGTATCGCGGTCCCGATTCGCATGAGAGGGGGCGAGCGAACATCGCTACCTAAGAGAAGCGCTTTCCACAATGGCAGGTCAAGACTGGTCCTCCGGCCGACAACGGCGAGCAAACGACAGCGGAAAGCGTTGTTTCGTCGTTCGGTGTCATCGAGAAAGTCTCCGGACCGATTCCCGGGGCCCTAATTCAGAATTCGGGCATTGTAGTGGCGACGCATACTGAAGTCCGAAATCCCTGCGGCGCGGGATTTTCGACAGCCCGTGATTTGGCACTAGAGCTTTAGGAAGAGATCATCCCATCATTCACTGCAGTAAACACGGACAGGACGGAGTATTAAGACAAGTGCTTTTTTCGCTGCCTCGGTTCGCTTCACGTAGTCGCCAAAATGGTGAGTTCATCGTTTGCTGAGTGGCAGACGCCGAGTTTGAACCTCTGCAACGGAGCGTCTTGCAGGATGCGGGCAAACCTCCGCTAAAAAGCTTTCGGGGCCACCTGTCTGTCAGCGCTGAGGATCGTCACTGTGTTGCTCCTGACGGGTTCTGGCGAGGGGGCGCGCAAAGTGTCCGCGCGATCCTAGTTCGCGTTTCCCGGAAACTCTTGCTCGCTGTGGACTGCACAGACTATCGCCTCTGGAGTGATTGGCGTCGAAGGCTCCGAAGACAAGTCCGACCAAAGTCTGATGCATTTTTTACTATGCGAGTGTTACGACACAGGGTTCGAGCCTAGATTTGACTGTAACGAGCCTATCTGACGAGATCGTCCGGAAAGCGCTTCGGAGTGCTGCTCTCTTAAAGCGAGAATTGTCCAACTTGTTGAGCTGCGTTGGAGACTGGTCCTTATATGAGGAGTAGGATTTCGATCACCACTTGTCTCACCACACAGAGATTTCGGTGGGCGGCTGTTCCTCATCCGGGAACAAGGACACAATGGCTCGGGAAACGATTCCGTAACCATTAGAGATCACGAGACCGCAGATCAGGCTCCTAGTCACGATGAATCTCTGTTTTCACTCGAACTCGATGTTCGTGATATTCAAATCTGTCGCTCGCCTCTTCAGGGTAATGAAGCGTCGCTGCCGATGGAGATGTGCTCGACTTTCGACGCGGAAGAAATCAAGCGGCTGGGGAAGCGATTCAAGAAGCTGGACCTGGACAACTCGGGCTCACTCTCCATAGACGAATTCATGTCCCTGCCGGAACTACAACAAAATCCTCTAGTTCAGAGAGTCATCGATATCTTCGACACTGACGGCAATGGAGAAGTCGACTTCAAGGGTGAGTTTTCGATCTGAGTTTTCTGGCGTCCGTCTATGGGAGATGCCAATCGCAGCATCTCTGAGGTTCGGAATTTTCCCATGGGATCGAGTCGCGAGAATTCGCTCGTGCGACGGATTCCTTCCGTGAGCGACAGACGATTAACGGATGGAACATCCCCAACTACGGCGGAATCTTTCGGTCACGACTGACGAAGTTTATTCTGACATTCCAGAGTTTATCCAGGGAGTTAGTCAGTTCAGCGTGAAGGGAGACAAGGAAGGCAAGCTTCGGTTTGCCTTCCGAATCTACGATATGGACAACGACGGATACATCTCGAACGGAGAGCTTTTCCACGTGCTCAAAATGATGGTTGGGAACAACTTGAAAGAAGCGCAGTTGCAGCAAATCGTCGACAAGACGATTCTGTTCGCAGACAAGGATGAAGACGGCCGCATCTCATTCGAGGAGTTTTGTTCCGTCGTGGGAAATACGGATATCCATAAGAAGATGGTCGTAGACGTTTAAAAGCAACATCGCAACAACATTTGTATCGTTTTTCGACCCCGGTATCGATCAATGCCTTGAAGTTGGTCCGAATTCTGAAACCGCAATCGAGGAAGCAAATCAGAGAAATTCGAATGAATCTACCGAGGGAAATTGCCCAATAAGAGCAAAGATAGCGACGATTAAACTTCAGGCTCGCAAGACGCGAGCCCGTCGGAGGCGACAAAAAAGCTGGAGTTGACGGTGTTGGAAAGATTTCGTAATTAAGGTTGACATTGACAGCCACAGCTTTGTTTGAAAACCGTTCTCCCCTCGACCGCGCTGGCCCGGCTTCAACAATTTATGTTTGCCGTGCCTATTCTCATTTTCGTCTGGCCTGCTTCAGTGGTCACGACCTCAAATCGTACCGAGCTCTCTCTGGATCTAGTCTAAATACGAGCTTCACCGGCTGTCCGGCCAAGTGCAAAAATTTGTCCGCCGAGACTGTAATCGATTATATTTTTATATACATCCGTTCACGCCGTGCTTTCGTTCCCGGAAATTCTTACAGTGTAGGCGAGCAAAGGAATTAGTCTGTAAATTGATCGAGCCGTGAGTGAGAGGACCGAGAACCCGAGAAGTGTTTTCTTGGGCCCGGAACCATGCAATCACGAATATATCCGCTCTTAGAGAAGCTCCCGATGCTCGCCACTGAACGTGAATACCCAAGTGCTATCCCGCCTCCTGATCTGAGTTCGTCGCGCATCTGTCTATAAGCCGAACGGTTGTAAGAGAAAATCATTCAATTATCAAACAGGGTGCCAGAGAAAGCTTGGCCTCATTAGGTCGAGCTCCAAAGGATCCAGAACTTGAGGCTTTGAGCTTACCCGCTTACGGTTCATGCGTCGTCTAGGCCGCAGATTTTATATGAGGTTATTTCGTATGGAGTCAAGAGTGTGTTTTCCACGAGAAGTGACTGACAAGACAAAGAAAGTGTTCGCCATAATGCTCGTTGCGCTGTTTTGAGCCTATTGCCGCTAGCTTAGAACCGTTCACTCTTGCCGTGTAGAGTGTTCCAGTCTTGAGGATCATATACTTACTTATTCGAAACATAATGCTATTAACGATGGAGAATATTATTTACCGATTAACTAGCAATCCTAGTTCACAACTCTTCCGCTGGAAAGTAACACAGCGATATTCTCGTCCTCAACTCCGCCGGATGTATTCGGGTGCAACCGTATAGATCCTATGCAAGGTAGTACCATTGGGAGACTGTTGACCGAAACGATCGGTTCCAACAGGTTCTACGGTGGCCTAGCAGCCCGAAGTCTCTTTTTGGTCTACTCTATCTTAGATGGTTCAAGCGTCTAAGCTGCTGTGACTTATACCTTCCCCGATTCCTTCATTATCTAATCCGCCTTCCCTCGACGAAGTCTCTCAGCCCTCACCCCTGTCGAGGGAAGAACGATCTGTCACCGATGTGCAATAGAGACCGATAGAGAACACATTGGATGAATATATGTCCTTCCGAGGGAATCCCTAGGTGTCGCAGGAGACAATGGAGTGAGGCGTTCCATGATTCTCGATCTTTATGTCTCCCAAGAAATATGTACTGGTAGCTGGTACATATGATTCGGACTTATGTTTCTTGGGTTCCGATGATTCTCGCGAAAAAGTGAGGAATTCTGCGGCCCCGAGAGGTTGCGCACGCTCTGGGCAGACTTCGATCAAGCGAGATAAGATCAATCATCATTCTTCGATTTGATTGAGGTGGTCGCGTCCAGATGGGGCAGAGCTGGATAAGCTTTGTAGACATCTGCGGCTCCAGGAGACTGCTTGAGAAAGTCCTCTCGAACGGGCGATCGAGCTTTATGTTCTGCTCTCGTTTCCCCTCACATCTCTCAATGCTACAAGTTTTGACTCTATCCACCTCTTCGACATCTTCCGCTCTACGTAGTTGATGGTTAGACCTTATAATCAACGACCTGATTTGGATTCTGTAAGCTCTTCGAAATCCCTCGACTTCATGATAATTGTACCTTCCGAGAACGATATGAGAAGACCGGATTAGAAAAAAATGGCAGGAGCAGCGAGGAGAGAGATTGGTACCGCAAGAACATCTCGATTTCTTGCCTACATATCTCGGTGTTGCTCGGTTTTCATCAGAAGTGTAAGAATTTCCAGTCGTCCATCCGTCGAAGCAGATTTTCCCCATTGGTTATACTGCTCTCCGACTACGCTTTGAATTGGTACAATCTTTCGAATGAACTCAATCGACGTCTCAACTGGCATCTACCAGATCCAGCTTTAACTATTCACCGTATCGATCGATTAGTTCCGCGGGAGGTGCAGGTCGGACTCAGCAAACTGAGAATAAGTTCGACGACAATGTGAGATATCGGTCTCCTATGTGGAAACCGCGCAATGGTCTCAGGATTTCCGAGGCGAGGCCGACGCCGAGCCCGGTTCCGAAAAGTATGGGTGCTTTACTTTTTATTTATCTGTTATCATGTACTTGAAATAAAGGTCAATAACCCCTGAGATCCTGTTCTCTTCATTGGATAGCTACTCGAAGTTGAAAATTCAGGGAACGAGTACGAGCCCAAAAAAACATCATTCGCCGGGACGCGAACCCGTAGCTCGTTCGCCGCGTGATGAATCTCGCTCGGCCGAATTGATGTGTCCTTCAAACCGAAGTGTGTAACGTCCACGGCATAGAGAAAGATAATCATTTCTTCCGAAGGCAAGGCTCCCACAACTTTATTGATGAGTCAGAGATACCCGAGTATACGATTGCCTTAATATCATGATCGGCAGCTAACGAACGGTAAACTATCTTGCTTCATGATTGGGCCTCAATAAAATAGACTATGATTCTGGTTGTATTCTCTCTCGGGATAGCCGTTCATTGCATAATGAAATTTGCGTATTGTAAACCTCTTCTTATCGGACTCTGGTAAACATGCATTCAGGTCATCACATCACATACAGGTCACACGCATCCGAGTAACACTCGAGCTAGTGCCGAGCTCGACTTTCCGGAAACATTCACGATATCTCCATACACGTTCATATACATGCAGTGAGGATTCACTCCCTCTGCTCTATCAACGATTCCGGCTTGCGAAGCATCAGTTCCGTGGGCGTAGGGTAAACAGGGGAAGACTATGGGAGGAGGCTATCTGCGGCAGAAGGATATCTTGGTTCCCGAGGGCATAACAATTTTGTGAACTTCCCCACTTGCACAATCGGTTCAATTCCTCGCAGAGCTCGAAGCATTTCATTCCGCATCAGCGCGACCGCGGTATTTGGCTCATTACGAAGAAAACACTTCTGGAGCCGGCGAGAGGAAATATATCGCCGGCTCCAGGTTATACTGAGCCACACGAGCTCCCAGGGAGCTCAAGTCAACCGAACTCCCGAGAAGTTTCTCTCGTGACTCCGCTTCGATAAGGTGGCTCCAACGATATATGTATGTTATTATCAAATAATTCGAGGTCAATAGCAGGGGCATGCGCCCTCAATAGAGATGCTGAATCATAGAGTACGGAACCCAGAGCCCTTGCTCATCTTTGCGGAACAGATGGGGCCGATTGTCTGGGAATACTGTGACCAGAGGAAAGGGGTGCTGCTGGATGTACTTGAACGTCTCACGAACATTCAACACGTAATGCGGAGGTTCAACCTCGGGAGAAGTGGACAGCTTCTGCCGGATAGATTCGTCGTTCTGTTGCAGCCACATATCCACAGCTGGAAACAAGGAAAAGGATTCAATGATCGAGGTTAATGGGGTGATGATGAGGGGATCGGGATCCACCGTCCGGGAAAATAACTGACCTCTCATAGGTTGATAGTTGTAGGGGCCTATCTGCATCAGTCCTGATGAACAATCGTAGATATCGTACATAACGTGCTTGCTATCCTCTTTTCCGCAGTAGAATATAGTGCTCCGCAACGGGATTTCGGGACCTCTATCATGGAAGGTTGCGGGAAAAATCTGGCCCGTCTTTATGTTCACTCCCACGCCCATCACAATCGGCCAATTCTGCGTTTGTCTGTAGTCCGTGTTAAGTTCACAGAAACAGGCCTGTACAAGATGGAGAACTTGTGCCTGCTTTCGCAACGAGTATAGAATCTGCATGGCAACATTCTCCGACACGTGATGGTTGTCGACGAAACCGCCGATAATGTACACTTCGAATCGATTCTGTTTACTATCGACACTGTAATGATATTGCTCCGGTGAAAGTTCCTGAACTTTTCGGACTATGGTGCTGATGCCCTGTTCCACTCCGACCCCGTCGAAATGTCCCAAGCCTATGGCGCCGCTGCCTGTGTTGCGAATTATCACGCACTGGCACGTTGTCATGCTGTCCGTGCCTGAAAGCGAAACGAATCCAGTTTCTACGGGCACTGGATAATTTATCCCAATTCGGAGACTGTCGATTCACACTCCCGAGACGGCTCGCCGAGGATTTTCCGAAATAACTCACCGAGATAAGTTATGTGCTTGTCAGATGCTATCGTTACAGCCAACTCCCTCTGGTGCACGTAGAGGAGACCTTGCGGACTGACAATCTTCTTTTGCGAGAGAAGGCTCCCATTTATGTCTTTGAAATGAGGGAACCGATCTAGGAACGATCGGGTGTCCTCTGGATTATGATCCAGCAGCTGATCGTTGATCACAAGAGGCATGTTTCCTGGAATCGACGGAGAACTTGGGAAAAATGATTCTTCGCAGTCTCGAGCTCGAGAAACATGAATATCGGAGGATATGTATATCGTATGCACACCGTCAAAAGCTGTTCTAACAAAGTTCGGGGCGCGCACATCGAGCTCTCTTGCCGGAGAGTCGCGGCAGATTCTGCCCTAATTTTTCAATCGGGGAAATAATGAAGAAACACGGCGACTTTTGGGATTATGCGAAACTCTGGATTTGTTCCTGTCGACTACATGCTCGATCTATTTGAAAACGTTCGAAAAGGTCGCCGAGAGATGCGACTTCCATCAGAGCGAGCGGACCCGCTCTGCACCGAGTTGCGGAAGTCCTCGGCGCGCTGTCACATTCGAAATAACTCAACAGATGTTATCCGACCCGAGAGCGATCGACGTGGTTTTGAAACTAGGAGGATATACGCCCATCCACCGATCCCGTTCCCTCATACGGTCCATGGAAGTGATACTCCAAGCCGGGAGCCGGAATCGACACGATTTGGACAGCGTATTCGAGGATTTCACAAAGGAATTCATTCCACGGATTTACGCAATGAGCGTTTGCGCTCAACGCTCTGTTTGAATCGAAATCTGACACCTTTCGAACCCAGTCGAATCCGACTCACCGTACCGGGAGGGTCGCGATGGAGAGCGGTTCACTCTCTGAGAGAGCTCTCCAAAACGTCTTGCTGAGTAAACTCACTGATTCTGAAGACGCTTGTTGTGGCAGAGTGCTCGTCGGGGTTTTTTCTCAGCTATCGGGGTCGCTTGGCTCCAACTTTTCGCCTGAGGTCGGAGGTCATAGCTACAGACGTTCACCTAGCGGCTACGACGACGGCGCCGCTGCCGTTGCTGCCGCCGAAGACGCCGAGAAGAATATTCGCCTTCGGGAGAGGGTAATGGACCGACAACTTCACTGTGACGGAACCACAGATGAGCTTGATGAAAAAATGTGGAGTATGACGAGGGTATGCGGACGAGTCGGGAGAGATCATGAAGATTCTGTCGAAAGCTCCTCCAAAAATTTATCCGCGGTAGATTTCCGCGAGCCTTGCTCGGAGTGGCCGGAGATTCCGCCATGGTTTCGTGCAGGATGTAAAGCCTCACGGGGACTCCCAGATAAGGCTCTCACTCAAGCCCATCGTTCTATGACTTAGGAATGCGCGGCGAACGAGTTCAGAATGAGTCAAGGAATAATCTGATTAATCTGAGCGAGCTCGAAGTCATGAGAAAACTCGATATCCTAGTTAGCCATCCGCGGCAGACAGAACCGTGTGGCGCCCTGCGCTCTGTCCTATGCACAGCTCGTTTCGAAAGGCGGTTTCTGGTGGACCGACAGGTCCAGTGTCCCAGTGTCAAGTCCATTGAGAATTCATCGTTCGAATTCGCACCGGAATACGGATACTCGGAGTCATGAAATTCAGATCGCATTCATGACGCGAATGCTCTCCTGCTCCGTGCCCCCCAGTGTCCATATCGACGATGGCGCACATCGGCGTGGAGGCATCCGCGGTGTCGATACTCAAGAGAGCGGTTGACTACGATCAGCAAAGCAGATATACATCGGCCCTCGTATGTTATCAGGAAGGGATTCAGCTGCTACTCGACGTTCTCAAAAGTATGTACTGAGTTCTTATGGGCTGGCGGCGATCCTCCGATCGCAAAGTTCAGCTCGAGAATCAGCCGGACATCTCTTACATCTCTCTCGAGATGACTCACCGGAGCGCAACCAGTGACCGATAGAGAGGGAGCTTCGTCGATTCCGGAGGAGCCTCAATTCTCATTGAGCAGCGTGATCCGTCGCTTGACTCTAAAGCGAAGTCTGATTGATTTTCCTGCAGTTACTGGAGACGATGAGCAGAAGCGACAGCACATACGGGGGAGGATAAAGTCTTACATGGACCGGGCGGAAGAGATCAAACGTCTCATACAGAAAGAGAAGGATGGTGAGTTCCTCCCGTCGACTATTCCCTCGGGTGCTGCATCGTTTCAGCACCGAATGGTATTCAAAGCAAATTATCATTTTGCTCATCAGCGGGTACGTTCACCGAGAAGTTCAGTATACCGGATGGCTCCAGGAATTTCGGCTACGAAGCAATAATGGGACAGCTGCTTGACAGCGGAGTTCGAACTGTGGAAGTCGAGGATCCGTACATCATGGCAACGCACCAGATAATCAACTTCATTAAATTCTGCGAGATGTTGATCATAAAATGCAAAAATCTCAGCAAGTGAGTTCAGCTATCTTGCTTTCGGGGAAAATCCTGTCGATCCCCCTCGCGGGAAAGGCGTTACAATTATCGAAAGGCGTTCAATTCTTGCAGGATAAAACTCATGACGAAGGTCAATGAACGAGGTTCGCCAGCTGAGCAGAAAGAGAGGTTGTCTCAGCTCGCAACAAGTCTGAAAACGCACAAAGTAGACCTTGAGTTGATATTCTCGACGACTCTACACGACCGGGAAATCAGGTAGAGGAAAGTCTCCTGACGACTTCCCCGAACTTCGTTCGAGCATCACCGTGATTATCGAAGAGTCTGTCGACAATATGTCGATGCATGTGTCTCGGGATTCCCCGGATCCTCCTGACTTGTTATTGTTTGTCTCTTCCACCAGATTCGACACCGGTTGGATAGTGAAAATTGGCAGGGGACTGGACTACTTCAAACCGACTCCGTCAATGTTCAGTGTCGGGCACTTCGACCTTAATCTGAGGGAATGTCACGAAACAACTGTCAATATTTTCCACACGAAGCACTTGCGACATAACTAACTGCTGTCAAGAAGAAGCTCCATAGGACTCAGCCATCATAAAAACATAAAATCATTATTCAAATGTTTCTGAAGACCTGAACATAAGGCGCGGAACAAATGACTTGGTATATATTTTTCTAATAATGAGTCTCATCCCAATCTGGAAATTTCGTTTCCGGTGTACAAAATTCAGCGGCTCATCCTTCCTAAGAGGCTCCCGTCCTTTATTGAGCAAGTACAGATAAGGATGATACAAAAGCCGACTATCGACGCTTAAGGGTCCGCCTTCCAAGTATCACAGAAGTTCTCTCGCCAAAGCGTAGTGTTGTTCTCGTTTCACAATCCAAGTTACGCTGAAAAGAAGTGCACTGAAGAAATGTATGAGCGTTCTCGTCGTATCAACTCCGATGAGATTCCTAATGCAGAAAAGTAAACCCGAAATCCCTAAGCCCAGCCAGCACAAAGTCCCGATTAAGGACGGGGGCTCTAAATCAAAATGAGATCGGACTGTGCACGCGTCTCCACCACAATCTACGCTCCGGAAGACGTCCAATGGGTCGGATGGGAAACTTTCGAAGAAGAACAAAGCGTGTGCGAGATTCGCCAGAGTGAACACAGTCAATGTGAAGAGAACACCGAATATTCCATTCATTGCTATATGGTCGTAACGTGACTTCGGATTTTCGTCGAGCTTCTTGAGTTCGATGAGCATTTTCTGTTGAGTCTTCAGAGCGATTTGGAGTCTCCGAACCTTATCGCGCTCCATCTCATCCTCCGAACAGTTTTCCAGAGGTTCCAGAAGTTCGGGGCTATCATTCCTAGATTTTGACCTCTTCGTGAAGATCCTCCGGAGGAGTTTGTACTTCGCCTCCGGTTGAACCATCTCGTAGCTTCGAGGAGTTGGTCGAGGGTGAGAGGGAGAGAGAGGATAGAGCACCGAATAATTCGAATCTCTTGCTCGAGTCTGTGGTACTCGCCTCGGATCCCGTTCGTGGAGAACTGACGCGGAGCGGTGATCTCGGCCGACTTTTCGACTATCACTCCCCGTGGACAAAAGTCCCTGATCGACGAAGACGGGGTCGTTGACCTCGGGGGAGCCCGCCGAGACCGCTCTTCCCACCCACGAGCTCCTTAGCAACGGTTGAGTTTTGCTCGAAATTCGTCGCTTAGAGAAGAAATGGTTTGAATGTGGCGTCGTCGAACTGCACTGCTTGTGGCTCAGTGGAAAGGATCTTCGCTACGGTTAACGTCGTTTGTGACTGCCGCTCCGGCCCTCGCTCACAGCTGCTCTTGCAGCGGATTACGGTGCGCCAATCGCCGGCTCGGAAAGAAACTAGAGATCAATCAGTGCATGAACGAATGAGATAAGACCCGATTGGACGCCTAAGCCAGCGTCTTGTTTGTTAAAATTATACTCCGTGGTCAATTCATCGATCTGTGCCCAGAAACACGCTGATCCTGTTCGAGGGGAAGCCTAGCTTAGCTGTGACCGAACAAGAGCACTTTCAGGAAAAAATCATTCGGAACGAGCCCACGATCTTAGGACTCCCCCGAGATCCCGCGCAGGACAGCTCTTGGATCGACCGAGCGCTTCCATCGGGTGTGAATTCCAAGACCTACCTCATGATGGGATGATAAATGGCACCGATACCGAGAGGGACGAATCTGCCAGTCCTTATGACTTATGAGCAAGACCGGACGAATGCCGTCGCGTCGCGCGTCGTAGGCACTCGACCGTTCTTTCGAATATGCTTCGGGCGCTACGACAGATTGAATGATATATAACGAACGTTCCGAAAAACGCGATCTCCGTCTGGTTCAGCTCACGGAGATTGTTGACGAATTCTGAATATTCGAAGATTTCCTGATCATTAGGGGTGGATTTTATTAGAGACCAAATCGGTACCGGCGATAGTTTCTGATAAAATGGGCCCCGCTCGAGAACGCTCCCGTGTCCGAAATCCGGACGAGTCAAGGAAATTCGTGCTCCGAGATATTCCACTCGTTTTTCGAGACTTCCTGGGATGCCCTCCCCCAGAATGACTAACGAATCATTCAATGCGTAGTCTGAGGAGCATGGGCATTCCAAGAGGTCATTCAGGTGGTTCTCGAATCCCGGAAGCTGATAATCGGAATTGGCGAGTCCCTCGAGAAAACAGAAGGACTTCGCTCGGTCTCTTCTCCGCTGATCGGGCATCCCTACGATCCGACTCCTGTCGCTTGACGAAAAACCTGAATCCAGTCGATGCTTCGCGGAATGCCAAAACTATTCTCGAACGAGATATATACGGGAATCATCGACTCATCGCATTTAAACACTCCGTTGTTTCAAATTTGACAGATCCATCTCGCTTGGAGCAATAATGGGATCTTGCTTGTTGTGGCTCGATCGATGATATTGCAGTGACTTGGTTTTCGACCCAATCACCTTTTCAGACAGGCTGCTTGACAATGACTCCTCTGCTTTTCGTCGCGGTGCTTCTCGTGTATCACACGCCTGTATCAGCTCTGGAAAATGGACTCGCGCTTAGACCTCCGATGGGTTGGAAGTCGTGGGAAAGATTCCGTTGTAACATCGACTGCGACAAGTCTCCGGACGAATGCATCAGGTATTGGGACGTCTCCCAGGAAACATCATGGAAACAAACTTCGGGGAGCGGGAGCTCAAAATAGAATTCATTCGTTCGTTCAAGCGAAAAGTTGTACAAGCGCATGGCCGATGAGCTTGTCGCCCAAGGATATCGCGACCTGGGATACGTCTTTGTGAGCATCGACGATTGTTGGTCGATGCCCGAACGCGATCAGGGTAATCGTCTTGTTGCCGACACCAAGCGCTTCCCGAGCGGGATCAAGGCCCTCGCAAAATATGTGAGACCCAAACTCATCTCTGACTATCGTCTCTTGACCCTGGAGGACAGCCTCGGATCCCTCATTCCGGAGCCCAGTATTTTTTCCGTAGCTGACGGGGGATTTTTCTAATTCTCCTCGATAAGATGCACGATCGCGGCCTCAAACTCGGGATATACGCAGACGCTGGAGCGTCTACGTGCCGCGGATATCCGGGGAGTATGCAGTACGTGAGCACAGATGCCCAAACCTTTGCGGACTGGGACATCGACATGCTCAAATTCGATGGCTGCAACGTTCCCGATCCGAAGACCGCTGGCTTGAGTAGGTTCCCGCGACGTTATGTTCAATATTCGTTCCCGATATTCAGACCATGCAAAGTTCCGCTTTCGGTTTCTCATCAAGATTCAATTACCGATTCTCTCATCCATCAGTTTACATTGCGATGACCGACGCTCTCAACAAAACCGGGAGAGATATCCTATACTCTTGTGAATGGCCCCTGTATCAGCTGGAGTTCAAACTGGAGGTAAGCGGAACACGAAAGGCACAGAGATTTTAGGCGATTTCTAGTCTGCAAAGGCTGATATCATGGACCTACAGGTGAATTTCGAGACGGTCGCAGCCACCTGCAACACGTTCAGGAACTATTACGACGTTCAGGATAAGTTTGAGAGCGTCCAGAATGTTCTCGATTTCTATGTCCGGTATCAAGACGATTTAACACCTCATCAGAGGCCCGGCGCCTTTTTCGATCCTGACGCGGTGAGTCGCGAGTGATTTCCGGATACCGGAGCGTTTCCCCCGGTCGAACGCAGAAATCAGAGATACAGCTGGAAACGAGCTCAACTTCTTTCCAGCTTGTCATCGGAAATTTCGGACTCAGCCACGATGAATCGCAAACTCAAATGGCTCTGTGGGCGATCTGGGGCTCTCCCCTTTTCATGTCGAACGACCTGACCGAGGTCGAACCAGGTTTCAAAGCCATTCTTCAGAACGAAGCTGTAATCGCCCTTAACCAGGACCCCGAAGGCCTCATGGGGGTTCAAATCGCTAAGGTGATCAAAAAACTTCGCGAATACCCTGCGCCTGAGTGTCGGAGAGATAAATGAACATATGATTGCATGGATAGACGTGGGACTGATTATATGATGTAAGGGTTCAAATTATAACATGCTGATGCATGACTCTCCGCAGCTCGGCGGCGTTCGAGTTCTACGTAGACGAGTTCTGCCGAAAATCAAGGATTCCTATTCTCTCGGCTTGGCATTCGTCTACACAAATCAGGGCGGATCTCCCAAGACACTCTCGGTCAGTGCTCAAGATTGTGATCTGAAGGATACACGAGGCTATGAGGTAGTCGATCTCTTTAGCAACGCCACCCTCGGCCTTCTCCATCCGAACGACACTATGTCGATCACCATCAATCCTTCTGGAGTGAGACTCTTCAAGGCCACCATCGTCGGCTCCTGAATGACTGAGGATCGCGAGGTATATTTTATACGGAACGAGTTTCGCTTGTATATTGGATAATCACGGTAGTCACAATAAATTCGAGCGGCGAGGGATTTGCTCTTCTTCACGAGTCATTGAGCTTTGTTCTTCGCTACGGATTCCCTTGGTCCTGATCTATCCTAGATTCGGAGCGATGAAAGTTCGCGATCCCCGTACGGAATCTGCCGGTCTCTGCCGAGTCTGACAACGTCGACTTCGGCGGCGTTCACCCAGCCAAGTTCACAACATGTTTCATCTGCGCAATGTATGCGCAGTGAGCAGAGGTCGAAGGTAGCGAAATATCGCAAGACGTCGGTGTAACAGGCAAGCTCGAGGCTCTTGATTGAGTACTGAGTGATCCTCCCAGAACTTGGGAGGCATCCGAATCCTCGATATGATAAGCGCTCGGAAATTATCCCTCCTCCTACGTTCTTCAGAGTGTGTTCAAGCAGATCGTGGATGAGATGGCGCATGGCGGCTATCGATTACGTTCACGTCAATATCGATGCCTGCTTGGCTCTGAGGAACCTGGGAGGAAACAAGACTGATGGACGCAGATTCCGAGAGATTCACTAATGGAATCGGAGAAATTTCGCTTCTACAGCCATATTCCTTCAGCACGAGTCAGTCTCTGAAACATTTCCTCCACAATCAATCTCGAATCTCGGACTCGACCTCAGACGCAGGACACGACGCAGGAAAGAAGACGCCGAGATCACGAGGATATCGATGCCCAACTCGCGGACTGGCATATCGACATGCTCGAATACGATGTATTTCTCACCGCCAATGAAGCCGACATCCCAAATCACTTGGTTGATCACTCCGAACATCATGAGGATGTGGAACTCCGACGACTCCAGATGGGTCTTTCCCCCGCATGAGATACAGTTTCATCATTTCTGTACATACGAAAGTCTCCTCCACTCCTGCGGAGGGCCTCTCTGATAGAAGAATTTGGAGGTGACTGAATGTGATGCGTCCGGACGTGCAGGCCGATCTCGTCTCTTAATTGGAATTTCGTATCCTTCTCGTTTTTTTAATTTCGTCCCGAGGATTGTTCTTCGAGTATATAGAAGTCAGAATGCACGATATAAATAGGGGCAGCCTTTTCAGATCAGCCGCACGATATTGGAACACTGGCGGTATTGGAAACAAGCTCGAACAGCTCAGGGGACGCAGTGAGCGTCCAAGAATCAGGGACCCCATAGAGAAAGTCGGTGACTTGTGATTTTCCTCGGTTTCTGTGCTCACCACTGCATCTCTGTTTGCTGGGGATTCCCGCCTAATACCGAGCGAGCTCGCGAAAATCGGGGTTCTTGAAGAGTCGCCAGCTCGAGGTTCGGTTATCGTCGGCGAATGGGATCGTCGGGGTGCTGACTGTGAATATGGAAGGAGAGTGAGGTCCGCTCTCCGTCGGGTGAGACCCGGCCCTGTTTTCTATGCGAGTAATCCTTGGCTTTTACCTTTCCCGGATTCGGAGAATCAGAGGATCGGGATTCTCGCGCGGTTCCGCTGCTTATCGCATAAGCTGGACACTCCCAGAGTCGCGATGATTCTCCTCACTTGGCCAGAAGGGGCCATCCGTCAGAAACTCGGGTAGCGGACACTACCCTTTTCCTCGCTACGCTCCATTGGTACGCAATGCTTGGAAACAGGAGTTTTCGTTTTAAAAAAAAACCCTCTGAAGCTGAAAAAATGTCGCAGGTCCTTTTTCGAGGGTCGGGCCTCGCTCAGCAGCGCCCTACGCTCCACGGAATCGAGTGCGAAGGATGCTTCTCAAGTGGAAAGGATGCAGCAAGGGGACTTGTCGACGAGCGCGGCATTGGTAGGGAATCTTGAATCCATCGATCAAAGAGAGCTTGTTTTCCCGGGGGCATTAGAAATAATCCCCGTCCCCGATAAGCTCTCGACACCTTGTGCGGCGGTCGAGTATAAATCCGAGAAAGCATTGGCGCTTCTTATTCTTGATCGCTTCTTCGATGCACAAAAGGTGAGCAAACCCGAGCTTTCTCTGCTCCCGGCATGCCATCTACGGAAATCCTCAGAAGCTGGTTTTCGGAGCAGAATTCGCGAACTCAGAGCAGTGTTTTTCTTCGATTGCCAGAAGCAAAGATGTGGATCCGAGATAGCATCGCCTTGTTGGCAATAGCCGTTCCGCTGACTGCGGCCTTAGACAACGGTCTCGCGTTGAAGCCTCCCATGGGGTGGATCTCATGGGAACGATTTAGATGCGAAATCGACTGCGATCAGTATCCGAATGATTGCATCAGGTAAATCCGAAGCTGATCCCCTGTCTAATATAGAGTCCGAGGTCGATCGAGCGCCCTTTCGACCTCCAAGATAGTGCACATGGAGCAGTACGGACGATGACAGTCATATTGGTTCGCCACTATTCTCTACTCTTCAGCGAGAACCTGTACAAACGAATCGCGGACGAATTGGTGGATGGAGGCTACCGGGACGTCGGCTACGTCCATGTCAATATCGACGACTGCTGGGCCCTGAAGGAGCGAGACTCTAATGGGCGTATGGTTGCCGATCCCAAGCGATTCCCAAGTGGCATGAAAGGATTGGCTAAATACGTGGGTTCACAGCCTCGAATGTAGGAGCTGACTCTCCCAGCAGCCGTCAGTTTCTGAGACCCTTGTCAAATTATTGCCATCTCCAGATGCACGATCGCGGACTCAAGCTTGGGATCTACAGCGACGCTGGCAGCAAGACTTGCGCTGGATATCCTGGGAGCCGAGATTACGAGGACATTGATGCCCAAACATACGCGGACTGGGATATCGACATGCTCAAGTACGATGGATGCTTCATCGCCAACGAGGCCGACATTCCCAACCGTAAATCATCCAAACCTCATCTGGATATCGAATCTCTAAAACTCCTTATGGGCTGAATCGGTCATCAACTCCTGCCTGATGCATTTTCTCACGTTTTCAGTGTACATGAAAATGACTCAAGCCCTGAACAAGACGGGCAAACAAATTGTTTACTCCTGCGAATGGCCACTTTATCAAAAAAATACGGAAGTGAGTCTTTCTGATTGTCGGACTCCACTCGTGATTCTCGGCGAGAGGAGCTCACGCAAAGGAATGACGGGTACCGAGGGATCTTCACGACGAAAGCGTTCCACGACAAAGACAACTCTCTCATTCCAGCCTGATTGGGGGAAGATTGCCGCCTCCTGCAACCTCTGGAGAAACTATGACGATATCGCAGACACCTTCGAATCGGTCAAGAGAACCATCGACGTCTTCGTCAAAAATCAAGACCTTTACGTCAAGCATCAGAAACCCGGAGCATTCTTCGACCCAGACATGGTGAGGCTCCCAGGGAAGGCTATGTGGTGATCAACGCGCTTAAGCACCTGACACGGAAGTCATGATTCCAGCTCATTCTCGGCGATTACGGTTTGAGCAAAGACGAAGCCCGAGTGCAAATGGCGATATGGGCCATTTGGGGTGCGCCTCTCTTCATGTCGAACGATTTGGCAAAGATCGATGAGGATTCCAAGAAGCTTCTGCTAAACAGAGGTGTCATTGGAATCAATCAGGACCCAGAAGGCATAATGGGAAAAATGATCAAACAGGTAACGATACTCCGAAGAGACTCCATCGCAGGCGAGGGAGAGAAGGTGGATCCACCGAATCACAGAAAATTCTATTGTAGGCTCGCGACGTGAGAATCTTTGCCAAGCCCATTCTGCCGAAAAGCGGAAGCTCTTATTCATTCGGATTGGCTCTGATCAACCTCTCTGATGGCGGTAATCCCCAACGAGTAAACCAGACCGCATCGGAATACGGTCTGACCGATCCCCGAGGCTACCGAATCACGGACGAGTTCGATAACCTGGAACTCGGGATCGTGAAGCCCGGGGATTTCTTGGCGATCGACGTGAACCCATCGGGAGCAAGACTCCTGAAGGCGGTCCTGATGTTTTCTACTCCAAAGGAATAAAGGCATTTCTGAGCGAGCGTTTTACTGGAGCAAATCGGGTTCTTCTCGCGGAAGGATCTCGAGCGTCCGTAGGTCGATTAGACCTCTAGGAATAGAGCTCACTTCTGATGGTAAATTTCGAATTTTCGAATATTAAGCTCTTCTCCGTTGAATCATTCTCCATTACCTCCTGAGCTCGGGACCCACCCGGTGTAATGAGAGTCTTAGCGGAGAATCACCATATGTCTGGAAGGGAAACCGAAGTGACTGACCTACAGGTGTTCGGGGAGGTCCCAACCCATGTCTCAATCCCTTCTCTGCATTACCTGACTCAAGAGAGCTCGAGATCCAAATGGCATGCGGGATTCCCGGGTATACGATGGGAGTACGCCGGCCTAACCTAACTTCTTCTCAAATCAAGCCTTTTCTGTGTGGTCCATTTGTGCCGAGTGTCCTTAGCACTTAGCACTCGAACCATGGAGGCAGCGACGCGGAAGAGCGAAACGAGAGTGTGACGCATTCCCGTATGAGGCACAAGGAAAAAAATGCCGATGAATACAATATTCCACTGTAGTATGTCATGTCCGAAGAGGCTCGGAAAGTGTCAATCTAGGCCGAACGCTTGCACAGAACACTTTCGGCCATTTTTCCCGATCCTCAGGGGTTGGTCACCCCTGAGTCGGTGGTGATGAGCTGAGATCTCGATCTAGGCTCATCAAGCGATTGTTGTCTTCTAATCGAGAGAACAGCCGGTGCCTCTCGGAGTCCCTGTGCGAGAACGGAGCGTGCTCCGCTAGAAAGGGGACTTGGGCCTATCAGACGCTAGGTGATGATGCTGCAATATATAGGTACACCGGGTTCCTGGGCGTTGCGCCCTCGTTTACTCGCCTCGAGCCGCGGAACGAGCTAGCCGGGAGATCTACAGTCCCCGATTACGCTCCGGAGGGGGGACATGTTCTTTGCACAGTATGTCACGCTGCTCCCGCGGCTCCAGAAGTAGCCGGGCCGGCGGATGTGCACCACTTGTCGTGTGACGTGCGTGCGTTTCGGAGAAATGCGATCCTCTCGCAACGTTTGTCTGCTGAAAATCAGTTAGACCGCAGATCGCCGCTCGAGCACCACGCTTCAGACTGCGCGTGAGGTGAACTCAAACCCTTTTTCCCGGAGTTGCACTGTGTGTCAGCAAGGGTGGTTTGGAATTCATCAGTCTACCATGGGAAAGAAGTCACTTCGATCCGAAGGCACGCACGTATTCCCATCGGGGATCAGAGCCGTCATAAGTAAGGGCCGGACCAGAGCGCACCTCACGGCCGAGCAGAAGTGAGTCTGATTTGATTTTTTGAACTCGTCGACGCTGTGGTGTGGTTCCGCGTTGAAACTTGCGAGACCCTTCGACGACCGTCGTAGGAGTTTCTCCGAGACATGGCGTTGCTCACTATCTAGGAAGAGATCCTCAAAGGTGATATGTTGCCCGAACCAAGACGAAATTGACGAAAATAAAATGAGCTCCGAGCTCCCGTCCGGAGCCCTCACTTGAAGAAATCAAAGATCTTCCTCCCGCTGTGACTCCGATGGGGCCCGTGATGTCTAATGGAGCGTGTTCCTTTCTCGCAGAAGGAAAACTGAGCTCTGCCGAAACATTTCTGAGAGCGGATCGTGCCAGTACGCGGAGCGATGCCTCTATGCGCACTCACCCGATGAGCTCCGACAACGTCCAGTGAATGCGAAATTCCGTACGGATCTGTGTAAAGCTTTCCACGAAGAGGGTTTCTGCGGGTACGGTGCACGCTGCAGCTTTCGGCACGAGGTCCCGAAGAAGCAAAAAGACATGATTGAAGATTCGACGAAGACACTCGAAGAGCTGTACAGGGTTTTGCCGAGGCTTTGGAGATGGAGGAACGCTTCTAGTAGTCGGTCGAGGATATCCACATTCGCGAGCAAGCAGTTCTCCGAGCCATTAAACAGCACAATGGATATCATGGAGCAGTAGCTAGGCTTCTGCCTCTGATTCCGGAGCGTCGGGAAGCTGAGCCCCGTCATTCGGAGTCGCGCAGAAGATCCAAATTCACGGATCGTTCGCGTATCAGAAAAAACTCTAGATCGGATCAGCAACGTGGTCAATGAATGTACATGACAGGGACGAGCCTTCCGAGAATGATCGAATAAGTTCATCCGTTTCGTTCTCGGGTAGTTCTGAACGATTGTAAACTGTGTTCCTAAACTCTGCCGCAAATCTCATAGATGCAAGGGCGCATAAAACTGATTGCGGGACTCCTACCACGAACGGAGCAAAGCAAGCAACGTGGTACAGTGGAGAATGAGAAGTGCGGGGAAGCAACCGGCTCTCAGCTTGAAGAATAACAACCTGGGTTCGTTAAATAAAGTCTTAAGATGGTTTGAAGCATATCCTGTCTTTTTATAACCGGATCAGTATGAAACTATGGCTCACTTCTCCTCTATTTCACCTCAAACTGAACCATGGACGAGCGCCTACCAGGGGCGGAGCTCAGGGTCAAATACTCTCGAAAGTTTTCTGTTCGAGATGCTCGAGCTCCGGGGTCCGAGGTGGCAAGTAGTCGGATTCGTGCCGGAGTGTTCCGGGACTCGGCGATCAGCCTGCTCAGAAATAGTATCTTCCACATCCAATCCAATTGAAGCCATTTCCGACCCTTGATGAACTTCGGCTCATGTACCAGACGCTGCTTTAAGGTTCTCGGAGCAAGAGGGAGACTACTAGTGAAACTGCCGGAGAATACGAGCATGCGATCATTCCCGCACGGGAATGATTGAGAACTCCTGATCGAGGGGACTCTCTATAAACCAGTCCGACAAGTCCGTTCTCGGCACTCGAAAGATGATTCCGGGTTCGCGGCCTACCTCTGGAAATGGGGAAGACCGTGGGCAGTATTCCCAATGGAGTCAATGCAATCAGTATAGTTGAGATGGTTCTCTAAGAATGCGCGTGTGTCATACACGGATTCGAGGGGGTGAGGCCTCTAGTGCTGATGCCACACCGAGAGTTCCCCTCTTGATAAAGTCGAGTCCAGGGCAAATCATCATCTAGGACCCCCCTCGACTCGCTGCTGGCGAATGACGTTGAAACAAGTCAAGGACTCAAATTCCTGTTCTTTCCCAAGCCGGCTCACGTTTGAAGCTTAGTTGCACGTATAACGTTGAGAACTAGCTTACGACGACGAAGCTCCTTGAGTTCTATGAATAAGAGCACACGCTATTGAATAAATTCGTTTCCCTCAATAGTCATCATCTGGTTCGTTCCTAGGGGTGATAACCGTCCACTTAGGGACACGTCATTTGGCGCGGTCGACATCCCGTTCCCGAATCATGGCTTTGTTCGAAGAGCTGCAGGAGACTCTCCTGAAATTGCCTTGGCCATCAAGCAACTGGCGGACAAGCAGAACTCTACGAAGGAGGCCGCTACTTCGACCAAGATGCTTACTACGGCAAGTTTGCTGGGAACGTTCTTATTCAAACCTGAGCAGGATCTTGCGTTCAAGACTTGGTTCTCGCGTAACCAGGCGTTAGGGCCAAACGAGTATGCCCGTCTACTCAGCCGGATGTCACCCGAATTACCTGAGTCGAGAAGCTACGAAGAGATTCAGGGAATTCTTCTGAACACATTAGGGCCCTTCAAGTCAATATTCCGGCGACGGCATGAAATCTTGGAACAACAAGCTCCCATATCGGCTCTATCAAACCCGGAGGAAATTGTCGATTAGGCTAACTGGAAAGGCGACCAATTCGAGTGGAGCAGTCTAATCGGCGAGATGTACAAAATCTTCTTGGCGATCAAGTATGCCGCCGGCCCAGCTTTCAAGAACCTGCGAAATATCATGCTCTAGGCCGTGGATGAGAAGCCGAAGTTGACCATCGCGGAACTACGGTAAGTTCTCATCAGTTACGCGACGCGCAGTCGCGATTCAGCCATCGAAGGTTTTGATTCAGATTAAGGGTCGGCGTCAATCAATAACGTGCATCAGAAGCCGGACCGCCGTCGCAAGAGACCGGGCTCCAATAAATCAAGCTCTGGTCCGACTACCCAGGAGCATTCTGGTCACTGTTCGAGTTGTGGAGATCCGCATGCGCGTCGTGATTGCCGTTTCATAAATGCGAGATGCAATTTCTGTCGACGGAAAGGCCATATAAAAAAGCGTGAAGGCTTCTTCAGCAGAAGTCGTCCGAAACTTGCAACTCCGCAAGAGCGTTCACGGTTCATCAGTCGACGAAGCGGACCAAACTCGTGGAAGGCCGTTCCCGGAGTTCTGCATCAACGGTGTTCGACTGAAGTTTCGCATCGATACGGGCGCAGATCTCACAACGGTGGGTGTAGATTTATGGAGACGTCTCAATTCTCCTGAACTACTGTCGATGACCTACAGATGCACGGCCGTCAATGACCACCTCCCCAAAGTTCTTTATCGCCCAGTTCGCGCTCGTCGGTGGGTCCAGCCCTGCTCTGAAAGATCGCATCCTAGTTCTCGAAAATCAACAGAAAGCCCAGTCGGGGTGTAAACCAGCTTTCGAGCTTTTGAGATTGCTTCTCTCTCAGAGCAAATCAGAACTCCAGCCGAGTGGAATCGCCGCTATCCGGATGTTTTCGAGGATGGTCCTGGACTCTGCACCAGAATCGTGGTCAAACTGGTGTTGAAGGAGAATAATTGTAGACCGGTTCACTTCCAAGCTCGTCATGTCGCACTGCCGTTTCGCGAGGCCGTCAACGAAGAACTGGATCGGTTGTTAGAGAACGGAGCTCTATCTACGGTGGAATCGTCAACATGGGCCAGTCCGATTGTCGTGGCACGGAAAGCCAATGGGAAAATTAGGGTCTGCGCGGATTTTCTCGGTCTCAGGACTGAGCACTGCCCTGCAAGACCTAGAGCACCCGATACCGAACATGGAAGAGATTATGACGCGTTTTTCCGGTAATCGAGTTTTCACGCAGCTGGATCCTTCAGACGCGGACCTTCAGCTGCCGTTGGATCCAGCGAGCTGTCGCTGCACCACGATCAACACTCATCGCGGCCTCTTCCAATATAATCGCTTGGTCTTCGGTTTGAAGACAGCGCCAGCGGTTTTCGAGCGCTCGATGGATCAGACTCTCGCCGGCCTGGATGGTACGTCGACTCGACCGCGCGTCCTGGCACGACTACAGCAGCGGGGTTCCCCACTCGGACTCGCAAAAAGTTCATTCAATGCGAAGGGGGTGTAGTACCTCGGCCTGATAATTAACGCGCAAGGAATCGGTGTGGATCCCCAGAAGATCGCGGCAATTCAGAATTTGCGTCGTCCGCGCAACGTCTCAGAAGTTCGTTCCTTGCTGGGACCGATCGACAATCACGGTCGCTTCGTGGACCAAGAACATGATCTTAAAAGTGAATTTGAGGCTCTTCTGAAAGAACCTTCCCGTTTCGAGGGGATCGCAGCTCATGATGAAGCGCTTGCCCAGGTCAAGAGAGTGCAGACGGGTCCTCCTGCTGTCGCTCACTTCGATCCTCGCCAACAGCTCATTGTGGCGGCCGATGCTTGCGATACAGGCATAGGTGGTGTGCTACTCCAGCGATATCCCGGGGGCTCTGAGAAAGCAGTTTTTCATGTTTCTAAATCTTTGACATCGGCTCGAAAAAACTACAGCCAGATTGAGAAGGAGGCCCTCGCTCTGATTCGCACCGTGGAGCGATTGTGAAGAAGATTCATTTGGGGACGACTCTTCCGCGCGACTGACACGGAAGGTTTGAGCAGCCGAACGGAAGCGCGATTACGTTTTTGGGCCCTAAGGTGTGTTGGGTTCGACTTCGAAATAGAACACGTTCGAACGACGGAGTTTGGACACGCTGACGCATTGTCACGACTCATCCAGGACGTTCGTACGGACGCGCAGAGCAGTGGTACGGAGGGAATCATTGCCTGAATCGAGGTGCAAGAGACCGAGATTCAAGATTTGGTCGCCGTGGTAAAAGCATTCACACCCACCGGAGACAAGATTAGTCTAGCGACCGAGAGTGATCCGATGCTCAAACAAATGTCTTGTCGGCTCAAAGAAGGTTTGTTGAAGGCTGACTTCAAGGACCCGCTTTTTCGTCCTTTCGCTCAGCAGGCTGAATCTTTGTGCTCAACGGCGGGAATCATTCTTCGTTGTGATCGAGTTGTTATCCCGACACACCTGTGGAATTCGGTTCTGAAGAAGCTCCACGTAGAACACCCAGGCATCGTTCGTATGAAGGCCTTGGCGCGTTCACATTTTTACTAGCCGAACATGGCAACGGATATAGAGGCTTTGGTGAGGTCGTGCAGTCATTGTGCACAAACCGCAGAAAGCCCCATGAAGGTTCCTCTTGCTCCGTGGCCTGATCCAGAGAAACTGTGGGTCCGCGTCCATCTGGATTTCGCTGAACCGCAGAAAGGTAACTCTCTCATTATAGTGGTGGATGCCTTCTCCAAGTATGTGGATGCTGCTTTCTTAAAACCGAGTTCAAGCTGCGAGCTCGTGAGACATCTGCACGTAGTTTTCCGTCTCTTTGGAGTGCCAGAAACTTTTGTTACGGACAACGGTCTGCAGTTTGTGTGATCCGAGTTCGCTGAGCTTTGCAGCAGCTTCAACGTCATCCATCTTCGGTCCTCTCCGTACCACCCTCAAAGCAATGGTCAAGCTTAAAAGAAGGTCGGGACCTTGAAACGTTCTCTCGAAACTCCCGATCAGACATCTCTCGATGAAGCGGTGGCTGCGTACAATCATACGCCGAACCAAGCGCTCGATGGGAAAATTCCCGCCGAGGTCTTTTTCGGTCGGACTCTTCGTTCCCCGTTCGCTGTGTTTCGATCGTTTTCCGGAGCAATTCCACGTTGTCCAGGGAAGTTCAAGGCAGATTTCTGACGAGCATTCGTCCCGGTCCCGCTCTTTCACCAGAGGGGGAGGAGTCGTGGAGGGCTTGAACAGGGAACGCAGAGTTCCGGTGGTCTTCATAGAGCAAGTGGGAAAAGCGATGGCTCATGTGAAAGTCAATGGGAGAGCCGTCAGGCGTCATTTGAATCAGTAATGGAAACCTCGAGTCCTGCCGGCTCAAGCAGAAGGTGAAGAGGAATTCGTGCCCAAATCTCAGAAAGTCGTGCCAACTGCCCCTGACATAGGAGTTTCCCATTCTGCCAGTTCTGGGCGCTCCGCCAATTATTCTGAGCCGTCGGAGACTTCGGAACAATTAGCTGTGCCCCCCGGTTCCCTGGCTACGGTTGCAGAGCCTCTACTTGCTATTCCAGCTCCGGAAACTCCCACAAGCCGCGTTCAACTCGACCGCACTGATAGAAAAGCAACCGATTACTCGGTTCTCGCCAATAGTCATCGTCTGGTTCGTTTCGGGAGGTGTTAACCGTCCACTTGGGGACACGTGATATAACAGGCTCGGGTATATCGGATCATCCTCCGATGTCGAGTCCCGTGTTCGGAGGACCCCCGTTTCAGTGATCCCAGGGCTTCATTCTGCATCGGGAATACTGAGAGTTCACACGGGTCCTCCCCGCGCATGGAGGGGCTTCTCTTGCCGGTGAACTCGAGAGATTCAAACTGAAAAGCGTCGAAAGCAGGAGAAAACTGAGGATTGATAAAACTCCATGCCGTAATTTCCTGTTTTGTCTCACCGGCATGAGACATGAATCGGCCGCTCATTTTGGACTAACAATGATTGGCTCAGGGAGACCGTAACAGGTTTTCTCGGATTATCTCCTGAAGCACGAAAGTTTATTGACAAATCTCAATATAGATCACAGAGTACTTCGGTCAGCCCTCGATGAAGCTAGTCTCCGTTTTGAGGGACCCACAATAATCACAATATCATCGATAACTCATGTACAATATTCTGTCATCCGAGAATTCGGGCGACATGTTCTAGACTCTGGTTCTCCACTGCAGCACTCAGATCTGGCAGGTTCGAATAGCGCTGTAACCATTCCTGCAAACAATCCTCTCGGCTTTCGACGTCCGCCGCGTCTAGGCGACCTTAAGAAAGATTTCTCATTATTCCGGTGCCATTATTCTTGAGCTTCGCGTATATCATGAGACCTTGGCGGTTGGCCCCAATACAGAGCTTGAAAGCGAGTTTCTGAATTCATTGATACGGTATAGCGCGTCAATGGTACTCAAGGTGTACGTTCGAACCCACCATTCTGAATATCGATTGTGGTGGCCTTCGTCGTCTCCTCGAGTGTTCGTGAGGCCGTAACAATGTCATTGAGGAGCTCGAAATTTTTTCGTTTAGCAGCCCGGTTCATCTCCTTCAGGTCAGGGTTTCGCTGCGCCTCCGCTGCTCGAATGTTCCTTCCGACGGCTTGTTCGACAGCTAAGAGGCTGTCGCTGGCTGTGAGCAACAGAATCACTGTTGATGGGATCCCCTCCGAAAATTTGTTCCCGTCAAAAGAATGAAATATTTTCCTACCGATGACATAGCGCGTCTCGTTGAGTTCCATCAGAGCTCGTCGAAGACTAGCTCTCGCTTCCAAAGCATTCTCTTTCACAACACGGAGGAGGTCTGATCGTTCATCCCGCAGACTGATATATTTCAATTCCCCTTCCCTTAAACGCGCGTCGGCTTCAGAAAGCTTCTCCCGCTCTCTCCTCAACTCGTCCTTGAAGTCTTCCTGAATCTTTCTTTTGAGATCAAGGACCCCTCGCAGAGTCCCCAAATCTTTCTCAGCTTCGTCAGTTTCCCTTTCCCGTTGAGTGAGACCTGCAAGAAACAGAATGAAGATTCGTCGCGGGATAGTAGGAGTTGTCGATTCCGATCTTGCGGCGATCGCAAAACAGATATATCCGCGGAATTCCAGTACCCTCGAGCTCGTCCTGCAGTTTCGCCAAATTGTCGAATGGCTTCATCAATCTATGCTGCTCCTCACGGAGATTACATTCTTCATTGAGCAGCTCGCTGAGTTCGGATTCCACGCGAGAATATTCGAGGTTTATGGACTCTACCTCATCCATGCTGAGACGCTCGACGAGCACCTTAACAAAAAGAATCCCGCACCGTCATCCTCGCTCATAGTGAAGGCCAGAACATAACTTCTGAATCGGAACTCCCGCCAGCCCCACTCACGAGAGAGTTCAAGTCCGAGTTTATCCTCTCTATATCCGGAGCCTCCACCTTTTTTTCGAAATGAGACTGCATCGCTTGAAGCCACTGTGCTTTCGTCCAAGGAGGATTGAGTCTCTGATCCTCCCTGAAGCAAGTCTCGACGAATGTCGCAAGCCTATCACAGTCGCCTTCGCTGATGTCTCTACAAAGCGTCAGGATTTCGGACTGACTGCAACGAGAAGCGTTCGAACATGAGGTCGATCATCCACAACATTATGGCTCCGAGTGAGAAGGGGGCGAAAAACCTAATTGGCTCAATCCTTCCGCTGCTCGGAGAGAGGAGAGTCACTCCACTCAGTCAGTCATTTTCCTAACAAACCTGAAATGATCTTTGGTCTGATAAATTGTCAGCCTCAATGCGTCAAGTAATTCACGTTCCAAGTCCACCGGGGAACTAGACTGCCTATCCGTGGCGTCCTTCCAGCGGTATTCTTTCGTGGATTGCATATTCGAGTTGAATAGCTTCACCAATATTATACGTCCCGGACAATCAGGAGTGTAGCATGCAGAACCTGGAGAAATGTGTTCTCAGTCTTTTTTCGGAATCTCCCCGTATTCTGTCATCGAAATCCTCTGTATGTGTCGGGGACTAGTTCACGCCCACGATGGTGAAACTCACCTAATCTGTGCTTATTACCCCCATCGAGATCCTTTTGGACGACAATCTTCCAGCAGTCCGCGTGAAAATTGAGAAGACAATCACCTCCACAGGTCACTTGCGCGATACCATTGAATCCTAGGCTGCTCCGGAAGATTCCTTTCAGATCACAGCCTTGTCGGCAGCACATGTAGTCGGCTCTCAAGGGATTCCGGAACGTTTCTTTGAGCTGTTTAACTCGGCTAGCATAATCCTCTTCCGTCGAGGGCTTCAAGAAACCTCGATCGAAGGGGATCGCCACGAGCTCGAATCGTGCCTTGTCTAAGAAGCTGGGACAGGATTCGTTGCTTATAGCATGAATATGGAAATTTCCTTGACCGCGGCATGTAGAGAGAATATAATATAACCTAGGTAAGTCGCTCGAGAGGCTCATTCAATACGAGCGCTGAAGCCCACGTGAGAGCGTGCTCAGGATAGGCCCAAAGACGATCTCCTCCGATTACGTGATATCGTTTGGGACGCAGTTCCCGAATAGGATAGTGTCATGATTCTGGGTGGGTCTTGCTTTTCGGAAAATGGATCCCTCGAGGGGGGAGGATGACCGCAAGAAGATAATATGAGCGCTAAATGATCCTCGACTGACATGGAAAACTCAGTGCTGCTGGAAGTCCTCGTCAGATGCGGACTTTCCCCGAACCCGGAGCAGTAGAATGATTTTTTTTACGGAAATGATTCAAACGCTTCAAAGACGCTTCTGCGAATTCCGACGTCGAGGGCGCCGGATGGTGAGGCAGGCGTCTCAGGATCTCATCGAACGCCGCTCTTTCGGACATTTGTTGCAATAGAGACCTTATCGATTTTAACGTCACATACTGGACCCGAATGAGATTTGTACGCTCGGCTACATGATGTGTCAGTTTGAAGGCAGTGTCGTCCATGAACCCGTCGGACGACCCAATGAAACTCCTTTTGGAGATTTAGACGCTCACCTGGAAGCTTCTGGATATGAGGATAGCCGGACACTCATTTCCGCGAGCCAGTAATTAGCAATAGGGTGCTTGTCCGCCGATGCCGTAAGGATGCGCCGAGCTCGTTTCAGGAGATCTCGATCGTTTGTGTGACTGGCGGCGTAACCCCAAATCAAATTGCGGCGCTCCGTGTCCTCCCTCGTGGCCCCGGGAATCGCGAGATTATCGAGCAGAGCGATCGCATCAATGAACTGGTTGTTCGCCATTCTATAGGCGATCGCGTTCCATGATTTGATGTGGTCCTCCTCCACGGAGGCTTCTTCATCTTCGTCAATGCTTTCCCAATCCTCGTCGTCATCCCAGTCTGCTACTGCCTCCGAGTTGGGGTCACAGCGCGCTTGGTCTTCGAGCCACGATTTTATTCGGTCGACATGCGCAAGTTCTGAGCAGACAGCGAGGATTCGGATCAGGGATTTATAATTTTCCTTGTTCTCGGGCTCCATGACGCAAAGGGTGAATGCGAATCGACGTCGTTCATTGTTGAGATCATCGGAGACTAGGCTTTCGAGTTTTTTTCTGAGAAATAACGGATTAATGCAGTCCGTCAGAGTCAATCGCTTCAGGAGGCTCGTTCTCTTCGCAAGAGCTGCCGGGTTGGCGGAATTGTCGCACAAATCTTCTCGGAACGGCTCCGGCAGGTGTTTGTAGCCCATCCATTCCTTCCACCGATTCGCAGAGGTTTGCCACATGGCCGAACAGAATAACACACAATAGGAGAACTCTTCCACGAACATCCGCGATTTGTTGTTGAAAAACTCGGAGAACATCACGAATAGTCGGGACGTCTGAGGCTTCATGAGAAGCTCGCCGACCAACTCCGAAAAGTCGAAATTGTTTTTGTAGCGGAGAAGAGTTTCCTGTAGCACCACGACGAAGAAAACCGAGGCATCACGCAGCAGGAATCGTTCCCAGTCGGTCTCGTCCATTTCATAGGAAGTCAAAGCTTCGAAGTTCCGGAAGTTCTCAACGGACATCATCACGTGCAGCGCTATCGACTTCTTATTCGATAGTGCTCGAAGTAGCTTCAGATGCTCCCCTGCCATCAGCTTCCCTGCATCAGAATTCCAATTCTGAGTACTGCAGAACATCGACGTGGATCGACAGAGAAATTGAAATAAATCTTCCTGCCCATTTCATCCCATCCTGGGTAGGTCTCTAAAGCTAGAGTTTTACCGTGATAGTCGGCAGTCCCAGCTTGACGTGCGATTCGACTGAACGTGCAAGTGACGGACTCGAGCAAGTCTTCTCTGAAGAGTCCTGCTTCCGCGGCCAGAGACGGCAGATCCTCGAATTCCTTCACGAAGGGCCACATCCTTGTGCTCGATCGATCGATGGGGTCAGGAAATGGGTAATGATCAAAGCTGACGGAGCATAATTCTCCCCCGCATGTGGATTTGCGATCTGTAAATTGATCCGAATGAAACCAATCTTGAACCCCATGATTTCCATCTCAGGCGAGCGCATGCTTAGGGACTGAGGCACCAGGGCTTCTGCAACTCCTCCACGCAATGACGAAAGCTCCCACCGCGCGGAGAACTCTAATTTCGCGGTGGCGAACTGGCGACTCGGCTACCTTTCGATTGGTACCTTATGATAATGGACATAAGCTCTCGTAGCGCGCTCTAAGCTATAAATCAATCTCACTCAGACTCACAATCGGCTCCTGTAGAATATTACAATCGAGCTCGCGAGGCTTTGGTCGACGCCGGCACCCGGCGCTTTCTGCGAACGGTGACCGCGTTCCACGGCGAATCCCAGGATACGTCCGACGGAAGTGAAGCGGCTCTGGGATCTCGGGCGTTCGAAACCCTATGTTGTTTCCCTCCTCTTCTCCAGCCAAAAATATTTATGTTTACTGTCAATTGACGATTTTACCGCCACTTTTGTATGTTTGTTCATAGATGCAGTCTCTTTCCTCGCTTGCTACGGTCCTTCGTGAGCTTAGGCAACGATTTTCCGAAAAATTCGCGGTACTCCCGTCCTCGCCTCCTCTCGCGTGAGTTCAGCTTGATAGATGTTGTGGCTTTGGACGGGGCTCCTAGAATAATTTCAGGCCTATATTCCTCTAGAGCAGTCCTAATAAGTCAGATGTCTCTCGGATGCGAAAATGATTGAGTGGAACCTCCTCTCATAGAGTTATTAGTCTCCGCGTCTTCAAACACGTATCAAACGGAGCGAAACCAGTGACGAGAGCCATGAATTCCCGCCGTGGCATATTGAGGGTCGTAAAATATCCGGAGTTACATCGCGATAGCGAATAGATTGACGGATGCCAGTGCGTCCACTGTCGAGGAAATACGGGAGGAGTCATTCCACGCTTCATTCCTTTTAGAGGCAAACGGGATGAGTTTCCAGGAATACTTGACCTCCTTGAGAAAACTGGACATCAAAGGCACTGACAGTCAACGGAAGCTCCATGTCGTCTTAGGCAATGAGTCTTGCGACCTGGACTCTGCGGTCTGCTCCTTGGTGAGTATCTAGAGGAGCCCGAGCCGCGGCCCAAAAGTCCACGGAGTATATCCGCTGGTGAAACCATTCTAACCTATTTTTTTCTCGAAGGTTACTGGATACTATCTTTCAAAGACGAATAATTCTACCGTGTTGCCTGTATTGAGCGTCCCTCGATGTGACTTCTGCCTGAAGACCGAGGTCCGGTGCCTTCTAGAGGAAGTCGCCATCAGCTCAGACTCCTTGATTTTCCTCGATGACATCGATCTCGCGGATCTCCAACGACGGAACCTGCTCGAATTGACGCTCGTCGATCACAACGTGCTTCCTCATTTTTTGAAATCGTTGGAGGGAGCGGTCGTACGAATAATTGACCATCACAAATGGGAACGAGAAAACTCCCGAGGAATCGAGAAAATTTGGGCGATGACCGGTTCGTGCGCAACGTTAGTCGGCGAGCGAATGATCTCCCATGGGAAAGATATTTTGACGCCAATTGTGGCGAGATTGCTCCAGGCCGCCATCATTGTCGATACCGTGAATTTTTCGGAGTCAGCGAAGAAAACCACCCCACAAGACACCGCGGTCTTTAACGAGCTGCGGTCCACTTTCACGCCTGAAGTCGACTGGAGCGCTGCTTTCGAGAGGTTGAAAAGAGCCAAAGAGGACATAAGCGCCTTGAGCGTTTGTCATCTCCTAAGGAAAGACCTTAAAATTGTTAGAGAGAAGATCAGTATAGCGATTTCGTCTGTGCCCGCCGCTCTCGACGAGTTCCTAGCCCTGCCGAACCTCGACGAAGAGCTCGAATGCTTCCGAAAGCGCGAAAATGTTCACTCTGTCGTTGTTATGATAAGCAAATGCTATGGCGATGAGCTCCGACGATGGTTGGTCATTCTAGGGAATGATACGCGTTTGACAGACACCGTCGTGGAAAAACTCAAAATGTTCACAAGTCCTTCACTTCGATTGGAAGCTATCGACACTTCGACAGGCCCCTCCCGTCGTGGCCCTTTTCCCATTTCCGTCCTCCGTCAAAACAACGCTGAATGTTCGAGAAAAGTCGTTCTTCCAATTCTGAGGGAACTCGCTGCAAATCATTCCTGAGACATGGGACTTGTGCCTCGAATAAATCACGGTGGCGGAAACGATCAGATCGACTGTTCCAGCTCATGATGTGTAGCTCTGATTTTCTCTTCACTCAAGATTTCGACATCTGACCCTATCTTCGACGCGCCGACGCCGTGCTGGACCATTCCTTTTTTTCTCAAAGTCTTTTAATGAGCTTACGGGAGAGCAATTAGCGAGACTCTCCTGGAGGGACTGGAACAATCGATCGGGCCTCCTTCGAAAAAAGCAGTCGGGCGCCGGAAGAGCTCGACAGATTCAATCACTTCCAATCGGATAGAAACCGACTTCGGTCCCGTTGCCATTAGGACTTGTCTGGCTGTACCCCCGTGGGTCGCATTCAAGCTGTTCGTTGGGAAGGAGTTTTCTCTAGAGGTGATCCAGTTTGCGCTCAGAACAGTTGCCCCAAAAGGCTGGAAACAGTATCGAACGTGTGGTAGGACCGCTGACAAGAAGATCTTCCAGGAGGATCTGATGAAATGACTGATGCTCGAGCCTAAACAACTGATTCATCTTCAGCTGCGTCGCTGCACGAAGGCAATCGTTCGGCTAGAGACTCACGTCGACATGATTATCGAGAGGATGCCATCGATCCCCGAGTTCGGAATGGTTGAGATTGCGGAAAAGGATACCTATGTACATCCGACGAGGGGCTTCCACGTGCCTAGATCGTCAATGTTTCCCGAGTGATTTTTTTCTGATTTTCAAGGTCGTATCGAGTGAGTCAGTGGAATCTGCGGTTGCTGAATGTAGTCGATTCTCAGATAGGTTATTCCCGAGAGAGTTCGTGCTGAGAAGGAATAGGAGAGATACCGCACATGCTCGGATAGAAACCGGTTTCACATTTTCAGTTCAGATAAGGCGTCGGCGCGGGTGTCGAACATCATCAGCGCACGGCAGGAAGGGCATCAAGCTCTGACTCTGCTGGGAAGTTCCAGGTCCTCCGACCGGAATCATTATAGGGGAAAGCGGAGACCTTGGTAGCTATCCACGATATCGTCCTCATTGGCTCGCGAACCTTTCTTCACCGTTCCCGAGACCACATGAGCGGAGTTTTTAGATCGACGAGAATCCTCGTACAAAAAAACAACGTATGCGCCCGCCTCGGAATACGGAACGTTGTCGATGGATCAGCCTGGATTAAGATCTCATTATGCAAAGGCAGAATCTTCGAATTTAGAGGCCCGCATACTAAATTAGCTTGACTCGGAACCGAAAACCGAAGCCAAATAAGAGTTTCTTAAATCAATTCAGGTGCTGTAACGTTGTTTGCCTAGCGCCAAGCTCCGCTCCGAATCCCCCTTTGCCACCTGCTGCTCCAACAGCTTCCCTCGGAACGAGGGGAAAGGTCCTCGCCGACTGGAGAAGCCTGCCTTTCCACATGGAGGAGGCAGGCGCGCTCAGAAGACTCGCGAACCGCCAATGAAAGGGTGTCAAGTGCACTGTGCCTCGCTTTATTCGAGTCACCATTCCTCAGAGGATTTCTGAACGACAACCATGAGCATTTAACGAAACAAGCTTCTCTTCGAGACGACAGCGGAAAGTTCGTCATAGTTCAGGGAATATTCGTCGACACACAGGAGAGGGCGACGAAGGAAGGTGAGTGGAAACGAGGACAAGAGACTTTCTGTCAGGGAAGGGCGCGCAGATAGCTCGGCTCACATTTCCTCAGTGAAAGCGAGATTTTTTAGTGGATTCTACTCATTCTTCCGGGAAAGGCCGAGGGAGTACCGGCTCGCGTCAAGCTCGCACCTATCTGAAAGTCGAGTCCGGTCGGAGACCACGCATCCCTGGGTCCTTAAAACCTCGACGATGTCGGTCGAATAGGGAATGAGCCTCGCGTCGGGAAGCGCAATGATGCTGAAGTTCCCTGGAGCTAAGCCCGGCTTTGCTCGGTGAATCCGCGTCCTTTCGCTGCCATTCGACTTACGTAATCATTGCCGTCCGCCACCGCCCATGATAGAACATTCGAGTCGAGACTTTATATAAGGGGTAAATGAAATAATTCTGTTTGTATTCCCTCGTTTGAACCTACGCAAAAGCGGGAGGATTTCACCATTTGCCTCCGCTGCCTGAAGCCTCCTCAACAAGTACTGGATCATTACATGCGATTTGGTTGCTCCCCTAGCCGGTCTCTTCACACACGTCCATTAGGCTACATATATTTTGTGCTTTTGTTGTTGACTGTTACTGAGCTCCTGTATGTCAGAGCGATGGAGGATAAATGGAAGAGGATACTTTCCATTTTTCATTCAACAATAAGACTTGTGTGCCATTTTTTGTCTCTCAGAAAATCGTGAACAATCATCGAAACGCCGAACTACGACGCTGTCGCGGTCAAGAGCGACCGGGTCGGCTCTAGTTCTCGGACTCCCATTCCCTTAAATGTGCCTCGATCACTGATGTCGGGGAATCCCTGCGATTTTCTATCTTCTGTTGCGAATTTACAACATTGAGAGCCCGTGACGAAATTCGACGAATCTGCTGGACGAGCTCCTCAAACTCACGAATTTCGAAATCTCTGTTTCTGTTTGTTTGACGTCTCGAGTAGTCTCGATTGGTGCATCGAATTTCGAACCCGACCGGGAGCTGGTTCGGTAGGTTCCTGAAATGTATGGATTTCTGTCTCAGAATTGATCGTCTCCGACGCGCGACGTCGGCGTCGCCGACGGCCCTCGAATCTGGTGTATGGTCCTTCCATTTGCTCAGTTCATAGAGAAAACGACGGAGTCGAGTCGCTCCTTGATGTGAAAATCGATTCTCTCGAGCCGGAATAAAAGCTACTTTCCCTCCCTCTGAACTATCGATACATCTTGATTTTTGGTGCCGCGGAAGAAAACGACCCACCGAAAAAAAACAGCGCGGGTATATAATGATTTCCGATCGAGTCTGCTCCTCGAGCTTGAGCTCTTCGAAATTCAGTCCGAGAAGGATTCTGATATACATACGGCGTACCTGCAAATCCCACAATCAATATCGGCTCTTGCTCAAGACCCTACGGAGTACCACCTGGCCGTTGAGCCTGCTCGTGTTGCGTTGTCGCCGACGTTCTGATAATTTCCTCCATCGATCCTCGGCTATACAATCGCATTCTGTGGATCCGTTGCCGAATATCTTTCGTTTTGTGACATCGGATAGCTTGTGCTTGTGTCTCTTCGGAACGGCTCCCGATGATATTCGCCATCGAGGCTTCCGAGCTAGTGTATGCTTATTCAGGGCTATCTGTCTATGGGCTGCACTGAGACCACGACACAATGGAGAACTGACGAGGAGACCTTGCCGGATTTGTGTGCGGCGAGGTTGACTGCGACATAGTTCCGTGAACATGTTTTCATCCCTATTTGTCTGGACTGGTAGGCGCGGCGCGACTCTCTCAGTCGAGAGATTTCTCTAAGGAGTCTTGTTCTGAGCCCTGATTAGGGGCGGAAGTCTCCAGCCTCCTGTTCTGAAGCAGCAGATGGGTAGTTGTCGCCAACTATTTATCTTCTTTAATTTTGACAGCTGTTGCCGGTTGTCGAAAACATCCAGTCGTGATAAGGGTGACTTGATTTCACTCCCTCCAGAGAGGAACATCACGGTCCTGCTTGCTCATCGCTCGTCGGCTCACTCGCAGGAGGGAAACCTCCTGCCCAACTTGGAAACTCGAACGGGCGTCCTTCCCGACCCACCCAACATGGGTCTTTTCCGACTGAGGATCTGGCTACTTAGGATGGACAGTGATGGGAGATCGCCGCTATTGATAATTCATTGGAGGAGAATTTCTAGCGACGCGCGACGCTTTCGCAGGTCGCCCGGGTTTCAGAAGTTGGTGCAGTTAGGCAGTTCGGAGAATCGCTCGTTAAGACATTGCTTTTTATCATAATTGCTCCCAGCCGCAAAGAGATGTGTCTGCCGTAGCTTAGGGAAAGAATCTCATCATTGGTTTTCGCTAGTGTCTGTTCTAGTCATGAGCGAGAGATTCGAATTGAACTGAAAAAATCGCACGGGCACGCCGTTGCGATCCTCGAAAATCTCCCGAAATTTGAAGCATGAACTCATTTCAGGTGACGCAGTAAATATCCTAGAAGCGGACCGCGCGACCCGCGTAAAGCACGCTTGGGTGCCTTGTTCACCTCCGAAAGCAATTTCCACGCTCAGGATGGTTTGAAGGGACACTATTTTTCAATCGCCTCAAATTTTCTATTACCTACGTTCCATCGAGGAGTCACGGGACATTTCCTCCCGAACCAAACGCACTGAGGATGGAAGCCAATGAGAATATGATGAAGAGGTTCCTCAAGGAAGCCAAACGAAAATGCCTCGATATCGAAGATCCTGAAGAAGGTGAGTGATTGTCATTAGGAAGACCTCAGTCGTCAGTCCACGATTGTCGCATGTCTCTGGACACTCTCATGAGCCTGAGAGATATGTAATGAGAATCGCCAGTCGATCGAGCTACCTCTGACATGAGTGAGTGGATGGCGGGTGCTTCAGATGACAGTGATGAGCATGGGGTTTGACCGCGCTGAATACATCGGAATGATATCCAATACAGGCAATGGATCAACGAGATTGCCGGAAGGCGTGCGGGGAAACGGTGTGTAGGATACACATTCGACCAAACAAAACAAGTTCGACTGTCTAGAATAAGGATCAGAAGCTTATCGATCGGAAGATCCACATACACAGAGGCGCCTTCGAACTCCGAACATTCAGCGTCGGAAATTCATACGCGATGGGTTTGATGCTTGATCATCTGATCTTCCCCGTTTGACCAATCCCTCGGGGAGCTCGTTGGATTTCGAGGCTCCAATTAGGACCTTGATTCGGAGACATGGGTCGTCGAGGCAGATGACGAGCTCTGGTACTAGTCGAATTCGAGGTCATACCGCGCGGACGCTCTCCTTGTCACCGCGACCCTCGCGGGAGTCAGGAGTTAACTCCCCTCGCAAACCGTCGAGCGAGGAGAGAAAGAACTCTCGCAGATTGGTGGAGAGGGGGTGACGCACAGCTTCTAATTTCGGCTCAGGCGCTTGACAGGGCCATCGATTGTAGAACAGGTGCGAGCTTTTTCGTCGATGACATTCGCCCTCAGTGAATTGCGAAGTTCGGCCGATACCTTCATTCGTCCGGAGTTTCAGCTTGCCTCTCAAGCGGAGAGGCTGAGCCGGGAACGGGGAAAAAGAAATGACAAGTCTCTATATCGCGATTTCGGTCCATAGAAGTGGGCAGAATTCGATTCCGTGGCTCTTCCTCCTCCATCCTGAGGAATCAATCGATGCACCGAATTGTTCAGACTCCGTGAAGCGGCGGCATCCTTGACGATTCGCTCGAATCCGAGCGACGATGGTCTGCTTTTCTCGGCGAATTAGATCACCCGGTGCAAGCGGTAGCGGAGCGCAGTTGAAGTGGTATCCCTCTTTTCCGTTCCCGACTGTTTCGTTCCATCGTGCGCTCGTTCTTCTTCGGGCTCGTGTTGCGTTGGAAAACTTCGTCGAGTGTTCAATCTTGTTACCATCATCATCGTCGTCACTGGCGCCACACGGCTCCGAATTCATTTTCCTCGGTTTCGCCCTCTCTACCCAATGTTTTATCCCGAAGAGCCGCCACCCTCGAGTTTTTTCGGTTAGCTCCAATCGTCGTGCACACAGCGCTCAACACACTACACGAGGACCATCACTCGGCAGAAAAAGCCGATGTCCATACGAGTGTTTAACGATATCGTAACGAGCTCCTGAAAACTCAGTTCTGAATCCTCTCGACGCGGCGGGGCCGCCCGGAAGTATTATCTTTCGTCGTTCTCGCTCGAGCTATTTCCGAATACATGAGAGGAAGAAGAACAGTATTGGACCAACTCGCCCGGGCTCTAGATCCTCTTTTTGATGAACGGAAACCCATAATCCGATGAACCGAACGGTGTCAATAGAATTTCGACGCTTGTTCATCAATTCGCTCTCTGAGTCCCCGCGTTGACCCACAGTATTGGTTTGCCGAGTGGGAGGGACTTCGTCCAACACCCCGCAGTACGCGCACGGTCAAAGCCCGGACTGATCTTTGAGCGGATGATATCGCCGGCGGCGCGTTGCCTTTCTCAGTCGCATTGGCAAGGCCCTCGTTAGGCGGATTTCATCCAATCGCGTGGCCGGAGGGCAAGCAGGCCTGGCCACCCTTGAGATTCCTTGTGTCCGCGATACGCTCCCATGTAGAGGCCGATCGTCCTCGACGCTTAGCTCCGTCGAAGGTATTACTAGAATGCTCTAGCCCTACTCCCAATTCTCCTCCGGGAAATCCCTGGCATGTATATGTTATTGGATATTCGAACAGCGGCTCAGCTTTTCTGGAGATATCACTGCTGCCGAGCCGGAGTCCGGCTCCGATGTACTTGGACGCTTACGTGAATGAGTTTCCCTGTATCCCTGCTCTGAACTCTGGACAGGACTCCGGATCCGCTTGCCCACCGGCCTGATAATTCTCTATTCGGCCTCAAGCGAAAAAGAGAGACTCGGGTCCCGAGCCCCCCTGTCCTGAGCCCCCTCGCTTTTCCCTCACGATATTCCCCCGTGCCGAGCTCATGGTTCTAGAGTTCCCGCGGTATGGCAGCCTGAGCAGAAACCTGATCCTTCACTCGCGACCCAAACGGATGTGGGTCTTCCCGTCATGATGGAAGTTCTCTTCTCTGATATTCATTTCTGCGAATGGAGCCCTGCAATTGAGATGATCTGCGGGTGTCTGATCTGAATGGATTGGTGCCCTCTCGAAATGGATGTCAGCGTGAAGGCTGGACGATGACGTGCTATCGCTGAGATTCGATTAGAGGGATCCGCAGACTGTGGACGCTGCATATTTCTTCCCGCTCGCCCGAGAGTACATGCTCATAGGGATGGGACGTGTCCGAAAGTCTCGGACTCGACAACCCGGGGAGTTCTGCGAGCGAGCAAGCACGACGTTCAGGAAGAATAGCCGCGATCAGTCCGCATTTTATATGCTGTAGCGAAGGACTTATCCTGATGAAGATCCTTCAGCCATCGTAACTCATGATGGTCGACGTCAGTGCGAGGAAATCACGACCTGAATGACGTTTCTCGCTTTAGGTTTCACAGATGCGTCCTGTCCAGAAGGCACCGACGCGCTTTTCCTCCCTCGAGCTCAGAGCCGGAGAGCCTCTGAGAGCTTCCCCGAACGAGATGTGTACCTCCAAAATGTGTTCGGCCTAGTGTAATCCAAGAGCGTGGCCGAGCACTTCCTATTCATAAGATAAGAAGGGTGTTGAAAACCCGTAATCCTCAAAAAGCAACCAATTCCCAGCCTTGATTGCTTTCGACATTAAATGGGACCGCGGCAGGCAAAGCGATTCTCGTTCCGCTGGTAATTCCGCTCGGAACAAGACTTCCAGTGACCTCGGTTCTCGGAGGCTTTCGCGGGCGGAGCGGTGCGAGAGCGAGCAAAACGGAGAATTGCTCCACGAAGGCTCCGAGGCAGCGTTTTGAGCGACGACTGAGCAGATCGGGGTTCGCTGTAGTCCAACAAGTGCAGGATCTCATGAATGTCGCCGACTTGTGTCATCGGATACTTGGCTCGGGAAACACATGATAGGCATCGGATACTCCTCCCGCCGATTTTTCCACCAGCCGCGACTCGCCGAACTCGAATAAAGGCCGGAGTCTCAAGTTTTTTCGCAATTCCAGATGAATTCGCGGATAGTCATTGCGAGCGAGAATGGGATGGATTGCTGTGCTGGCAACCGGCTTTCGCGGGAGAGCGGATCGAGCAGCAATGCCCTGATATGCTGTACGCATTCGATACGAGCCGTAAGTATTGCGCTGTCACAGAAGGCATCTACGACAATCGAATCTGGCTTTCGGTCCGCAAGCACCTTCATGACACACTAAGCTGACAACCAAACTCAATTATCGAGAGAGGAAAAATCCTAACTCGAAAAGCATTCAAGCCATGAGCTCACACCGCTACCGCACAAACTCGCAGGCGCTGAGCTCGGAAAGGCGAAGAGAAGAAAAAATTGGCCTGGTATCGGATGAAGACTGTAATTTCCCGCGTGCCCGAATGATCAAGGGAAAAACGATTATATCCAGAGCGCCGCTCCACCACCGGAGCCAACGGAGCCGTCGATTGGAAAATTGAAACGCGAAGGGCATCATTAATATGGAAATTGCCCTCGTTTCTCATGGTGCCAGTTTTCCGATGAGTCGCGGGAGGGGGCAAAGAGTTTAGCTGAGAGAAGACCTCCGATTTCGGTGCCTCGAATCGTGTGAGTCGGGCTCGACGGATTCATATCCAAGATTTTTCAGAATCGGCAAGCCGACAATGTAGCGACAATGGGAGCTGGGTCATGATGCGCTGGACTCCGGTAGGACCTTCGTTTACGAATTACACGATGTGTACCTTGACAACTAAACACCATCTGGCCACAATAGAAGCCTTCCAGGTGAGCAGACCTCATGAAGTTTTCCCTCTATCAATTCATCCCGTCAATCTCACGATCGTCGAAACAAATCCAAATCTGTGGGTCTCGGAAGGTCATTTCGCCAATAAGCGGCGTTATTCGAAGCGGATGCCGTATTTCCTCCGACCAGAAGGTTCGCTATGATTCCCAAGAATGCCCTGTGTGTCGGGCATGGTTCGGGAGATCATGAATAGACGGGCATTCTCTAATTGAGGGGCACTCGTCTCAGCCTCTATTAAACCGGTGCGGTCCACAGATGGGCTAAATGAAGTTATACGCCGGAAAGTCAACGAATGCAACCTCAGCGGGGTATCGAACGAGACGGAAATGGTCGAGCTCACATCCGTCTTCTCAAAGCTACGATTCCGGAATTCCCTCGAGTCCCAATTGATACATCGTCTAATCCATCGCACGTCGGCCTACTCCCATTTGAGGGACACCTCTCTTTGACGGCCGTCAATCGGGGGTCTGAACGATTATCAGGCATGCCCTCTTATTAGAGAACATTCGGTGGATTAGTTCTCAACGTATATATCGTGACAATGATGCTCCGAGGCTGTCTCTTGCTGCTGAGCTCTTCAGGTGCCCTATCTTTCAACTCGCCAAGCTCACATCGAATCGTCATCCTCTACAAACAATGCTTAGCTTGACTCGAGATAATTACTTTCGGCCTCCATCTATAGTATCGAGGAAGTCGGGTTTCAGAAGGCGATCATAGCCGTGGCCTGCTTCTCCGATCATTTATCGGCTTCTGAAGGTGTCATCTACTCCTTTCCGTTTTGTTTTCGCATCTTTTCGCGTCGCTCCGAACCCACTCGTCCGCCTCCTCACTGCGCCCTCGTTTGGAAGTGGCAGTTGACGAGGATCTTGTCTCTTCCGCTCGATGCGTTTGACGTACGTGGTGGTTCCGAGAAGCGTTAAGCCATCTGACACGATGCCGACGCTCCCCGCTAAGCAGCCCACGGCTTGATGACGTCCTCGGAGGATCCATGGACTGATTCGCTGATTTGTTCGAGTATCCGAATGCATTCGCGGCAATGGGATGCTCCAAGCTTGAGCTCTGACCTGAGCCCCGATATCCATTTTCTCCTTCCGTGATGATGTGCCTCTGTAACTCTCTTGAAACATATTTTTCCAACAACTCCGGGAACTGTTCGAGTTCCTCTCTCGATGTCCCCCTAGATCAGCCCCCTTCAACGGGTTTCTTTCATTACAGCCTCATATACCAAACATCAAGTTCATCGCACGCACGGGCTACGGCGTTTCTCTGGTCAGCCTCATATTCGCTCTCATCATTCTTATATCTATCAAGTGAGCGAGTTCTCTGGTCTTGTTGAAACGAGTCATGCAGAACTTCCATCGAGCCTCGGAGCGAGACAATCGTGAGAGGATTTATAAATTGACATGTTGCGAACAAAAGTTCCGAGCGCTGTAATGTATTTCGAACTCAATGGCGAGAAGTTGCCTTTCTCGGGTGACTGCCACAAAGTATCCCCGAGGGTCCTTTGTTCGCTAACAACGTGAGCTACCGTTCGGACGTTGAGATAATTCTCTTCAACAAGGCACTCGCGCCTCTGAACTCTCTTTATTAAGCAGTTGGTACATACAATGAAGTTGAGCTGAACTATGGCCGGCTTCCTTTTCAGACGACTCCGCTGTCCTCGAAATTGCCTTCACATGAACCTGTTCCTCTCATTTATCTTGCGAGCGACGATCTTCCTCATTAAAGATCAAATTTTCATCTCTGGAGTAGGACCCTACGACAACTTCGACGGCAATCAAGAGGTTTGGCACGAATTCATCATCTATCGAAGTTTTTCATTCCTAGCCGGCCGATACATAAATGTACCCAGTCGACTTGCATCGGACAAAACCGAAGCATAAGGGACCGACGACGGAGAGTCGGAGGGAAGCTTTATTGCTGCGCGCTCATGTATGGACTTCGGTTGGGGTGATCCATCTCCGCCGTTATCGACGTAAAGTGCGGTGGAAAACGCTGAAAAAATCGATCTTCTGCGCATCCCTCGATATACATATATCTGAAAAAAAAACTGCAGAACGATGAATCGTCGTACGTATCTTGGGTCGGGGAAGATGTTCGAGATTTTCGGCGACTCTTATGGCAGATATGCGCTCGGAGGGAACAGATCATGGTGGGAACGAGGCTATTCTCGGAGAGGGCTCTTGCTCCAGAACCGTCTCCTTAGAACCCGATGATCAATTGATCGGAGCTCTCCTTCAATGGCGAGTGATATCAGCGAAAATCGTTTAGCTGCCCGATGTACACGGGACCTCATCCAGGCGAGCTCATTCTGTAAGAGAAGCCGAGTGAAATATTTTTTCGGCGACGGCCCTCCCCTGAGCTGTGCTTCAGTCTCCGAGCACTTGAGCCGAAAATCCTCTATGATCCTCCCTTTCCGGATCAGCTTCTCTATCGAGGCTCGGGGCTCGTTCAGGCGAGGTCGTTCAGGACTCAAACGTACTACGACGAACCTACGTGAAATGCGTCATTCGCCGAGGATTGAGGTCAGGAGTCCCCGGCACGGCCATGCGAGTCGATACGAACGAAGCCTTTCCGGAACCCCTCCGGGACTCTATGATTATTCTTCGAACAGAGGAACAACAACAGCCGACCGAGTGTCTCATCTCACTTGACGAGTCAACTTTGAAGCAGACTACCCACCTGCGAGAGCCCCGACAACGAGATTGTGTCACGATCGCTGGCAGCCCCCGAGCGCGCGTTAATAACTTTCCAGCTCGAGGCGGTCGAGTGTCGGAAAACTTGTTCGGAGACGAGTTATGGCGGCGCAGCGGGTCGACGGGCCAGCCCACCGTTCGGTCAGGAGACCGGTCGGTCGATCGGTCAGTCAGTCAGTCGGTCAGTTGGTCGGTCGGTGCTGTTTGCGGAAGCCGCCCGCGACAGTCTTGCGCGGCGCCGGAATTGGTTGCCCCGAAATTCCGATTTCTATTGTTCTCCTGAGCGGCGCTCGGTGTGAAATGGCGAGTTCCTCCCGCGAGCCGAATTCTCAACGGGTTTCACACTGAATTTTCCAGAGCGTTTTTTGCAAACTGTTCCTTGCCTTGTTCCACTATACGCTCATGGCCAACTACTGTTGGATTCTCATGGAAGGCCTCTATCTCCATAGCCTGGTCTTCCACGCGCTCAGCAACGACAATTCCAGTATCTCCAAGTACACCGTGATGGGCTGGGGTGAGTGAAAAATTGAAAATTCATTATTCAACTCGACGACCGTTCACAAAACAGCGCTCACGCTGTGGCTCGAGGGAAGAATTATTTTCTTGATGTTTCGCAAACGGCGACGTCACTCCAAGTCGTCTCGTGATGCGCTCCTTCCTGATCTGACTGGCGGAAGACGGATAGACGGATAAGTGGAGGATGAAGAAGTTTTTTTTGCATCGTTTTGCAGGTCTGCCACTAGTCTTCATTGTGCCGTGGACTGCAGCGCGAGCGGTGTGGGAGAATAAGCTGTGAGTGAAACTCTCTCTTCGCTCAGTTTGTAACGGAGGAAGTCTCCTTCCTTCCTTTGTGTGTAGGTGAACGAAGGAAGGACGATTCAGAAAAATGTTCGAAGGGTCGACCGGGAGTATCGAAAGGAGAGTCATGGATCAAAATGGTGGGCGCTTTGTCCACTTTTGATGCACAGCTCCAGGGTCGATAAGCAGCTAACCGCCTCCGAGCTGTGAATCGAGTAGGCCGAGCTCTGGAGTCGCTTCGGAGAGGGCTCTGACGGAAGCGACGACCAAAGCGCCCCGGAGTTGAATTGAGCCGGAGGATGACAATCCATCTCCTCTCTGAGAGATTCCGGGGCGGCGTAACCGCACGCGACATGAAGAATCGAACGAGCCGGCGAGCCATTGTTTGCGATCGCTTCGCCGTGTCTCGAGCTGGCAAGTGTTGCTGGCGAATTGTCACACGAGCGGAGTTCCCGTCGCAATTAGCTGTCGGGCTAATTACGCACGGAGCCGGCGGCGGCGGCAGACGTAATAAGAATATCAGCTACCGCACGCAATCAGCCAATGTGTAGGTTTGGATTGCTCGTTGCCGGAGTTCGAGAGTTGAAGGTACCGTATTTCCCCACTCGAGACGCTGCGGGGAGAGACGAGAAGAGAACATTTTCTGCACGAATGAAGCAGAGCCCTGTCTGCACGTAAACACGGCGATCCTAGACCGGATCTCAGCTGTAATTCCCACTCCAATCATCTCGATGATTTCTGATGCTCCGGTCATCGCAGGCTCCCCGATGCAGGGTTTCCCGCGTGGAAATCGTGCGACAGGAATGGAATCGATCGGGACGGGTCATGGGGAAGAACTCGAGGTCCTCGCTGCGGGCTAGTCGCGATTATCTCACGGATAGTCTCTGTCCACAGCCTAAAATGCTTTTTGGAATATTTTCCAGATGTTGGACAACCAATGTGATAGCGTGGCATCTTTGGATCATCAGAGGGCCTATCACAGTTTCAATAGTGGTCAACTTTTTCCTATTCGTGAATATCACTCGTGTGTTGTTCGTGAAAATGTTCGTGTCGCAGACTCCGATGGCCAAGAGATACAAGTACAGGTGAGTGAAATTCTGGCACTATCATCATCTGGTATGTATGCTCACGGTAGCGGACGCGGACCTCGCGTTTCAAGGAAGCGACGACTTTGATAGGAACTGCATGGGATCACGCCCACACACGAGAATCTCCCGCCCGCTATCGATGAGACCGTCTCGCACGAAACGCAGGATTTCCGGGGCACAGTTCGTCGATTATCGATTAGATTGGCAGCGGAACGCCCCGAATTCTCCGAAATTCTCGTTAATGAATTGCGATCCGGGCTGACGGACGGTGTGATCGATGAGGAGAATTCTGAAATGTCGGATTCTTTTCCGGCATTGTTCGAAAGAGAGCGCCCCTAGAATATCTCAGAAAGCGATGTGGCTCCGGAGTCCCGTGGCGATGACGACACACGAAAATTGAGAGGCTCAAGCGCTAGCGTGACGCGGATGGGTGCATCGGGATCTCTCCGGACAACAAATAGGAATAAGGAAGAGAAATCACAATCCGAAAGCGACATTCATATTTCCCGTAGCTCCATCACTCGCTCAGCTTAATAATGCTCTCCACCGACCTGCCTCAGCAGCTGACTGGCTTGGTCTCGGTGGTTTTAACACCTCGTTTAATTTACTAAGCTAGCGAGTCATCAGCCTGAGCTAAGTCTCAATCCAACTCTCATCTCCGGATGCTCTCATCTTTCTCAAAGGAATCCCCTATGAGTCGCGGCGGGAGGAGACTTCCTCATTCGGTGCTTAGAAGCGAGATGCATTAGAGAACGCTACTAGCCTTCTCGTGATGAGAAGGAGCGAGGGATGGGCCACTTCTCCGTTCCAGAATTCCGAGGTCTCCGAGGAGGCAATGGGCCTCGAGTGTGAGCAAAGCGAGCCCGGTCGGAATTCAGAATGTGGCCGAAAAGCGGCTGGTAGCGTCACAGCGATTCAGATACTCGCGATAATCATTCCGATGCGGGAACCTGTTGTGGGAACCCCTTTCTCCAGGCGTGTTTTTGGGATATCTCTTCCGGAATCTGATTTCCCCAGGTGCCATCCGATTTTACGATGAGACATTCCACTCGATATCGATTCAGTCGGGGGATTCAATTTTCGGTGAGATGCTCGCAGATAGAGAGCGTGGACGAGCCCAGAAGGTCCTTCGAGCTTCCCTAAGCTCTCAACGAGCCTTCCGCTCCGTGCGTAGGTACTTCTGCAAGGGGATAGATCAATCCGTTGGGAGCGGCATTTGATTATCTCTAGGCAGAGAGCCTCGGACAGAAAGAGACTTCAACTGACTGAGATGTCCGAACTCCGTTATTGGATGCATCTAGAAGACTGAAGCACTTCCTATAGGCCCTACAATAGATCTCTTTCACGCTCACTTACGCCGACAGAGGCGAACAGAGGAACACGGAAAACACTTCGTACGCAGTTGCTGTGTTGTTCAATCCTCGCCGGAGCGGAACGCTCCCCTCCCCGTCAATTGCCTCCCTAAGGGACGTGAGATGGTCATTCTCGGGAGGTTCGATTATAATTCTCCAACTTGCCTGACTCCGAACGTCAGCGACTAGAGAGAGCGAGGGCAAACAAGTTTCGCCGCACGCTCGTAGACGGAAGATTTCCCTTTCCCTTGCAAAACGGTTCGTGAGGTCGCTGTCACCCTATTTCTGAGTACCCGGCCGTTTTCAATTCATAATTAATAGCACCTAATAATTCAATGCGATGCGCCCTCTTTCGCTTAGGGAGATCCCAGTCCCACTCCCCTGGGCGAGACAGTTTCCTCGCCATAAGTACAATTTGTAAGAGCATGGACTTGGGAAAACCGACAATCGGATTCCCTCCGGCTCCTTGTCCGACTCGAGCGAGAAAGATATTCGACCGTCGCGCGGCTCCGAGCGGTCGATTACCAAACTCGGGAAAATGTCAAGCGCGATCTCCGAGTACATCGCGTATCGTCTCCGAATCGGAATAGTATCCGCTATAATTCGATCATGCCCCATAGGATGTAGCGGTTGAATATGGAATTCGGAGAGATACCTCCAGAAGCGGGAGTCCGCTCAATAATAAGAGTCTTCGTCGGCATTGACTCTATGATCCGCGATTGGGAGCAACTCCGGAGAAAGGCCTCGACGAAGACAACAACGACTTCTGGAACAAAGTGCACTAATGACTGCAGAACTTTCCGATCCCTGGGGGCCTGCTTCTAAGTTAATGAAGAGCTTCACGTTCAGAACATCGCGACGGTGGTTGAATCGCGACTTCAACACAGCTCCGGCTGACTGTCTCATATGACTTGGCGTGAGCTTGTCGAGGACTGCAAGTGAAGACATCAGGTGGATCCGGAAGCTTTCTCGGGATTATAGCATTTCGATCCGGAAAAGAAAACGCAGTGCCCAATCGTCGATGCCGCCTCTCCGGCAGTGATCTCAAGGGGGTATCACAGTGTCGCACGGTCTCCCAGAGGAAGAGAGGAGACTCGGGGGTGAGACGCGTCGAATTCAGCAATGTCAAACCGGCCCTCGCTGGAATGTCGCGAACACCAACTCTCTCGCGATTCAAATGAGAAAGTTCGACGGTGGCGAAAGGACCTATTCGTTCAGTGTACTGCGAACCCTGTCTCGGACGGTAGGAGTCGTAGTTCATCTCCGAAGCCGTGGCTGCGCGCGGATCACACCGCTAGGAATGGCGACAGAAAACAATGTCGAGAGCGGCCGCGCAGTCCACCTGCGAAGCACCCGAGGGCCGCGGCCATTGAGAAGTGGATTACTTCTGCCGCATTTCACGGAAGCACATGTCGCAAAACAACATCGAGAGCGAGCGTGAGAGACCGAGGGAGCAGCTTTCGAAGTGAAGCTGTCGTCCGGCGGTAACGGAGAGAAAACTGTTTACGTCTGCAACTTCGAAGAGCAAAAAAATTCTCCTTCCTTCCAGGAAATGGTTCAAGTCTACTTTGGTCCTCGTGCCCCTGTTCGGCTCGCACTACTCGTTTCTTTTACTGGTCTCGATCGCTGCTGAGCTTCTCTCGCCGCAAGTCGAAGTTTACTGGATGTATATCGACCAAACGTTCTCATCGTTTCAGGTGGGTATGTGATGTCGAAATTCCGAACGAATTTCCGTATTCCGATCACAGCACCTGAATCCTATAAAAATCACCCGTTGCAGACCTTTCCACTCGGGCCTGACGTAATCCACTTGCATAGAGCCGTCGCGTCCGATCCCATTCTTTCAATTTCGTCCCCATACACTCTGAACCGGGCGAGGCGACGTCTGACGTTTCGACGTGAGCCTCTTTTCTTACTGAACACCACACGCCCATTCCGTGCGACTATATCGCCGCCCTCGAAAGCCTTAACCAGATAAGATTTGATGAAGAGAAGCACGTGACACATTCATTCAAGCGCAACCGCTCGGAAGAAGCGACGTCGCCGGTGCGGCTCCGAAAATGAGCGAGCAGACCAATCATTGGAGGGCGGGTAACAGCGGTCCTAACGCGAATAGATTCGTAAAGGATGTCAGATCGGGTTTTTCCTGAGGCACCACGATTTGCTCCTTTGATTTCCTGGGTCATCCGACACCCAGAGGGCGAGACACTCCGAGAATTTTGAACAGATCCAGTTACATCACATCGAGGGGTTCCATTGCAGTAATGAGTCGAGGAGGGCTCCGTTTCTGTCTCTTGTAACAAAAATCCAAAGATTATTAATAGAAAAACGTATCGCGGCTTCACCGGAGCGTCCCGGAAACGATCAGCCGAACACTGCAAAGTCGATCCGACTGGCCTGATCGAGAGATCCTTGAGAGCCGTTCTTCATGAGACCGAGATCCCGGAGGGTTCCCCCCGGGCTGAAGCTTTGTTCTCCTCGGGGAATCCCGCAATGCCTTTCCGAAATCATGGATGCGTTCTCTTGAGCCGCCGTCAGAGTACATAATCTATTGATGGCCAGCTTTTCGTTTGGGGATTAACAGCAGCCAGGCAAATGAGACCCTCCCGATCTGTCATCTGAAAAATCCATTTCAGCTCAGTGGGCCGCTGACTGACACTTAGACAGCGCGCCGAGTGAGGTGACTGACTGGTCAGTCCTCCGGGTCCCCTCGGAATGTCACCGTCAACCGGCTTCCTGCCGATTGGTTGTATGCCCGCGTCCGCCGGGAGGTAATTATGGCTCGTCGGCTCCATGGACTCATGGTGCGGAAATATGACAACCTCGGCTACCGCGACTTCCGAACAAGCTCACGAACGGATCAAGCAGACGAGTTCGCTGTCGACTTGCCTATATCCCAAGAAATGCGCTCAACCGCAATCGCGGAATCAATGACTGAGTATGGGAAACGGTTCTTGTCAATGCAACCTGTTTCTGTTCCTCGTTCGTCGAAAGCGCTGCGGCGCCGACGAGAACGAAAGGGAACGGATTTCGACATTCTGGAACGTCGTGTCTGAAACAGTCGGTCCTCTGAAGGGAACATCTGGAGGATGGGAGTCGGGATTCCCGCGTGAGCCGCAGACCCTCGGAGAATTCCCGAGGTAAATCAGAGGCATGAGCTCTTGCTCCTCTGTGGTGACGTTCCCCAGCTGTGACTCCGCGCAGATATTGTCGAGTGGGCCACCGAATATCGACTCGCGCTCGACCCGCATCGGCAACGTGGGACCCATCTCTATGAAGCTTTCTCAATGATTTCGAGGCAAGCTTTTAGGGAATTTCGGAGTTCGCTGCGTGTAGCGAGTCCTTCTGACGGACTTTTTGACGAGATTCGACTTCAGAACATCCAAAGATTTCGTTGACATCGGGAGCTGAGCGCACGATGTCTGACGGTGAAGGCTCCGCCTCCCATAACGGAGAAACGTGAGGGCCCCTCCGGCCGAGAGGAATGTTTTTCGATGACGACGAGAAAGCCATTCAGGCGGGGACATTGGGAGATTCTTGTCTAGGAATGAGCGCGCTGTGTGTAGGTACACGGACGAAAGGATTCAGGCATAGAAGCAGAAGTTGAATTCGGCAAGACGCTGAGCATCTGTGTCCCGAATCGAGAAAAATCCAAATCGGGATCAACAGACCTGGCCGGGGAAAATCTCCTGCGAATGCGGGGATCATGAACGGGATCACAGCGCTACAGGCGCTCGGAGGGTCCTATTTTACTCGCTTGGATCCAGACTCCACGTCGGTCGCAGGATCAATTTTCGGGAGGCTCTTCTTCCCTCCATGCGATGATGATAATACGCGGTGCGAACGACCAAGGCTGGCGGACGATGTTTTTCCTTGATGAGGTCTTTTCTTTCCAGGGCGTCCTGGTAGCTCTCCTGTACTGTTTTTTCAACACCGAAGTGAACGAATCGATGCGGCAGCTTTCTCGGCGGAATCCACAGATGATTTATATTCGGCGGGTTTTGTCCGCTAGTCGTCGTCAACCTCCGGAAGCAGACGGGAGAACCTGTCCGCGAGGAGCCATTAGGAGATCAAGGTGAGTCCCTTCAAAATATCCGATGTCTCACGTAGTCATTAGGACCAAGTTTCTCCAAGATTGAGCGGTTCCTCCTCGAGGACTCCGGCGACTGAGCATAGCTGGATGTGGAGGTGAGCTCCCGTCGAGCTCCTCATCCATTGAAAAAATATATAGAATATTTGTATTTAATTTCGATCCCACGCTCATGCTTTTCTATCGGAGAGGAGTAAGGTCAGCTCCTCGAACGCGGCGTCTTCGTTCTAACCCTTCGATTCGGAGCTGAAATTCGTACGGACTCTCAGATCAAGAATTTCCGGACTCCAACTCCTAAACGCTCTCCTCATGAATGGTGAAGGCTTGGAGGCCCCGTTCGGGAGCTTCTATCTATGCGCTGAAAATGATCCGTTGTACGAGCTTAGAAATATGACGTGCAGCATCGCTGTCGAGCTGAGACTCGAAGGATTCCACCCATTTCCTTGCTGAATAGAACGAAGACGTCTCATGGCCTAGAGAAATTCAATCATCAGCTGAAAAAATATTCCCTTCCAGGTCGATGGAGAACAGTTGTGAGAGATCAGATTTCTTCGTTCACGACCATTCTTCGAACCCGTTTGCGCGAAAGTTATCGACGACTTCATTCACAGACGCTATTCTAGTCCATCCATTAGGCGCCGGTCACTGCAATCTCCTCCAAGTCATGCCCGAAGTACATGTCCTAACGACGGAGTCTTCCAAGGCGGCGAGAGAAGGAATGCTGTAAATTTGTAGATTTGCACCCTCATGGGCAATTATGAGTATGACAGAAGACTCGGAACAGGGTCGCTTCATTCCGAGTCGGAAAGTCGAGAGCCAGTCGAAACCCCTCCGATTGATCCAGTAGAGCGACCGATAGGCACCAAGACATGCACAAATGAAATGCGATTATTAAGGGTTTTCCCAAGCGTCTTCCGGAGATTCTGTGCTAAGATCGATCATCTCAAACTTGAACATGTGGGGAGTATTTCTGGCGGATGTGAGGCTCTTGTAATCAAAGAGCGTAGAGAGCCACCAAACTCTCGGTTCAAGCAGTTCTTGAGCCTTCATTGTCGGTCGGGGGTGTCTGTTTCAGAGCTGCGTCAGGATACACTTACAGGGGATTAGGACGGGGGCTGCGAGTGATTGAAAGGTGATTGTATAGTTACACTTCGAAATCGAAAACAACTTCAAGCCCTGTCCTCACGCGAGGGAGCCTACGGGATCCGTGTTAGGTGTCCCAGGTTCGGTGCGAACTCCCGCCAAGATTCCCTCAAGCCACCGACGACGAAGATCAACCTAATTTCGAGGTGATCCATAATTTTCTAAGCGAGCGGGGCCCGGCCGCTACTGCAGCCGCGAGCGTCCGAGCAATGAGCCTCCGGAAAAGAATGAGAGCAATATTATCGCGGGGAGGGCTGGAATTCAATAAATATGATTGGAAGCGCAGCTCAAGAGTCTGGTTCATATTGCACCATTTTTCAGTCTTCCAGTGGGTTTATCGATCGAATGAGTACGCCACGGGAAAAATGTAACCATGCGGCAAGCCTGTCCTGAATTCCGCATGCCCCCATTTGAGGCCCTTCCAGAGGTTTCGAACCCCAGACCAAGGAGTCGCTTTCCTGCTCCGGTCTAGACTTATCGTGAGAAACTCCAAACACGGCAGAGTCGCCACGCTAGCCTTCTCTGAAAATAATGTCGTCCGTAATCTAATCGACGCACAAAGCCAGAACATCTTTTTCCAGCTGGACGAAATTACATGAACGCTTTTTTCGACTGACTCGGATCTCCTGAGCGTGGAAAATGATTTCCGAAGAGTTTCCGGTACTTGCTTTAGCCCTAGAAACGCAGTTCTAGGCTCAACTGGGTCAATAATTAGTATTGGGCGTTTTTCTAATAACACCAGCCACTCTATATTCATTGAAAGATGCTTGCGTATCGAGATCAGAAGACCTGAGATTAGGCGGATTGCAGTTTTTCGCTTATAATGCTTTTCTCCGCCCAGAAAGCCTATTTTGGCCTGAAATGCCTTTCTCCGCCTAACATGCCTATTTCCGCCAAACATAACTATTTCCGCCTAACATGCCTATTTCCGCCTAACATGCCCATTTCCGCCAGACCTGCCTTTAGCGCCAAGTCTCCCGAAAGTATGATCGTTGTCTATCAGATTTGAATACTTCGCGCTCATTTGGGAGATGACTAAAAATGCCCCGACAAGGAATCGACACGGCGGAAAAACTCCGACCCTATGTGGAAGAGTTCGGCCCTGATGTCTTTAGCACGAACGGGGAAAGTCTCATGTGCGACGTCTGTCGCAAATCTGTGAAGGCTACGGAAAAGTACTTCCTGCAACAACACGTGCGAGGTTCCAGACACTTGGCTCGTCTGAATTCCAGGAACCTTTCTCCGCGAGAAAATCCCTTCAATATGGATGTGGGTCGAATGTTGGTGGAATCGAATATTCCTCCATACAAACTTCAGCATCCTTCTTTCCGGGGCTTCATGGAGAAGTACTGCGGAAAAGTGCTGCCAGACCACACCACGTTGAGGAAGACGTATCTAAAGAAAGTTTACGATGAAACCTTACTGAAAATCCGAGCTTCCGTGGGAGAACACCGCATCTGGGTTTCGATCGACGAAACCACAGACGTCAAAGGTCGCTTCGTCGTAAACACAGTCGTCGGTTGTCTCTCTGCGCAGCACCAATCAAGAGCTTTCCTTACGGAATTCGTGGAGAGGACGAATCATTCTACCGTTGCTCAAGCCCTCGTCAACTCTCTGAACCTGCTCTGGCCTGAGGGGCTCCGCAATGACAAAGTGCTTCTGCTAGTCACTTATGCGGCGGCGTACATGAAGAAAGCGGGCGATGCGTTGAAGGTCCTTTTCCCGAAGATGACCCACGTGACTTGCGTTATCCATGCAATGCACCGGGTCTGTGAGGAGATTCGCGTACTTTTCCCGGCAGTCGATAATTTGATCGCGAATGTCAAGAAAAATTTTTTGAAAGCTCCTTTTCGCGTTCAAAACTTTCGACTTCTAGCGCCGAATATCGGTCTCCAAATCCTCGTGCTAGGCCAAATGATGCAAAAAGGAACTGTCAGCATCGACGACGGGGTCAGCACTTTGCCCCCCTTCCCGCAGACAACAGGCGTTCCGCAGGGCGACAATTTGAGTCCCCTGCTGTTCTCGGTACTGCTGAGTGATCTTCCGGAGTTGATCAGCGCCCGACATGATCTTGTGTCGACGCTCCTGTATGCTGACGACGCGGTTTTGTACTCTAGATCTCGAATGCAGCTTCAGAAAGCAATGAAGACCCTGAATCTCTACTCGGAAGCAAACGGCCTCACCGTGAATGTGACTAAAACGAAACTCATGAAGTTCGGCAGAGGTGGTTGCCCAGCATCAGGCGACATCTTCACACTGTCCGGAGAGCGAATCGAGAAAGTGCACGACTTTACGTACCTCGGAATGTAACATCAACAGGTCCGGACTTTGCTTCTCGAAGCACATCGAGAAAAGGCTGCAGAAGGCAAGACACGCTTTCGGCTCCATTCCGAAACCTGGCGAACTCTCTCCCCGAACCGCGCTATCGCTCTTCAGCATGAAGATAGCCCCAGTCGCCTCCTACGGCATTCAGCTCATCTGGGAGCATCTAGAGCAGACTCATTTTGAGAGATTCGATAAGCTCAAGGCGAGCTATCTAAAGATTATCCTTGGGGTGCATCGTTCATCCAGAAACCGGCTCGTTTATCTCCTGGCGGAAACTCCGCTGTTCACAGAGGAACTCCGAAAACAGTACCGCCTGCCGATAACCGCAACCTTCCGGAAACACCTCGAGACCTGGCAGGAGAAATTCTCCGACATCAAGGTGGATTTCCTGAGTACTCCTGCGATGACGAACGACTGCTGGAAACAACAAAAGTTCGGCAACAGGCACCGCCTGACCAGAGTCCATGGTTTTCACTTCCAGATCTGTCGAACATCAAACGCACACACTCCGAACGAAGACTGTTATTGTGAGATCTGCGGTGCAAGCTGCCCAGAGTATCATCTTTACCATTGTAGAAATCAGAAGAATTTTAAGTGGAAGGACGCCTGACGGCGTTTCTAATATATGCATTCTTGCCTTCACACCATAAGATGGTAAATAAAAGCAAAATTTTCGATTTTGCAGATGAATATCGGTCTCCCTCCACAACCGGTCCTCACTCGCTGGGGCACGTGGTTGGCAGCAGCTCTGTACTACGCAGAGAACTTCGAGGCTGTCCGAAGTGTGGTGTCGATGCTAGAAGGCGCGGAAGCTGCATCCATAAGAAGAAGCCAGGAGATCATGGACGACTCCACGCTGAGCTCCGACCTGGCTTTCATTGGGAGCAATTTCGCACAGTTCCCGAATTTCATGACAAAACTGGAGTGCAGCTCGCTCCCCCTAAGCAGTTCGCTCAATATTCTGGAGGAATTCAGAGTGTGCTTGCCAGTGGCGTGCAAGTCCATGGTGCCGCCCGGGGCGACGATCGAATTTGCCGCCCCCTCCAATTCGTGCTTGCGCTCTTCAGGGGGTCAGGCTAACACTTCTGCGTTGGAAGTTTTCAAGAATCGAGTTTAAGGAGCTTCAATCGTTTCCTTGGATAGAAAATTCAGACGATCGAGGGAAAAACAAAGCACAAGTATATTATTCATGGGTTTCTTTGATGTCACATTGAAGGTTTCAAATGAGTCTTCTATCATTAGATGAGTAGCGGGCATAGTTTTCCGCAAACTCCTGAATGACATCTTCGAAATCGATCTCGTCGGTGAGCTGATGCTCAATAGATAGTATCGCAAGACTGTTGAGACGCGAGGCTCCCATGGTAGATCGCAAATGATTTTTTATCAGCTTTAATTTAGAAAAGCTCCTTTCACAGGAAGCGACGCTGATTGCTAGGGTTAGGAAGATTCGAAGCAGGACCACTATATTCGGCAACGAGCTTCCAAGCGCATACCTCTGAATGAACTGTAAGAGCTCGAAAGGACCTTTTGTCCTGATTTGAGCTTGTTCTTCGTCGTCGGCTGACGCAACTAAGAGTCTGAAGCCGAACTCTTTCGAATACGAAAAGTTCCAAGTCGATGTCCTTTGAATGTTCCTCTAAAGTACAAAGGTAGTCAGCGTTCAGAAGGTTTCGCGGGATCAGGAATTCATATTTCTCGGCAATCGAGTGAATCTGATTGAACCGCGACTTGACTTCTTGAGTAATCCTGTCCATTGAGGCATACATGTCGCGTCGTATCTCTTGACTATAAGATAGCGAAGCGTCGTTCCGTCTCGTAGGTTTGCTTAATGGAATCTCTAGCTCTCCACACGTTTTCTCCGCCATCGTCAGAGCTTCCTCGACGAGCGTATCTCGGTTCTGGGTGAGGAAAAACTCGAGTGCTCTCAGTCGCAAGTCGCACTGGTGCAGATCCAGCCCCTTCGTCTGAAGATAGCATTGAGTGGAGTTGATCTCTCTCAGAACAGGATCCCACAAATTCAGGAAGACTAAGAAGTGGTGAGTCTGCAGAGCCCCAAGCAAGACAGCGGCGTCACCTCTGGTTGCAGCGTTCTCGACTTCAGTTGTGAGCTTCTCCAATACACTAATGATCCCAAGGTAGTGCTTCTTCACTGAACCAACAGCATCACCTCTCGCACTCCATCGAGTCTCGATCAGCCGCTTGAGGCTTCCTGCTACTGCGGTCAGCGCACTCCAGCGATGAGTCGACGAGGAGAAGAAACAAAACAGCTTCTCAATTACCCCGAAAAATGACACGGATCTGACTGATGCCGAAGCTGCGTGGACCCCGGCCAAGTTCAGAGAATGATTGCTGCAAGCAACAATTCTGCTCCGGATTTATATCTCTGATGCGCTTCTGAACGCCTGACCGATGTCCAGACATGACGGCGGCATTATCATACGCCTGGCCTCTACAGTGTTGTATATCGAGACCGTCCTTCTCAAGACTCTGCAGTATCATGGAGGTGATGCCGGCCGCGTCCTTTTTCTCTGTTTCGATAAAACCGACGAAAGACTCCGTCACTTTGACTTCCTTGCCGTCCAAGATGACGTATCGCAGAACCTGACTCGTTTGGTCCTTGTGCGACAGATCAGGTGTGCTGTCGAAGATCATAGTGAAATATTTGGCAGTCTTGACCCGCTCAATTATTTTTTGCCGAACGCGTTCACCGAGTTTTTCGATGAACTTGTTCTGCGTTCTGTTCGAGAGATAAGTAAGTTGCCTCGATTTCGACAGCTGGACCCTTACGAGGTGCTCTCGCAAAACCGGATCGTACTTGGCTACCAAATGAACAAGCTACCAAAAAGTTCCCTCGACTGGAGTCTCCTCCAAAATCGGAGTCGTACTTCTGCTGCTCAAAATGACCTCGGAATGCTTGATTCTGCTTCGCGAGGTACTTCACTATGTCCAGCAGCCTCTGCAGAACTGCCTCGAGTTTCTCCGTTTCCATCTCAATCTGTCTTCGCCTATGATCGTCTATCGTCGCATTCTTCTCGAGTCTCATGCGCATCTCGTCCCATTTCGTGACCGCATCCTGATGAATGAAGCTTATCTCGTGTTCGCGAACCTTGGGGTTCAACTTCCACCATTTGGAGAAACCGTCGATCGAATTGAAACTGGATGTTTTCCCCCCGGCGAAAAGCCGGCAGCAGAAACAAAGAGAGCCGACCTCGCAGGTGAATACAGCATCCAGTTTCTCAAGACTCTCTCGTTGTCCGAATCTCTGCGAAAGAACCATTCTCGCGAGAGATTACGACCTCGACCTTTGGTGGCCTGGCCAGGGCGCGTCGCGCTCTCGAAATCGAAATCCAGGTTCTGAAGATCAGAAGATCCACGACTAACTAGCTTCCTGCGGAGCGCAGCATCGATTCCCTCTGGCCAAGTGCCGATGTCATCGAGGAGCGAACCATCATGGCCTCGAATATCGTCGTCCTCTTCACTCGAATCGGACAGACTGTGCACAGAAGCTCCACCTCGCTGATCGATGGTATACTCCGCAAGGACATCTTCCTTGGTGAGACTTTGGCTTTGCTCAGGGATAGCTTCGACCTCTGCAATGAGATCGACTCGGTTCTCTGCAGAAGACGTCTGTGAAGACACGGCGATGCCGCTCTGATAAGTTGGGGCTTCGACTCTATCATTCGCCTCCCGGACGTTTCAGCGGTACCTCCTTTCGGTAGAAGATACTTCAGAAAACTCCCTCTTTGTTTACTCAACGATTCCTCTAAAGTCTTGCGCCTCTTCCGATAACTAGCCCCACTCTCTTTCTTACGTTTCATGTTTCCGAGAATCCGTGCAATCTAGAAAAAAAAGAATCGAGAACACTCAGCAAGCCGAATTCGAAGAGCGACTATTCATGCGAAATCCAATGACGGATTCGATATGAATGGGGACCACACAGATCGCATGAGCGGCGTCACCTTGCTACCGGAGGAGACGTGTTCTTGGGGGCTTTTTTCGCAACGGGGAAACGGTTCTCCAGAGCAGCTGGGCGAGGAAGAGGACTGTTTCTTCCCGGGAGTAGCGCATCCGAAGGATTCTCGGAAGACCTTGTTCCATCAGGTCTTCTTTTGGAAGCTCCAGAGAAGCATGAGATGGTTCGAAAGAAAGGATATGACAGCGACGACCCGACGCGGTGTCGCCGATGATTTCTGCTGCGCATACCTACAATCACAATCGCGATTCGCGATCAAATCAAAACAATAGCACCACTTTCGATACGAGAGCCCGCGAGTGCATGAATGTCCTCGCCAGGACCACGAATCGACACCGGGAGACGCTGGGGAATGACCTTCTGAACTGGCGCCCCGACCACCATAAACAAAGCTGGAGCGAAACTCTCTAAAATAAAATAAAAAAAACATGATAGAACCTCAGAATGCCGCCCCCTAGAAAGTGCCGCCCGGGGCGGACCGCCCCCTCCGCCCCCCCACTTGCACGCTACTGATGCCAACTCGGATATGCCCATGCGTTGAATTACTGCCCTGTAGTCTCGCGAGCGGGTTGCCTTATGGAAGGAGTCCTCGACCCAAGCAAAGCCGCGATCATCGCTTCCGGATGAAGTTCCCTGCTGGTCAAAAATAGAAGTCCCCGCCGGTCAATTCGATCGAACTGTAGTGCCAAGGAGGGCGCGCAGCGTTAGCTCGATGCGCGGGAAGATTCAAATGTGTCCCGCGAGATCCTGGGTCAGAGTCAGACCAGGGAATAGAGATTGGGAGCGGCAATGGGCGTTTTCCGAAAAACCATGGAAATCAGTGGTAGGGAATGAAGTGTGAACAATTTCGATGCCTGGACAGTCTGTTAACTTCAACGAAGCTCACGAGTTACTAAGAAGACGAGCCGAGTTTAACAGAGACGCCGTCCGAGAACGGTGGATCTTGTCAGTGTTTATTAAGCCAATGGTTACCTGTATTTATACCTGAACCGATGTAAAAGGAGGGAGAGTAAATGAGGCACCGTGTAGTGCCCCCTTGAGGTACCTCTCAGTCTATTCAGATACCTACTTACTGTGAGGCTGGTGATTACCTATTTTCAACACACCCCCTTAATCATCAGACTCACTGGGTGTATGTTTTCCAGTACTTCCAGTCTGAACAGTTCGAACGTCCATCTGGTTCTGAACCATTCTGGTTCATGTCTCCTTGAGTTTTGTGGAGAGGGCATTTTGGCCCCTTTCTCATCTAGTTCTTCCGAGTGCGCCTGGCTCTTTATTTGATTTTCGAGAGACGCCATTCGAACGGCTCTTGAGTCTTCAGAACGTAAAATTTATGGCTTCACTTAGAGGCTCCGTTATTTTACCGTGACAGTGATGGATAGATCACTTGAGCACTGCCAACAATTTTCGCGTGTTTCATCTGGTCGAACATATTAGATACGTGACCCGCATAAATTGATACGAACTTAACAATATGTCAAGACACGTTTGTATATACTGAAGACAATGCTCGTTGAGTGTGGAGTCAGCAATTCCAATCTTCGATCCCTATTTTTCCATATATGGTGTTGAATCCAGAAAGCGCCGAGAGCGCCGCCTGGGTTCCTTTTCAATATAAAGTGCCCTGGAAGAACTCCGAGGTTCACCACCTGCTATGGAATGCCGCCGAGGCGACGCAAGCCTGTCATTCGGACAAGAAGTGTCA